TATGATGCTTGGCATGTATGTACCTGAGACAATGAAAAATTTGATAATTCATGACGGCACTCCTGTTGGATTGACTGGAATCAGGGTGGTACACACACAGGTGCTTCCTACTCGGGGCGGAACATGAATTTATGGCTCTGCAGTTTCTGAGGCCGACCCACCGAGTCTGCTAAGTTCCTCTTCGCGAACTGGAGCTCGAGTGGCTACTTGTACTAGAGGATCCCGCCCTTCTGTTGGATCCAATCATGGCTTTATGGACAAAGCTCAATGTCGGGTGTAGAGGAAAGTGGCGAAGATGATGGGCATCTTGTAGTAAGCAAGGTTCGTGGCAATGCACTTACGCGGTCTCATATAGAATGGCTGCAGGACTTGCATTTGCCACAGTTGTTATATTTGTGGTATTCAGCACGAGATCGGCGAGGGTGTTCCACGCTAGGTTCTGAGGGTTACTGGAGGGTGCCCTATCGTGCTCCATTTTATGAATGGAAGCTGGAAAAGGGGTGCGACTCATATCTCGACGACTCTTCTAGGCAAGCAATAAGAGACTTTATTTCAGGGTGTCGTTCGTTAGTGCCGACTCCTTGAGCAGCTTTTACATCTCTGCGGGGTTATTTAACAACTCAGTTCGCTTAGACACGTAGCCGTAGTTTCGGTATCAGCCAGCCTAAGAGGTCTTAAATGGGTATCGACAAGCGGCAGAGGAATTGAAGCTGCATCTATATCTGAGCGCCGTCAAATTTCACTATGCAACCGACAATATATCCTACTTACCGTCCCTTTTTCATTTGGTACAGGTACGCAGTCACTAGCTTAGATGAACCTAGGGTAATACGAGGTGATTGCTTGAAGGGAAAAAAAGATGTTTGATTACCTACGAAGATCTAATTCAGGATTGGGAGCGGCACGTGAAGTCAGAAGTCCACGTCTTTCGACAAGGGATCGGAGCTTACAAGGGATCGGAGCTTGGTACGAGTATGACCTCGATTTTTCAAAGGCGCTTTCCTCTTCCCTTGCCTAAGACCAGTGTTACTAAAGCATGGTTCTTGCTGAATTATTGTGGGTACAGATTGGTAGTTGGAAACATCGTTACATCCGCATGCAAACATACCCCGGCTATTACCGCATTCGCTAGGCGCGCGCATATTGACCATTCTTGAATCACCAACCCGCATACACAGCCTGTAACTCCAAACAAAGTACAAAGTTTCCATTCGCGCCAAATGCCGACACTTGTTCGTTCTATAAGTACCGCAAGTAAATCCCTTTACACAACCTCTGGATTTGTGCCTGTAACTATCTCACTTCAAAGTACTTTCCCAAAACTCATGATGCAGTATTTCCTCATTTTTGTCTGGGCGGTTGCGTCTCTCCACGCTAGCACTCCCTTTGCTGTAAACGCTCAGCCAGCGCGGTCAGGAAGCACCAACACCAACATCCTCATTCCGGGAAAAGGCCTCCCCTCGGTCAGGTCGCTCAGCCTCACAGTTGACGACGTGTTCAACCCCAACTTCCGCACTTACTCCCACGTCACCAACGCCAACTCCACATCTTTCTTGGCCAACCCGCGACCGAGCTGCAGCAAAAACATTGTGGCCGATCTTCAAGGCGTTATGTCCTGCAAGAATTACCTCCATGCGGCCATGCGACATGCCTGCCCAGCGCTGAGTACAGGCACCATTTTGTGCGTAGCCAAAGCTGCGGGCGCAGCCTCAAAAGTCATTATCAGAGGGACGTCCTTATGCCACCACGTTGACCCGAGCAGCTGCGCAGACGTGGAAATCGCAATAGGCAGTATCATGCATGAATGCAAAGGGACAGCCGATAGCCATAGCCTGGTTGCGGGTGGGGGTGCGACGCGCAACAAAGGGTGTATGCAGATTGAGGTTATAGGGGAGTCCCCTTGAGATCCCCGTTTAAGGAGGTCCTAGCCGCACCTCTTCCTGACCACGCCACATTGTTATCTATCGCATCCGACTCCCTCACCTGTCTAGGCCACGACCTGCAAAATGCCGGAATGCAGGTCGTCGGCACCTGTGCCTACCCCGGGGCCTACCACCTCCAGATCGACGAACTGCCTCGCCTCCTCCTAGAGCTAGCCAAGTAAAGCCTCTCCCTTGAGACTATACACGGCTGGTCAAAGTCTGGTGGGACATCAAGTACCCCAAACAGAACTGCGACGTCCTCAACACCACCACCCCCGACCACCACCCCTGGCTGCCCCAACTGAAGGCCTTGCTTCTAGCCGTCTACAGATTAGACCATGAGGAGGCATTTCTTGTCGTCACGCAACATCTCGACGGGTAAATACCCGTTGGCCACCCTCCGTGCAACAAGTTCCCCACGCTGGAGCACGCTATGGAGGTCGAATCACCGATGAGTGCAGTGCGTGAAGCGATTGGAATTCCTTGATGGCGAGCCCGGCATCTTCAATTGGCTGCGTCTGGAATGTTTCCAGGTGTCGCTATATCCCTCTGAGGAGAAGGGTGGCGACATGGATGGGAAATAGATGCCGGAGGATGTGAAGGCGTGGTTCAAGAGGAAATTTGCCACGTTTCAACTAACATAGCCATTCAGGAGAAGGAAATGGAGGAGCAGATGGTCGAGTTTGGCAACGGGTACGGAGAGGTTTTCTGCGAGGTGAATTGGATGGAGGATTTGGTATACTGAGAAAACCTGGAGATCGGCTTGGGTGGATGAGAAGTCGTTGCCGAAGCGGAGTGAGCACCAGAGCAAGATCAGGCGTGCGAAGATGCGACTTGTCGGGCTGTGGATGATAGCTGTGTCTGCAAGTGGTGTGAAGTATGATTTCTTGATTTCTGGGAGGGTGCGACGGTGGGGTGGAAAGTTTCGCGATGCAAAATGATCATGTTGGAATGGTTTGGCAGTGAGCCGGGGCTAAATTCTAGTAATGTATTAATTTAATACCATATCTATAGGGTACGTTGTCACTGTCGGGTTGATTAACCGCCATTGCATCAGATGTATTGTATGCACCCAACGCGGCGTTTCACACCGACTTGATACATTCCAACTGAGACAAAATACGCAGTGACATGACCAATCTGAGCGAGTCCGTAGCTCGTCCTCAGTAAGATAAAACATGGAACAAACCCAGAGTGCATACTCGGGAGACAATTCGAAGTATAACATCATTATTTAATTGTTCACAACTAGGTAACCAGTCATTTCATAACCAAAACCTGGCCAAAACCCCCATTACTCATTGAACATTACACAATACTATCCGTCTCATAATACGGATCATTCGGATCATAGGGAAACTTCCGCACGACCACATCCCCCTTATACTGCCACAGATCGTACTCGACAGGCGTGAAATCCACCGCACAAGTAGCAGCCTTCTGCCCAAATGTCTCGACCTCGGCCGCACTCCCACCGGAGTAATTGATCCGCACCATATTGACCGTGCGACGGCTCTGATCCATGTCGAAATAATTATTCGGCGCAAATGTCAGACCCGCATGCGCCGTCGTGAACACGGTATTGGGCAGATCACCCGTGTTGGGGACGTGGTGCATACCCACGTTCAGCCACAGGACCAAGTCCTCCTGTTCGAGACTCTCGCCGTTGAAGAAAGCGGAGAAGTCGACGGGCGGGTCATTCACGTCCTGGGAATTGTAGGCATGCGCGGCGCGGGGCTCATGGTCGTGTTGCCGCGTAACTTGGATGTCGTACTCGGCCCAGCGGGCGGCGTTGACGAGGTTGCTCGAGTCCTTGACCGTCAAATGCATGGCCCCGAAGCTGGGGAGGACTCGGTATCCCCGGCTCTCGCCCCATTTGTTAGGTGCGTCAGTGTTGACGACGAGGACTTGCTTGGCAGAGTTGACGCCCCAGTCGAAACGGGCTTCGTCCTCGGTGGTGAGAGTGGAGCGCTGCAGCTGCATTGTGTTGCGGGCCTTGCCGTTAGACCAGGGGAAGACGCGGGAGACGGGCACGTTCTCGACGAACTGCATGGAGTTGGCCGTGCCGAGGATGTCGAAGTCGGCTTTGAAGTTGAGGACGTGGTCGTGCATGCTCCCCGACAGGGCTTCTTGGATCTTCCAGCCGAAGTCGGAGCCGGTTGTGTAGTAGGCCGACTGGATGTAGCCGGATGCGCGGACTTCAACCCCGATGGAGCCGTCGGTGTAGAAGCTGTAGGTGAACATGTAGTCGTAGTTGCCGACGGTCGACACCGAGCGCACGCTGAAGTAAGTGTTCTTGGTGTTGGCGACATATTCGCTCGTGCTGTGACGTTGCATCGGATAGTCGGCCGTGAACTCGAACAAGCAGATGGAGTTGAGATGTGTGTGAGTAGTCTCATCGACGTAGAACGTTGAGTTGAGATACGTCGCGTACTCGGGACAATCGTAGCCAGGCACCAGCTCAAAGGCGTAAGGACCAAATCCGTAGTACGAATCGAGGTACGAGGTGCCAGATTGAACGGGATCTCCTCCGGCATAATGGGCCAATGCTTCCTGGAGACCTAACTCATACAGAATCCTCTCGCCCTTGAACCGGATGTCGTACAAGGTCATGCCAACGTCTCTTGAGAATCCGATGAAGAAGGTGTAGTCCATCCACTCAACGTACTTGCGTTCGTAGTCGAGCGAAAACCGCGAGCCCGAGGGGGCAATCGTGGTCGGGGGATAGTTTGCATCGCTGGGGAGAACATCACCCTGCTGGTCGGTGTGCGCCCAAGTGCCGTCCACGTTGGCAGCCAGCTTCTCGACAGCACCGCTCCAGTACGCCGCACGGAACTCCTCGGTGGTATTGTAAAAGATGTTGTTGTACAGCCATCCTTCAAGCTTCCACTGACTAGGGTCGCGGCCCGTCACGTCGCTCTTGAAGTACAGACCGAGCGGCAGCAGCGTCTCGGCGTCGAAGATGTCGTTAGGCGTATTCCAAAAGCTGTCCCAGCGGATGATGCGACCGTCGTCCTGCCACAGGGGGTCGATGCCCCAGATATCCAACGTGTCGTTATCAGCACCCATGGCAGAACCACCCCACAGATCCATGGTGATGTCGACCATCTCAGCGCCGATCTTGTACAGCCAGGCTGAGTACAGGGCATCATCATCGTCGGCTCCAACATTGCGCACCTTGCCCTCCGTTTTGCGCGTGAGGGGGAACTCAAGTGGTTGATAGCTGGCAGTGGCATTATTCAAGGGTAAGGGACCCACAAGAAGGTCTTGGAAGTAGGGATCCACGGTGGCACGGTTGTCAATAACGACGCGCGCATAGCGGGCGGGAGTTGCGGCTCCGCTGTCGATATACGCCACGGCATCAGTCTTGTTGGGGATCATCAGCTCGACCAAGAGACTACAGGTTGATGATTAGTATCTGAGCAGAAAGACGGACGGTGATAGAAAATATACATACATTGTGTTGTCCCACGCAGTAGCGTTCTCCGAAGCGGTCAGGTTGAGCGCAGGCTGGCCAAACAACCACGCGATGACCGAAGCAGCTTCCCCGTCAGAGAGACCGGCCCAGATGTTCTCATAGGGGGCAGTGATGCTGGTGGCCTTGGTCTCGGGACAGGAGGCAGATGTCGTGTTGGAGTATTGCCGCGCCTCGAGAGATTGCTGGAGGACAGTTCTGGCAATCTTCTTGCCGCGGTTGCGAGACCATTGCACCCGCGAAGGGACCTTGGGCTCAGGACTTGGCCTGGCAAACGCCACCTCGGCGCACGAGAACAGGGCCAAGGCGGCCGCAGCTGCGGTGCAGGGGTTTGAGAGGGCGGTGAGTCTCATGCTGACCAACTTCGGTGCAAGTCGTCTGGCAGAAGGACGTGAGAAGGGAAGCAAACCGACACGCCAGAGGACTTGTGATCACTTGGTCTTTATATACGTGGTAATATCAATAGACTCATCGCCTATCTCGAACAGGGTCCACAGGCTGAGATTAAACGAGGCAGAGCATCACTTGTCTCTGATAGCTCGCAGCTTGGGCCATGTCCGCGACGGATTACCCGCATCTCACACTCTCTCTCTCTCTCTCTCGCAGCTATCTCGTAGCTGCAGCGCGTCGATTTTTCTCATTTGTAAACTACGCGACTCATTCACCAAATCTCGGGCTCTCGGGGGACTCATGCATGGATATCGGAGGTGAGGCGTGATCCCTTATCATTCTTCATCCGGGGTTGCTTGTAGAGCTATGCAGATGGCGGGAGACTCCGAATCCAATCAAGATTTGGTGCCTGAGACTACGGCCGGGAACGGAAGGGAACCTGCAGTTGTTTCTGTATGAACAAAAGTCGCGCGTGAGCCCCTCTTGGACGTGGACACCGCTTCTAAAGTGGTTGAATTGGCTTATCGCAGGTGGGTCGAGTCGTAAGCTTGTCTCCATATAATGCAAGGACCGAAAATTCATAGAGTTCTTGCAATTTGGACTCCATAGATAAGCCCTGAGGAACCACTCGGACGGGTTCGTTTGTGGTGATCCCAATGTTATGGATCAGCTGCACTCTGGAAGGTAGAACTACGAGTGGGACAAAAGCTTGTCCAGACATCCACGTCCCATCAAAAGAAGCCAACTGTCTATAAGGCTTACCCAAGTGGAAGGATCAAGTAATGGTGGGTTTGCCACATGTAGTCTCACAGGAATACCGGGCCATCACAAATCGTTTACACTAGATGCGTTATTTATTCTCTCATCCACTAGTTATCCACTTCTGCGGGAAGGCGATAGGACTCCTTGGGTTCCTTGTTAGCGCAAGGCACCAGCCGTCGAGATGGGGCTCGCATGATCCACTTGTCGATCAAGACGGCTGGGTGGTGAGGCGACGATGGACCAGATCGTACGGGTAATTTTTTAGGAAGTCGTGCACATCCTGAGCGACCCTGGTGGGAAGTGCAAGAGACGACTCGAAGAGCGGGAGCTTGACGAGAGTCCATGCCCCACCTCCATGTCAGCCGCACCCTGGATGAAGTTGCCATCTCCAAACGCTGGCTTGAAGATGAGCGGTGGCAGGGATCCGTGGTTGAAGTACTCTGAACTTGACCTTGTACTCTTCGAACCTTCGTAGTCCAGGTCAGTGTGAAGCCATTACTTGACACTCGCAATGGTGCCTTCACGGTGGAATACGTTGTCCATATTGACAGCCACAGGTTCTTTGGGCGCCGCGATCGGATACTGCGCGGTGTGGCTTGCTTATGTCTGGTGAGAAGCCATATTCCCAGGGCAGGTAGATGGTGACTTGCGAGGATTACTTACTGGAAGTTGTGACAGAAGATGTGATGTCTTTGATCATGATGAATGCGATTGATGGATGCAATGAGGATAAAAGATGGTTGGAAACCACAGTAGCCACTGCACGGACCTAGGCGTTAGAAAGGTAAGAGATCTGAATGGCCTGTGGGCAATTGCTTGAATATCGGCGAGGGGCGGGTGCCCTTTGTTAAGTGACCACGACACGCTCAGGATGCGTTCGCCGATTACGAAAGTTGAACATAATCATGCGTACTCCATATATTGAAGTACGTTATTGTTAGATGGCAAATTGATGATAACGCTATTTTGAAGGCACCACGAGGTTAAGATGGCTGAATATGAATAAGGTTATCGCAAGTACAATCATTGAGAGCATAGAAATGGTCAACTCCATTGCAGCTTTAAAGAGCAAAGTCGCCTCAGTCAGTAACGTGATGTGTGATCCTGGGTGAAGCCCTCAAGGTAATTACCAGGACTAGAAATAGCAAGATAAGGACTGTTAAGTGTCTAAAGACATTATCCGATATCAAGAATCCTTTCGGAGTTTGACAGTTACTGTAATGTAAATCGGAACATTCCTGTATAGTCAATATACAAGTATAATGATCGCAAATCTGGTAAAGCGTAGTCCTAATAGTATCCTTCAGGCGAACAATTTCAATTTGTTGATATTATTCGGGCCCAGACCCAAATTCCAACGTGGACTTCCATATAACTAACGGATCCACATTGTCGATTAGATCTTTTGCTCTTAACCTCTCAATCAATTGAGGTCTCACAATGGCCATATATTTATCCCAGATCACCGACCACCTCTCAGGCGTCACGATGTTGCGCCGCATCTATCATTGCCATACCTGTATTACCATGATTGGTATTTGGAATGCCTTTCCGATCACCGTATGTTGCTCTCTAATTGGATATTAACTCGGGTCTACTGCAGTTGGCCAGTAGGTAGATAAATCACTATTGACGCAGTGATACAATAGCAACGATGTAACCCCAACGTAGTAGCCGGATAATTGAGTTGACAACACTTGCATAGCAGCTCGAAGCCCCTCCGACCCACAGTAACTGATCTTGCTATGCCTATATATACCACGTTCCTGCTCTTTCAAATCTGTTCCATCCAAGACTGTTCACGTCTCTTTTCTGAAATCACTTCATTAGCCTTCAGCACTTCTAACACAACTTCGAAGTAATGGCTGCCGAATCATTATCCTTGGCCGGAAAGGTCGCCATTGTAACTGGCTCTGGCCGTGAGAACGGCATCGGCGCCAGCATAGCCAGGGCATTGGCTCGGAACGGCGCATCTGTCACCGTGAACTACGTATCAGATCAGTCGGCCTCCCGCGCCGAAAATGTCGCACAGGAAATTCGAGACCTAGGTGCTCGAACAACCATAGTACAGGCCGGCGTTGAGACTCAGGCTGGAGCTGCCAAGATTGTTACAGACACCCTGAAGGCATTCGATACCGACCATGTTGATATCCTTGGTTCGTGACTGCCTCAATACACAGAACCCAAGAACCTGAGGCTAAATTATAGTTCTTATGTAGTCAACAATGCTGGATTAGGCAGCTTCGGTCACTTACTAACCATGGCCCCCGAGCATCTCCAGCGCGAGTTCTCCGTGAATGTCTTTGGAACTCTCTTCATGACCCAGGCCGTCGTCACTCAAGGAAAGATGCCCCGTGGCGGTCGCATCATAAATATTGGGTCAATAATGTCCCAAATGGGCCCAGAAAAACTTGGCGTCTATGCTGCTACAAAGGCAGCTACGAACTCTCTCACTGCGACGTGGGCTTGGGAGGTCGGTCTTGAAGCCCCCTATTGTGTTTCTTGCTTTAAACATTTGGTACTAACTGTCATTGACAGCTTGGACGCACTCACGGCATCACGATCAACACTGTAGCACCAGGGCCCGTCATTACGGATATAAATGCCGAAGCGTTTGGCGAAAAGCCGATGGACAAAGAGACGTTAAATGCCCGTTACTGCGCACAGGCCCGTGCCGAAGAACGTATAGGCACAACTGAAGATATCGCTGATGTCGTACTTCTCTTGACCTCTGAGAAGAGCCGTTGGATCACGGGACAGATGGTTTCAGTCGATGGTGGCTTAACCGTTAAGTAGAAGAGCGGCGATGTCGGATTTCTGTCAAAGAGGATGGTGAACGGGATATGAAGACCCAACCTTCTCCTTTTATAAAGACTATGGCTCATTTCAGAACCTTTTGAAGTGCTTCAACGTATATAACGCGCCTGATCTGACTTCTTGTCAGTTCATCTGGCCGTGCTCTGGTGGTCATCTATGACAGCATGTGAATGAGCAGCATGATCAGCCACTGAAATGGATAGTTTTACAGTAGTTCTTCAATATTTTCCTAAGGTGACATGAAGCCCATCCGATTCTACCGTGTTGACAAAACCCATGTTGCTGATGATTTTACTACTCTCATTCCCCCCCTGGAGTGCGCACAGCCGATTACTTTAGCGACTTCACCTCCTCCTCGTGCACCCCTCCAGGCGCAAATGCATACGCATCCACACGAGCTTTGGAGAACTGGCGTGTGGATACATTGTTGCGAAACAGAATATCTAGCTCTTCGTACGTGCGACCTTTGATTTCAGGGAGCCGGAAGTAGGACCAGATGAAGACGCAAAAGGCCGTCGAGCCCCACACAAATCCCGTACGTCCTTTGAGGTCCCATTCGGTTGGGTTCTGGACGCACATTTGTTAGGTTGGATTTCAAGAGGAGGGCTGGAAGACGAACCATCATGTATGCTTGCAGGATTTGCGATACAATATTGACGAGCTGGTAGGCGTTGCGAGCTAGCACGACAGCCAGTGGCCGTAAGCGGACAGCCGAAGTCTCGGAGATAATACTGTACTGCGAGGTTTATTAGCAAACTCTGCAAATATTCGGCAAGGTATGCTTACAGCGAGAGGACCGATAGTCAGGGAGTAGATGAAGAGCCACAGAACACAAAGACCACCCGATGGCCAGAGCGCGTTGGAACCAGCGGAAGCGTTTAAAATGCCGATGATCATCAAAATGACGAAGAGAAGTCCCATGCCCGTGACGTAGATAGGGCGTCGTCCCCAGTATGAGATCAACCACCATGACCTAAGTTTCTTTTGTCAGCATACTGAACAGGGATTCTTTCAGAATCATATTATTTACTCACAGAATCGTCCCGATAAATGCCATCGCCTTCGCACCAAGACTAAGATCGAAAGCTCTCTCCGTAGGCATCCCAGCAGTGGTAAAGAAGTAAGTAGGAGTGTAAGCGAAACTGCTCCCGGAGAGAATCTGTCCGGCCAACGCAACCATGCAGATCTCCGTACGTCGCAGGTTGTCGTTGCGGAAGCATTCCATGTAAGTGGCATCTTTGGTGATTTCAGATTCCGTTTTGGTTGTGTGCAACATCATGGCTAGCTGCGAGTTCATCTGCTCTTCCGTTTTGCTTCCACTGAGCCTGATGATAGAGCGCTTGGCTTCATCCAAACGGTCGTTACGTACGAGGAACCATGGGCTTTCGGGGGCGAGGTAGGCGACTACCATGAGTGGGGTAGGCCACAACTACGGATGGGATGAAATGTTAGCCCAGTGCGCAATTTAGACGTAGATGCGAGTTTTTAGAGTGAAATACTCACCCACTGCATGGCAAATGGAATGCGATAGCCATTGTCTCCGACGATATTGAGGCAACCGCGGAGCACGCCGGCTGCGATGAGCTGGCCGATAGCCCAGCACAGATTGACATAAGTCGTCATATACCCACGTAGGTTCGTTGGACACACTTCAGAAGCTGCAGTGGAGAATTAGTCATTTATGGAAATTGCTCTTGAAGGTCCTGTTATTGTTACCGTATGCCGGGCTAAGCGTCGCAAAGACTCCCCATGACAGACCGCAAAGCACTTGACCAGCAATGAGCATCCCTGGCCCCGTCGCAAAGAAGATGATAAATATGAAGACGTTGAGGAATCCCATCGCAACAATCAGGACCCATCGGTATCCATATTTCGAGGCGAAGTGGCCGTTCAAAAGACCGCCTATGTTATTTAACACCAACATCGACGATGATGTGAGCGGAGATGTCCATACCAAATATGGCCCCGGCAGTGCTTGCCATGGAAAGTCCCGTCTGCCAAGGACCAGAGACCTGCCAGCCGATATCTCCGCCATACCAACTCCCGAACTTGCGCTGAAACTCGGGGTAGGCAAAGAAGTTCCCCATGAGAATTGTGTCATACCTGGGTCCACTCCATAAGCAACGAGCACCGGCGATTTGAGATCTGAGAATATCTTCCTACCCTTCCATAACAATAGACATTGATATCAAAATAGACCACATAACCGCCTTGCGATTCTCCCGCAGCGCCTGGCCCAGCGTCTGCGCATGTTCGTCCTCGGTAGCCTGCTTCGCCTCAAGAATGGCGCTGACGCCAAGCTTCTCCTCCAACTCCTTGTCCGCTACCTTTTGCACGTTGCTGATCTGTACTTCCGATGCCATTATGATTGTTCAGAGCCAGAAGCTTCCAACCTGAGTGGATTAGTGATTATGTGAACCACTGAAACGAACACTTGAGGGGTTGCCTTTAAACAAACACAACTAATACCCCTGTCTCAGCCAAGCATATGCTACCATATCTCGGGCAAAAATATCCCATTGCTCAGGATGAGTCGGGTGACAAGAACCGACTTTGGCTTGGCATCAATACAGGAGTCTGGGGTCTGGGGTAAATTGAGAGCGTGGGGAAGCGGGGTGGTCCAATAAGTAAAACCGCGATTCTTGGCAAATGGAGTCTTTCAGTTACATAGTTGGTGGATTTCATGTCCCTGAACAGTCACAAGACGGGTTTATGTATCGCCGCCATATAATTAGACTGGGCCGCTGGAGCTTGAGACGCGTTAGACGTCTTACGAAATCCTTGGGAACTGGCCTATTGTTGTTACGTGAGAACTAGCGGTCGATAAGTGAGCTCGATTGTGCCAGCGTCCACTGCGGCCAGATTCCCGGGAATCCGGGTATCTCGTGTCGTCCGAAAAGTCGAGGTGGATATGGTTATCAACGATGACTGACATGTATGAGTTGCCTCAAGTTGAAGCGAAGTCGGAATTGATCCTACTACTCCGGGTGGGCAAGTCTTGGGTAGAATAGGTACAAGACGTTTAAGAAAATGCAGTCTCGGAGGGTCTGGGAGAAAAAACCTCTCGTCGTAAACCCATAGTGTATATTCTTTCAAGCTATTGGTAGATCCAACATTGACTTACCCCTGGACTCACTCTCTTCACCTGCTAATGTCGATCCCAGTCCACTAGAATATCTAGGATTTGGAAGACTTCCAGAGTCCGTAACTTATTCACTGATAGTGGTCTTCTCATCCCGGGATACAACCGAGGATGTCCAGGAGGCTCCAAATGGTGGCGTTGATGATGATGATGACCAGCACCACGCGGCACAGACAAAAGAAGCACTGGTCAAGAAACAGTCTGAAGTAGAAACAGAGGAGAGAAACTGTAGTCAGTCCCAAAAGCACGATATAGGCAGGCACGTCGATATGCAAAAACTGAATCATGTCTATGACTTGGTAGCACCACTGAGAATTACGCAACATGCCACGATGGTTGCTTTACAGTATCCGATCCACCCACCATATGTTCTCGCCCATGCTAACTGAAACGCTGAACTTAATTTCAATACAGGGTTTAACTTTACGTACAAAGACGACTTCCTGTGATCACCACCCAGTCATCACAGCCGAATTATTTGACCATAAATATCCTAGTCAGTAGTCTACAGGTGGTACAGGCTATGGCTACAAGGTGAATTGATAAGAAAGGTCAGGCATATCCTTGCGATACCTGCATATAGTCGCTGGCGAGAATAACCGCAGCCCTTCAACCGAGGAGTGGTGACGGACTGCCACACAACAGGGAAATATAGATAAGGTAGGCTATCAATTTAGGAAATTTAGGGTATAGGCAGCCCTACAAAGCTTAATCAGGCTCTCCGTCATTGCAAATGCAATATGGAATTCCCCATGATCCACATATCCCGATGACGGACTCATTCCAGCACATTCTCTATGTATACCCGTCAGTCTATCATCGAACGATTTCTGCCTGACTTTCCCATGACTATGGGAGGTTATTACCGCGATATGGTAGGTCCACAGCCGCTAGAACTCGGGTCGTAGTAATGCGGCAGCGATGGAGCAGAAAACCGATTAGGGTTGGACGGATGGCTCCCACGTGGCGTCGACTCGACGTACGCCGAGCAGGAAAAGTTCGGCGGCTTCACACTAGCCTGGAACCATGGATAAAGAATGGGAAATTCCCTGTAAAGATCAACTAGGCTGTTCTCGCCTCCGAATAGCCAGCGGTATCTCAACGAATAAGAACGGTATCTCTACAAGTGCACATCAATATTTGTTCTGCAACGTGGAGCTTTGATAATCGTTCAAACCTTGACAAATATTTGTGGTTTACTCAGACGGCAATGGTGGAAAACGAATAAAACTTGACGATAGCAAAGTTTGCACCTGCGAACAAGGGACGACTAAGTCGATCAACGCGCAGGTTTCGCGATGGCGAATACGCCTCGACGGAATGACATATCCTGGGCGCGGGGTTTTGAGAAGACCAAAACTCTAAGGAATAGAGGTGAAATTGGGATCTTCTAATCGTATTGATCTACACTCGAGCGAGTTGGTGCATTACTCGGGCGTCTACTCATCCGCAATGATGAATTTTATTACTACGAAGACGCAGTGAATAGCCTGGCCAAAACCGGATTTTCCTGTTCGTGCAGCATGCAAAATGTGAAATAGAACACAGAAGGCCAAGCAGCTGTGGAGTGCAGCCGAATTTTGCGGTTCTCGTAGGGCGGAATTCTTAGAATAGCTGTCAACAGCCGAATGTGCTAAAAATGCTGTGCTTTGAAGGTCTCATAGTCGTCGGTCTAGAGCACCACTAACACAGAGCAGAGGTGGTACAAGTCACCTCGAGATTCAGTCTGTACACCATCACTAATAGAATAACCAGGCAATCCTATGCAGCGTCCAACGTCGGTCAGTATGATCGAATTCGACACCTTGATGACATTCTACCTCTGACGGTGAAGTATTTACCTAATATTAGTCACATTCCATCTCGTAATCCGACAATGCCAAATTTCCATGATGCATCGTGCCACGATGCCATGTGGCCGGTCCCTGGCGGGCATCCCTGGGGCACGCGCGATGGCGCTCCGGTTGGCTGGAATGTTTTCGTGATGCCGCTTGGCACACAAACGATCTCTTGCCTAATTTGACGTCGGCTATGTACACGGCCAATCAGAGCGGGTTGATCACCACAACGGGCTCACTTGGTTTGAGAATACGAGCCTCTTACAACGTCATCTCTGCTGTCGTGCAGATCAACCCACTGGTAGGTCTAGAATCACGCCAACGCGGCTGCCCTATGGCGAGTTGATATTAAATTCTCTTGCGGTCCCAGATGCCGAATTCGTCCCTGAGTATATGAAGTTGAAATTGCTCATTGTGAAACCTCAAGACACCAAAGCTCACCAAAATGCAGTTCTCTCGACATTTTCTCACGTTGGCGCTGGCCACAACGGCCATAGCTCAAGTACGTCAGGGCTTCAACTACGGCTCCACCAACTCAGACGGGTCCTGTCGCGGCTATGAAGACTTCAAATCCCTCTTCAACCGAGCCAAAAACCTCGCTGGTGCCCCCGGGTTTGCCTCCGCACGTCTATACACCTCGATCCAATGCGGCACCGTCAACGACCCCATCTCGGCCTACCAAGCCGCCATCGATACTGACACCTCCATCCTCGTCGGCCTGTGGGCCAGCGCCGGCCGCGGCGTTATCGAGAACGAGATCAACTCGCTTAAGCGAGCTGCTGAACAATACGGCACTGCATTTACGGATCGGGTTATCGGGATTAGTGTAGGCTCGGAAGATTTGTATAGGAGTAGTGACCAGGGGAAGGCGGCTAATGCCGGAGTAGGCGCTACGGGGGAGGAGATTGTGGGGTATATTGGTTGGTTGAGAGATTGGATCAAGGGCACTGCGTTGGAATCGAAGCCCATCGGTCATGTTGACACGTGGACGGCATGGATTCTGCCAGAGAATGCTGGTGTTGCCGCGTCGGTGAATTGGTTGGGTCATAATTCGTTCCCGTACTTTGAGACGACGAAGCCGAACTCGATTGATCTGGGGGGGACCAACTTCTGGTCTGCTGTTGCGCAGACAGAGGGCGTGGCTGGTGGGAAACCTGTCTTTATCACTGAGACGGGGTGGCCTATTGGTGAATATTTCACATCAGCTGACAATCTTACTTGGTTTGCTAACATATTTCTAGCTGGACCCAATCAACGAGATGCTGTTGCATCTCCGGCCAACGCAAAGAGATATTGGTCCGAGGTTGGCTGTGCGTTGTTCGGAAAGCGGAACTCATGGTGGTATACACTGACCGATGCCAATATTGCTCAAACTGATATCTCATTTGGTGTGACACAACCTGGAAGTGTCACACCTCTTTTCGACCTTGGCTGCTAGGTCACCGCCGTTGTCCCAGTGATAGGGGATTGAATATTGAATTGTAGCTCCAGCACCAAAAAGTAACTTCGTCACTTTGTCAATTCAAGGGAAGAGTTCCTAATCCTTGTATCAATTAGATAGTATTTTCAAAAGCAATATTCATGCTGCAAGAACTCTCAAGTAGTTACAGCTGAGCAATGGTTTACTTCAAAAGCAACATTCATGCTGCAAGAATTCTCAAATAGTTAAAGCTGAGCAATGGTTTACCAGAAATTAGAGTTAAGAGTATGTGCAATAATGATGGGGTATGCGATTGAGAATGATCGTTCCTATATATTAATTCGAGAATTCATTTTCAAACCGAAGATGTGTTGGTATTGTGTCTAAGTCGTGTCTCACATATGTGCAGTCGTGGGTAGTATTGATACAGAATTCCGGACTTCATGCGAAAACGGTTAGACGCAATTATAAGATTCCGTTCATTCGTTGACCATCATGCATATATCGAGATACTCCGATTCAAAGGGCCACTTCTATGTATATGGGCCTCCTATGATACATGTTATTTACATTAGCCTCTAGCCCCCGAGAGAACCTTCGGCTTTCCTCCAATGACGAAGAATGACAATATGGCTGTGATCCCCGAAACAACAGCAAATACCAGATTCATATTCCCGTATCCGATGGAGTCTCTGAGTGCACCACTCACTATCGGCCCCATCGTGAGCCCAGCAGAAAAGAATAACGAGCTAAATCCATATAACTGGGCGTACGGTCCATTCGCCCCAAAGAACTCTGGGTTAGCCTTGTCATACTTCTGTACCACATCACTTGCCTCGACGATACTGGGGGAACCAATAATCGCCAGACCAACACCATTCAAGGCAAGCATGGCGCAGTACAAGACGATGTTTCCAGACCCATCGACAAGTTTCGCTGAGGGGAGGCGGAGAAGAACTAGAACCGGGACCAAGAACCCGAAGCCAATGACTGCCGCGGGCTTGGTGCCGAATCTGTCTACGGTCCACCCCGCAATCGGGCCTAGTATCAGATATGGTATGTCGAGCGCGATGAAGAGTAGGCCGGCTTGTAGCGAGGAGAACCCAAACAAATCATGTGCCTCGGTTGGTATTGTCGCATCGAACATAGCCAATAGCGAAGCCTGGACGAATGACAGCGAAAGACCAACCAGAAGCCTTGGATTGCGGAAACAATAGAGAATCGGCAGTGCGCGAACAATACTTCCGGGTTCGCCGTGAATATTATATGCATCGTCTTCTTTCTTGGGCAGGAGAGCATCCTCCTCGCTGGCTTCTTCGTCTTGTGGGTCATTTCTTGTTCCGAAGTCGCGTGGGTTAGTCTCATCATCTTCGGCTGCTGACTTGTACTTTGCAGCTGTCTTCTTTTCCACGATTAGAAGCCGCATTATAAAGTCGAGGGCGAGGACTGCTGATGCTACGCCAAAGACACCTGTATAGCCTGTTTTGTCGTATAGCACACCTCCGAGAACCGGGGCAAGCAGGTCTCCGACGGAAATGAAAGAGAATATCTATATATGTTAGAAAAACTCGTATCACTTCTGGGGGGTCGTGATTACCGATCCGATAACCTTGCCCAGATCTTGAGGTCCAACAGTGTCCAAAACCATAGCTAAACCAATGGTCCTATCACAGGCCAGGTTAGTTACTTCTCTCTTTTCTGAGACATCCACTCCACTTACCAAACTACAGCTGCACTAATCCCCTGGAGTATCCTAGCAACAACCAAAACCGCAATGCTATCCCCAGACGCCAGCATGATAGTGGCAGCCAGAAGCGCAGCTAATCCACTCAGAAACGGGGTCTGTCTCGAGTCCGTCCTATCCGCGATCCATCCCGCCGGCACCGCAGAGACGACCGATGCTCCTGCGTATGCTGCAAGCAGACTGGATACGTATGACTGAATCTCTTCATCCGGGATGGACATTCGGTTTCGTAGCATAAACGGTAGAACTGGCACGACAAGACCGTACAAGAAGAGATCGGTGAACAGTCCGACGGCAACAGTCGCAATGATGAAGGTGGTACTGGAGCGCCAGCGGAGGCCGCGGGGAGGGTTGGTCTGTGACATCGTGGAGCTACTGCAGCAAATTCGAAGCTGCAATGGCACGAGAGATTTTGTCAAAGTAGAAGGTGTTGTACACAAACGCAATGGGAAATGCAAACATCGACGATCAGCACGAAATACTATGTATGTCGGTGTTCGGACAATTCGGTGGTTCCTGCAGATCAATGACCTCATCCGGCGTATAACGTCACCTGCTAAGTACCTTTAGCTGCCGAGCCTCATGAGTTTATACCACTAAATACGGTATATTTAGGCTGCGACGGGAATTTGTGAAGTTATTTGGTGAACCCTGTAACTACAATGATGTCGCAGTGCTTGCTTTATGTTCCGCTTTAAAAGAAGCGTTACTTGTAAGGTGATATATGGGTCTCCTGTTCTTGCATACCTTAAGCAAAGGCGATCGAAAAGCACCTATGAATTCATACAGTGTCTGATTTAGTCACGTCAAAACCTTAAGGAAATAAAGTAGACGTAAACTTCGCAGTGTTTACATGATACTCACCCAATGATCCACTCTACAAAGCTATTTGATCTGTCAGGCCTTGTCATCACCTGTCCCTTGGAATAACATGACTTTGAATCTGACGATAAATCTGTCTTAATTTTTAGTCGATTAGAGCTTCTTAGGTTTATTAGATATTTATTATTAGCCTAGTAATCCTGTGTGCGTGGCATTTGCGATCTTAAAAGTATTTATAGTAGATACAATACTGAAAAAAATGCCTTAGCGACAGCCTGTAAGCTATTTCAAGATTTCTAGTTATACCCTTGCTGTTTACACTTGGCAGATATCTTAGGCATTGAGAGTGCTGGTAGCCTTAGAGAGTGGGAGGGCTTCTTCGTCTAAGCCCACCTAAGTACACCAACTACGTGACATTCTCTTCGCGTCTGTAAATACAACTCTGACCGGAATGCAAACGCGTGGAACCCCGAGCTTGCACAAACTTAGCATAAAAATTCAAATTTTAATCGTCCGTCAAGTAGATGCGCATGATGACAACAGATACCGAGCATAGCGCGGCGAAGGACCGAAGGATGCGACCACAGAAACTAATCAACTGCACACTTTACGAAGATCACTGACGGGGAAAGATGAACATTCCGGAATGTTGACAGATGCATCGACTCTAGCACTGCAACCTCGGCCACGGGCTCTCGAGCGTGTCCTATGTGTGTCTTTTCCATAATGACATGCCCTATCAGACCAGATGCAAATTGCAAGACGAGCGGCCAGCTCTTTGGCGATATTATGATCTCAATCCGGCCAGTCTTGCAATAGCAACTTGCCAAATTCAGCCATACCGCGCAGTAAGTCTCAGCGCCCAAATACAGACGAAACCAATTTCGAAATCAACCCCTTCACTCCATCAGCTCCAGCTGCCTCATTATGGGCACGAACATGGTCTTGTATGTACTGAGGCACGGCAGCGACCTTGTTCGTAGGTGCAGGAAGTGGGACCCCCAGCATCTCGACATAGGGAATAATACCCGTCCAGACATTGTTGGTGGCGGCGGCATTCTTGAGGTCTTTGGCCTCCTCCTTGACACCCGAGTCCCGGATCTTGGCGCTGGCGCTGTCGATGCGAACTTTCAATATGCGCGTAGCAGCAATCTCGGAGGCATTCGGCGGAGTGCGCGAGTTGGCCCAGCGTTGCGGTACCATGCCGTCGGTAATGAGCTGCATGGCATAGATGATCTCTTCGTGATCTGCTTCGGGGTCCAGGAGGGAGGCGTGTCCATGGACTACAGCAGAGCGATAGTCGTAGCTGTGCGAAAAGGGCGTCAGCGACAAGACGAGATTGACGATCTTCGTGGCAGCGATGCAGATTGGGAAGCCCTCCTCTTCGTGTGTGGCATTAGCTGGAAGGGATGATGCTGTGCGGGGCCGGAAAAGGAGAGTGGATACATAACCGTGGATGTAGGCGGACGCTTCTTCGGCACCGGAGAAGTGGCCAATTCGTGCGATCATGGGAAGTATCACCGGAGCAGGGTTGCTTGGGTCGGGGACGAAAGACACATGGGCAACGGGAGCTGTGTTGACGATGGAGTGCACTGCCTCGGTGTCGTAATGGCCTGATCACCTGGATATGAGCGTTGTATCTCCGAGAAGATAGAAATACGGTACCTCTCTCTCTGTGCCTCTTGATAGTATTGGAAGCCGTCTGGGGGTAAACATGATTTTCCTCGTTGGCCATAGCTTGGTCGGTGTGCTTGAAGCGATATGAGGACAAAGTAGAAACGTGGGATTTGAAATCAGGCAAAAGTTGAAAGCTAGAAGTATCGGGTACTATACTTATAGTACCTTCTGAAAAGTGAAGAAAAGGACGCGGTTCACTGATTCCCAGGTAGACAGAGTAAAGGTAAGCACTTTCCTTCAGTAAGCCGGAACCGGAGCGGGTTATGGAAACGCGGGTAAATAAGGTAATCGTTATCACAATGAAACTAGCTCAGTGATTCGTAAGTAGCCTACAATATTGAACAGTTCCTAACGGTGGGACAAGGTCAGTGCAAGCGTCAGGTATCACACAAGCAAACTCACGACATCTGGAAGTTTGCTATTAATGAAAGGTGCTCTCTGGTATGGTGTATGAAATCCGATATCGGTTGTTCATTTGCTAATGTCTGGAAGTACGACCGGGCTCCATGCGAGACGGCGAACAAAACGAATCAAGCGCAACAGGCTCAATCTTGACCCTTTTTATTCTACGTTATATGATGTCATACTCTCGCTCCGATTGGGAACATCGAAACATCTTGCAGGGTGGTGCGCCCAACATGCCTGGGGAAAAGACCGTCTCATGGACATCGCCCAATCCATAGAAGGCCTGCAGCTCTCGAATCAAGCCAAAAGCGAAGCAGCCATGTGAGTGCATTCCAGCCTCGAAAGCGCCCACATAGGGCCGCCACATGGGAGCATCCGGGTTAAACGACGGGTGTCTCGTACGCATGGCCCTTCGCAGCATCTCGTGGTCATAAATATGCTGGAAGCCCGTGTAGATCTCCTGCCCCCGGCCCATGAAATCGCCAGCCGAAGAGTGCACCTTCCTGGCAAGAGGTATCAGGTTTTTGTATTTTTCCCTCTCCTGCAAGCCACAGATGACGACTATGAAGCAGCATTTGGTTTTTCTTTAACCCGGGGGTGTCGCCTTCTATGTAGTGTTGTGTGGACTGCGCGACATGACACCAGCGACGATGAGCGAAGAGGTTTCCTCCAAGGACTCAAACTCCTACTTCCCCTTTCGGCATGTTAGAGTACGTCGAGGCCGTTTTGCGGTGCGTAAAAGACTTACGTGCCGTATTCTGGATAACATGACACTATGTAACGTTTGAGAGGGATTGCCTAAAGCGGTAGCTTGAAGCGACAGGATAATCCCGATTAATATTGACACGACGTTATAGGCTACTAATTATGGGTAAGTTGATCGGGTCGGTCGGCCCACTGTGGGGAGACATTATGTTATGCCCACTTGGAACGTAGTGGAGTGGGTGAGACTGGACCGAGAGCCACTAGTATTATCTTTAGAGATGTCTTTCTTCATGCTTATTGGCGGCATTAGATCCACTCAAAATACCGGAGTTAGCGTACTACAGCCTTGCTACAACGACGGAGCCAACAACCTTCCTGCGTGAACACGCTGCGTCACGCGTCACGGAATGAACTAGACGAAAAAGGCTGCACTCACCGGAACTACCCTCCAATATCCCGAAAAGTTTGCCTAGTTAGTTCATTCAGCTATAGGGTTCATACGTACTTCCCTCGAGCTTGATAGAATGCATACTAATTAAACCACGACAATTTCCTTTCCAGCCGCTTAGAAAACTACCGCAGGTGCTAGAATACCCGACACAGTGAACGTATTGTTGGCCGCTGGTGTACTAATAGTCGAGTGTAACTTAGTATATACTGCACGGCTCTTCCGATCATGTCCAACACGCACATGGTCTATTCTTCTCAATTATTAAGCTTTAGATCGATTCCATTTTCTTTACTAGCAAACAAACTCCTTCCCGGGACAGTCAGCATGGTCACTACTCACAGAAGAGGGCACTTGCCCAAATACCAATGATAAACTATGACCACGTTCATACCAGGGATCCTGTGGAAGCTGGGAAACTCTTTGATTCTTGCAAATGTCCTCCAACCGGAAGAGGTATTTTCCTCCTGAATCTGAGTAGCCCCTCTACCCGGCGAATCTTAACGGACTTGGCTGCTGTTAACACATGTATGGTGTCGTGTCTCAAGCAGCAAAAGAAGGTTAAGACAGATTTTCGAGACAGCATTAGAGGGGGATAAGTACGCGCTTGTCGAACAAGACAGGACCTCCTAGATGTGTGGATCCTGATGGTTTTGTTGCCGATTCAAGTTCCTATATGTGTTCGAAGACACGTTCGAGATTTCCCAGGACGAGGAGGAGGCGAAAACCCACAAGCTCCCATAAGCTCCCATGTGCCCTCAACCAGTGCATATCTGAGCTCTCTGAGCTCTCTTCAGGCTCCTTAAAGTGCAGTCCACCACCCGGCGACTGATCGGCCTCAGACAGGCTTTGTGCCACAGACAGGCCGACAACGGGCCAGATAATGTCAGCGCTAAGACATAGGCACATGGCAGGAAAACAGTAGGTCCAATATGTCGTTAAAGCGGGGAAGGGCACCGCAAAGAGGATTGGAGACGTGATTCCGCAAGTAATTCCAAACACGAAAAGACACAAGCTCGGGATGACTGAGGTAGACGGCGCAACGGCAAAGGCGGCAAGTGCTGATCGAATTCACGGACTGGTCAACTTTGAAAAACTTCACTGGACTGGTCGAATGGTCCAGAGAGTATTCAGGGGTGGGCCAACAACTTACCACTAACAACTCGTGCAGGGAGAAACCTAAACGTCGTTTCTAATACACTCAAGCGAAGGGAATCCTGATAAGTGTGATTTTAATGTGTTGGTAAATTATATATCATAGATGGGTGGCTTGGAACATGACTTACAAGAAAGTTGCGAAAATCAGGAAGCTGTTGAAGGATGCGTAAAAGAAGCCAACGGTGATAAAAGCTGCCACGAACCGAAGATTCTTGAACCTAAAGAGACTCCTAGCAGGTACTTGACCTCTTGCAGGAAATAGAGGCAACTACAGCTTGGATTCGAAAAGGAAACAGCGAGACGAGTTTGATTGTTCGCGAGATGTCATGGAAAGACAAGGCGTTTGGTGCCTTCACGCACGCCGATGTCGAGGTCGTCAAAGAATGGATAGACTCATTGAGACACGAGGTTCCAGTGCCATCAGGAGATGACATGGAACACGACATCTGGATGACGGAAAATACCCGCGTCCTTCCCATGAGGGCATGGCCGCCAATCACCCAGTCTTTGTCGCAACTGAAAGGGAAGGCGGGTTATCCTGTACGATACCCACCGCTCCTTCTTCTGAAAGAAAGTTCACCCCATATCCTCCCCTGAAAGCAGCCGACCTGCCTTTAATTGTCTTTCTGCCCCTATGGATCACCCACCTATGTCTCCTCGAAAATATTATTAGCTAACCCTCCAAGGCCGCAAGACCGCTCGCTGCCCACATAGTTCGTCTCCTGCGCGCCGAATACGGGTTTATGCCCGGTACCTCTGGAATAGCAGGGATGGACTCGTTAATCAGCTCCCCTTTATGGTTGTTCTTGGCCTCGAGATGGTGCGGCAACATGACAAAGTGATGCAACTAACATGTCTGAAAGACAGCGTTTTGTGGCCGGATCAAGACACGAAAAGGTTCACCTATTCTATGCTACAACGGGCAATAAAACCGGTCGCAAACATAGGCTTGCTGCTGGGCTTGGCGCATGTGTTTGCGGACCCTGAATTGTGGGTGGCACAGGCAAATGGACTGTTATCTGAAAGGGGGCAAAGTGCCCTGCTGTGCATTGTGGAGAGAAAGCTGGAGGCTTGTCAAGAAGAATTGAAAAAGACTATCTTCAATACGGCAACTGGGCTAAAGCGTACGCCTTGGGCCATGTTGCAATAAAAAAGGGCTCAGAATGTATGCACAAGGTAAAAGTAGTTCCGACATCATGGCAGCCAACAAGGACCTAACTTGTTTTCAGTTGTGAAAGGGTACAGGCCAAGAACTGTTCGCAGTGAACGCTCAAAACTACGTGCTTTCGACTTCTTCCAACGTGTAGAAAGGCCTAGACATCAAGTCATATGCGCACTTCCGGATAGACGGTATCTGTACTTATCTAGTTGAGGACAAGATTGCAGATCCGTACATGTACTTGGCTTGAAGTACTTCATTACTACGAAGGTAGGCTTTAAACGGTTTGGTTAGCTTGTTACCGTTTTATGCTAACTTCACTAAAGACAGCCATGCTGACTGTCTTGCTCTTTGAAAGAAACAGGTAGTTTACTTAGTATCTGCGGCCTCAGGCACGAAGGGTACGAGACAGGCAGTAGTGTTTGTCGTATTGAGAGGCCCCTTGGGTCCAACTTGGGATTGGTCCCCCACGCATCTTCGTAGTAGTACCCGGTGGTTTGAATCCGATAGTATCACCATTATTTGATAATTCGTTCAACAGAACATCAGGTATTTGGAGTGGCTAAAAATATACCTGACTGCACTTACGACTATACTTCTTTTCACACAACTTCTTGCTCCATAATGAAAATAGTCTCGAGATAAGTGGGTTGAAGGGTTTTCTTTTTTTTTTTCCTTTTTTTGGTGTAATAAGTTGATGTAAGTAGCTGCCGTGATATAGATGCCAGAAGGTTGTTGCCAGTGTCTTGAGAGCAAGGCTGGGGCATCAAGCCATTCGTATATACATTCCATCTTTTCAGCGAAATCTCTGATGAGATTAAAGAATGATTAATTTCAACATGTTGGAAAAGCTTACCCAAAGCAGGGGCCATTATCGAGTGTTGTCTCGATGTCCAAGTCAGCTTAAGCCTTCAGATGGTCCCAGTAAAAAGTCTGGACACCGCCTAGAAGCACGAGCCACAATAAGGCAGAAAAACGCCAAGATTTCGCTGATCAGCGGTAAGCGGCTGGATCCCACTCCTAGAAAATTTCAAACCGCCAAAAAAATCCGTCACCAATCATCATTAGGCTGTGTTTGATCGTGTCGGTTTGCCTTCTGTCAGCTCCGATTTCAACATCGATCTCAAGAAGGCCACCTCAAGGAAACCGCCGAAGTCATTGCCAATCATAACTTCCTCCGAGGAACATTTCCTACGCCTAAAGTTACCATTGTAGTCGCTATGGCCGAGTCGTCGTTGCAGGTTAGTTCTGCCCGTTGACCCCGCCACTCGAAAGTTAGCTGCGTTTGAGATGGTGACTGACCGAGGAATACTCAACAGGACCGCCTGCGCGACCATGCTAAGGCATTTGACGGTCTGCTATCGCTTATCCCAGCCAAGATGTACTATGGAGAAGACAGTGGTGTACGTAGTCCTCCGATTGAAGCCCGTAGTAGCCAGTTCGTGGGCCCAATGCACATCGCAGCGATTGCACCCACCTAGATGAAGTCCATCACCACACACAATACGTGACACTTACCAATGTGCCACTCCACAGGATCAATGGCAGAAGAAAAAGCAGTCGAAAGCACAAGCGAAAGAAGCGCGGCGAAACAAGCTCGACCCCGATAGCGAACTCAACCGCAACGTCAAGGAGGTCATGGATGAGCAGGAGGGAAGGAAGCGAAAGCGCGAGCAGCGCATTGAAGATGGCGAGGATGAACCGTGGTCCGACGTCGAAGGCATCGAGGCCGAGAAGCCAGGTCAAGGCCTCAAAAAGAAACAGAAATTGGTCGAGGTGGTGCCAGAGATGACGGAGGAGGAGAAGCGGAAAGAGGAGAAGAAGGCAGCCAGAAAGGAGCGAAAGGCCGAAAGGAAAGAGTTAAGAGAGGAGGAAGCAGCTTACGCGAAACGAAACGTCAAGTCCGGAGTCAACAAGGTCAAGTTGGGTCCCAGAGAAATAAAGCCAGCGACCTCGACCGCGAGCAAACATTCGCAGTCATACGCCACAGATGAGACAAAGGAATCAGTTGAGGATGAGCCTGAGGCTGACGAACCCTCCGATGTCAATGAACTCGATATATCTGGTCTGGCCGCTAACGACGACGGTGATGATGCGCCTGGCTCCGACTCTGAGTCTCCGTCTGAACCCGCCTCTCCCGTATTTGACCCTAATGGTACGCCGGCAGACTCCACAGGTCAGGCCGAGAGCTCGACCACATCTATCTCATCAACGACACCTGCGTCTGACAACGCAAAGCCTGCCAAAAAGTCAGCAGCCGATACCGAAGCTCTACGCGAACGCCTCGCTGCCAAGATCAAAGCGCTCCGCGAGGCTCGCAAGGCCGACGGGCCTGATGGTAAACCCATACGCACACGTCAAGAACTCATTGAGTCGCGCCGACAAAAGCAAGCCGAGCGAAAAGCACACAAAAGGGAGCAGCGTGAAAGAGCCAAGGAAGAGGAGGACCAGAGGCGTGAGGAAGCACTTGCATCAGCCCGAAACTCCCCGCTCAGTATCCTCAGTCCATCCGTCGATTCACCCGACAACAATTTCGCGTTCGGCCGCGTCGCCTTCGGCGATGGTACTCAACTAGCACACGATCTCTCCCACGTCCTGAGCAGCGGGAAGAAGAAGGGCCCCTCAGATCCCAAAACCGCTCTCCAGAAACTGCAGAACGAGAAAAAGCGACTCGAGCAGATGGGCGATGAGAAACGCAAGGACATTGAGGAGAAGGAAACCTGGCTCGTAGCAAGGAAGCGCGCAGAAGGCGAAAAGATCCGAGATGACGAGAAGCTGCTCAAGAAGGCCCTGAAGCGAAAGGAAGGCGCCAAGAAGAAGAGCGAGAAGGCGTGGGCGGAAAGGGCCGAAGGCGTGCAAAAGAGCATACACCAGCGCCAGAAGAAACGCGAGACAAACATCAAGCAGCGAAAGGAGCAGAAGCTGTCGGGCAAGGCTGGCAAGAAGAAGAAGCCAGCCGGCAAGAAGGGAAAAGGCCGCGCTGGATTTGAAGGTTCATTCAGTGTGGGCGGCAAGGGGAAATAAACTCGTGGATGTAATGGCTGTTTGGCATGGGTTCAAGCGCCGGTGGGTGAACAAAAACTTCTGCTATGTAGGCATAACTGTCGACGCTTAGAACCAAGAGTTCTATACTAGCAGATCGTAGAGAATGGAGTCCTGGATTCCCAGGAACCCCCTTGTATGTAGATACTCATCCATGCCTATCCATCATTTTAGCGGGCGTAATATGATTTCTACTTGACAACAAGAGCCTTTGTGATTATTGCGTACAGTGACAGCAATGTCGGATCGAGAACTAAGTTGTCAGTCATTATGTACGCCTGGGACTAATTTGGTCTCATATCTGCTTTGTCCCTTTGTTACTCACCGTTGTGCTTCCCCGGATTCCAGACTCTTTGAAGCATGCAGCTACAACAAAGAGACTCAATATGACGATGTATCTAAATACAATAGATACAACCGCTTTCGTCATGCAGTTGACCCTCTTGACTGCCATACTTCCAAATATTTAGCCCTCAACGCCCCCATCACATCCCCGCGCAGAATTCCATCCATCTTCCCTGCCCCAGTGGAACAGCCCCAGATGTGCACACAAATCTACCTCCTCCAACGCTGCAATGCCTGCGGCCCCACAGATGAGTGGGCTCTCTACACCGAACACAAAGACAAGTGCAGCGTAAAGGAGCCTATCAAGCACTATCGGCAGCCGGATCCGTATATCATGTTTCGGTGCGAGGAGTGTGTGAGGAAGGGGAGGTTCTTTGAGGATACGCCTGAGGGAAGGAAGTGGATAGAGGAGAATGGGGTTAAGCTTGTTGTGGATGAGAAGGGGGATATGAAGAAGCCGAAACCGAAGGAAACGAGGAAGGAGTGGGTTGCGGACTTTTGAGGAGTGATATCGGGGTGAAATGTGAGTGTTGACTCTTCTTTTCTTCTTACATTATGCTGGGGAGTATTTCTGTTACCGAACTGTGAGTATCTTTTACATTGGCTTGAAGGCGAGGTATGTTTGACATGAAATAAGTAACTGAGATGAGGTTTGACTAGCATTAGACGGCATCCCCAATTATGATACTGCAATGGATCAGCTCAACTACTTCAGTCTCCCCAGGGACTTCTGTGTTTTCTCAAGGAGTATGGAGTATGGTAAGTTTCGAGTATGGCAACTGGACCCAAATCGGGAGCCCAACCTACAGTGATACATATTGGCACAGCTGGCCAGTCATATGTTGGAATCCACCCTTTCCCCTTTGGCTACACTCGGCCCAAATCCCGACCCAAGACGAGAGATGTGCAGAACACAAGATATCCGGGCCAGAATGGGCGTTTATTTAGATATCGATGACATCTAGATCTCCTTGGTGGAATCTTCAGTCGGCATTAGGAGTCCCTCGGCATGATTTCGGCTCGGGCGGGTTGAAGCTGGAACCGGTCCGTTCTGTACGGATGATGCGCAAGTATTCTCTGGGGCCAAAATCTTCATGTCGAGGTGACACGGTCGATGATGGGCTTAGGCCCTGGAGACGTCGATGTCTGGCTGGGGTGGCGTCACCGGCGTTGTCACGATTCTGTTCGACAGCGCTAAGGGATTTTAGCTTGGTTGTCTAACATGGTCATTGTTCAGTAAGCATCTTGCGCCTGTTGGAGTTTGAGTGTCAAGTTGAGCCATGGAATTGAAATTGAGGATTTCTCCAGACTTCCTGTTTAGGGATGAAATGACAAAATACTTCCATAGCATCACCTGCAAACCAATTGGACCTCGTTCTTTAATGATGAATCAAGTAAATCTCCAGTCCATTAAGCCTTTTCTATAATCAGTTCAAGTTCAAGTTGCGAGTAAGCATTAGCGGTAAACTCTAAGCCGAAGGCTAGTGTTGGTTCACTGCGTATGGACTTACAGGGACGAAGGCTGGCATGGGCCCTAGAGACTGAGAGTTGGTTACTTACTGCCCAAGCCATCTGGAAGTCAGCATACTATAAGCTTCAAGGGCTCAAATTTGAGCTTCTTCCAGTTGTTCCGCTCCGGACTAGCCATTTAAGATATCTCTCTGGTCTACTTTATTTTTAGCGCTTATGAACAGTATAGTTATGCGTGTGCGGGCGCAGAAGGCTTGGGCCTCTTCATGACGAGGATACTACCAATCTACTCGTGTAAAGAGCCGAAAATGCCGTGCAGAATTGTTCAGGGCCCCTGAACTGTCTAATATTGAGTTTACTATTCCAAGAGTCCATATGTGCCATTCTCTACAATCCGAGGGCGAAATTCTTATCTGACCATGTGAGTCCTTCCATATGTGATTTCTTCAGCCTGCGCTATTGCTTCTAATATGAGCTTGTTTACTTGCGATGGGAAAGTACCAGCTACCATTGAGAAAACTGCGCGTTGATGAATACCAAAGCTCTACCCTGTTGGACTTGCATTTTCGGACAGCGCCACGTTTGTCTTATTTATTGTCCAATAAAGCCACGCGGCGGTTTTATTTGATGTGATCCGATATCCGGATGACTTAAACTAAACCAAACTTAGCCTTAGGAACTCCTATGTATCTGCATCGAAATCGTAAAGTCCGCAGTCGACCCTTGGCGCCATCTGATACCTACATCACTAGTGTTGAATTCAGCTACACCCCACGAGAACAGACGGTCATGATCGGGTTAGCCTACTAAGCAACTTGCAGGTGACTACTAAATCCGGCCACATATGGAAACATAGACAGGTCGTGCCCATACCCACAGTCCCGGAATGACGGCGGCTGGAACGGTGGAAGAATCATACGAGGCCTGCTGGTTTGCTCACACGCCTCCCAATGGGCTTGTTGGCATTGAAATCCGGAGTTCGAGGCCACGCGCTAGGCTATTATGAACAGCGCCTAGCTGGAGAATGCATCGAGATGAATCCCGAATAGCCGGCGTCTGGCAGCCATGATTGACTATATAACCATGGGGATCTCTCACCATGAAAAGAATCCAAAGTCGCCATCAACAGGCTTCGGTTGTCACTCACTCACTTTACTCACTTCACTCACTACCTTCATTCTTTGAAATTTACACACTCTCTTTGATACTCACACTCTTTGTATAGTATCTGTTCTAAGAAAAGAATGCGTTATCACGCATTGCTTGGCGCTGTCGCGCTCGTTCGGGCCGCCCCCAACACTGCCATCTTCGATGCTGAAGCCTTCAAGGCCGTCCCGGGACCAACCCTGACTGGCCCTCCCCCTGGTGTAGCCACTCAAGAGGGCGTGTACGACGACGACGCACTTCTTTCCAAGGCTACCGCGGTGGTATCGACGATTGCCACTGCGCAGGCCACGGTATCGCAGGTTGCTCGCCGGAGCGATCTCGAGGCCCAGAGAGTCTGCATCTTCGGCTACTGCTTCGGCAGTTCCAAGAGTACTAAGAACTCTGGGGGTTATGGCAACAATGACAACGATGATGATGACGACAACGACGGGGGAGGTTATGGCTCGGGCAGCATCACTAGGCCACCCGTTTCCGTCACGACTCCCCCGGTCACTATCACCTCAGCTCCCTCCATCAGCTACGGTTCCGTCCCATCGTCCTGCACGCCAGTGAGCTGGACCAACACATTCGCATTCACCAGCGACCCGACATGCACCAAGGGCCCCTTCGAAGTCGGCACTTACTGCGGCTTCATCAATCCCGAGGACCCCTGCGCCCCGCAACCTCTGGGTGCTGGTCCCGTCCCTACCCCAGACACCGTCCCGGGCTTCTACAAGTCCGAGGCGCTTAGTAAGCTTGCTAAGAACGCCATCACACCCAAAAACTACACCAATACCTTCCGCAACCTCAACGCCTCAGTCAATGCTATTTCCTATATGGGTCTGCACACGCTCAACAGCTACGATCCGCAAGCATGCGCCGAGTTCTGCAACACAGAGAAGCTCTGCACGGGGTTCAACATCTTTGCTGAGCGCAATCCCCTCTGGAACCCTGACCAGTGCTCCTGCACCGCCCCTCCCTCCATGACCAACTTCAAGTGCACTATCTGGGGCTCTGGTGTCCTCGCGGGCGCTGCCAACAACTTCGGCCAGAAGCGTGGCGAGGACTTCAACGTCGTCATTGCTGCATCCAATGGCTACGAGAAGATCAACACGACGACGCCGCCCACTCCCGATGGCTGGGGCAAGCCCCAAAGGTGCGGTGGTATGTTCGACAAGCCGCGCACTTGCATTGGGAAGCAGATCTTCAAGGGTCCTTTCGATCCCTCGGTTTGCGCGGCTTATGCCTCGGCACAGAATGCGCTCAATCAAAAGAAGGGTCTATGGAATCTTATCAAGTCCCTGTTGGGGTACAACAACTCCAAATGTAATTTCTTCAATGCGGCTATGTTAGACATGAACGACGTCGCCCAGGGATATCAGTGCTCGCTTTATGCGCAACAATATCAGTCTGAACAGGCTACGTTCCAGCCGCCTAAGTACGGGGCTGATGTCTGGAAGGTTGAGAATAGTTGGAGTTATTGTCTGAAGGGAACTTATTAGATCGTAGGGCACGGGCTTGGTATGGAAAGGGTAATGATGGTGTTTGGTTTGTCTTTGGGGTATGACTGAGAATGGGGTTTGCTTTTGTAAACGGTTGGGTTCGGAGTTATGATTTGGTAATTCGGGGAGGGATGGAAAAATAGGGGTATGATTTACATGGGACTATTTGTACATACAAATAATCTGAAACCTGAATACGAATCGTTCTCAAGACACAATTTGTAATTTTTATTGACACAAACGTTTTCTTTGTACGTTTTCTTGAAGGATATAGAGTAATCTATTTGATCGCATCTAAGGTTCGAGTCTTGGGGGGGCACAATACCCAGCAGCAAATGCGACCACCGCAGCCGAGCATCCAACAAAATAAAGTAACGAAGAGTAACAACATAGTAACAGGAGCTATAGTCCGACCAGACACGCCAATATTCGTATCATCAGGCAATCTGTGTTATAGTTGCAATCGCTCAGATCCTCATCGCTTCCTTTACCGATTCCAATTACCATTCAGCGGCTATCAAATTCACAGATTAATTCAAGCCCACTCTAACTTCTTCGCATAGATTCAGTATTATATGCCTTTGTAGTCTGCTTGCGCAAGAGCCTCGGAGGCCTCGGGTTCTCCAATGCCAAAAGACATCTTTGATCCTCTGGCTCATGGTGATTTGTGAAACGACCCGGAATGATGCGCTTGACGGCTGGTTAGGTTTGTTGTCACCGTAAAACTTCTTTATGTAGGTTCTATTCAGGATACTATTGAATTTTGGTGGGCATTTTCACCAGAGTACATCGAATCGAGATCGTGGATTGACGCTTTTGTGACATTTCGGTCGTGTAGGCGTAAAGTGTCTTAAACGCTGTGCTGCCATGATGCTAGGCGCGCCATGGCCTGATCGCGATGTTGTAGTAGACGGAGATGACACTCGGTATCTTCCCGATAATTTGTAGTCTATGTTGTAATTTCGGTCGTGTTTTTTCTTGCGTCCAGCCCTTTGACTGTCACCTCTTTGGTTTTCAATGGTAGGCGAAATACGATGACTTTGGAAGGCTAGCAAACTAGGGCGAAGCCACGCGACTCTTGATTGATGGAAAGTAGAGGTGTCTTAATCCATCCGGGATGACGAGACAGGTGGGAATTCTATGCTTGAGCGTGAGTCGCCAGATAATGTGGCGCAGCTCCGGTGCGGTGAAACCATATCATTTGATTGGAGGCTATCAGAATACGAGAGTTTCTCGGATGGAGCATCCAAGCAGTTCGACCTATGATATATCCTTAAATAAATATTTCCGCGGTTTTCTGCTCCTGAGTTCACCATACTTCATGAGACAGCTCAAGTATCATACAAAGCTAAAGAAACAGCTCCAGCCTAATGTATAACCTTGAGTTTCATAATACAACAATGGAAGCGAAAAAAAGTCAAGAAATACCTGTTAGACCTAGATGATATCACGATCTTCGCATACAGAAGAACCAAAGTGCAAGAACGTTGAAGTTCAGGTAATTGGCCTTCTTCTCTTAATTCTAGTGTAGCTTTCTAATCCCGAGACCGAGCTTCATTCTTTTGTTCAAGCGTCCCAACAACAAGCCGCAGCAGCACGTCCTGCCCTCCGTCCAAACACTGAGCCTGAAGTCAATCCAGAACCTCCCGGATAATTGCCATAGAACAGTCCTCCAAGCATCTCACCAACGCAGAAAAGCCCTGGAACCTCTCGGTTGCTAGCTGAAATAACAGCAGTAGTCTCTGGGTTGACTGACAAACCCCCAAAGGTGAAGGTGATACCACACGCCACTTTGACCGCCAGGAAAGGCGCCTCATCAATAGGAAGCGCCCAATTCGACTTCGGCAGTGCCAAACTCTTTGTCTTTGACTGCGTTGACACTCCATCTTTGACCGCCGGATCCCATTTCAAATGGGGATTTTCCTCTTTGTGTGCATGAGCCGCCTCATTGAAGGCCGTCAATGTGTCTAAAAACCTCTGGCGGGACTGTAGTCCCGCCTTGACACACTTATCAGCCAACTCTTCAATGCTGCCCGCTGTAATCTTCGGTACGATCTCATCTCGATATTCCTCCTCCCTCAGCCACGGTATCCCCTTCGCGTCCCAAACCTGGAACGCCACCCCGTCCGGCTGCGCCAGAATAGCTTTGCCAAACTTCGCATAAGTGTAATTCCTCAGATCAATCCCTTCGTCCACAAACCGCTCTCCCTGGTTATTTATCATAACACCAAGCGGATACCCCGACTTGGTAAACTCATTCGAAACCAGCCGATCACCTGTGTTCGGTGGAGCATTCGCATCCCATGCCGTAGCATGGCATCCTGACCAATTCCCCGCTTGCTTGGCCAGAACATCTCTTATCGCCATCTCCAGACATTCCCCCGTATTTAAAGGGGTTCCTCGCACATAGGCCAGGTCCCAGTTGGAACCGAGGTACTGGCTCCTCATCCGTGGGTTCGCCTCGAATCCGCCTGCGGCGAGGATGGTCGCTTTCGCTTTGATGGTCTGCGTCTTCCCGTGCCGCTCGATCAGAACCCCTCTCACAGCCGCCGTATCTGGGTCCGAGATGAGCTGTTTCGCCATGGTAGAGTAGAAAACTTTGATCCCGTGCCTGCGCGCAGCATTTTTATGGTCTTCAATCAGCCCCTTTCCGCCGCCTTCAGTCTTCAGCGCCAGGCCGCCCCAGAACTTGTACCGGCCGTCGACCTTGTAGGCTTGCCGGTTGAAGGACAGTTGGAAGTTCACCCCAAGACTGGCGAGCCATTTAACGGTATCGTTGGAATCCTCTATGAGAACCCGACCGAGCTGCTCATCCGAGCGCCCATTGCTGACGCGTGAGAGATCGTTTTGGAAGTCGTCGCTGGTGTAGGGGTCCAAGTCGATGATCTTGACTGTTTCCGCATCGACGTTTTTGACGATGGGTAAGAGGTCCTTCAGTCCCTCATGTGTAGTGCGAAATGCTCCGGCTGTGAAGAAGCTGTTGCCGCCGGCCCAGTCTTCATGGCACTTGTCGATGAGGACTACGTTCTTGGCGCCACTCTGTGAGGCTGATATGGCCGCTGAGAAGCCGGCGTTTCCACTACCGACTACCAGGACGTCGCATTCTTGTGGTAGCGCTTCTGACATTATGCTTATTCGGTTTGGTCTTTAGGTTTTGATTATTGTTCAGGGGCTTTCCATCGAAGCGTTTACATGCACTTATGGATGTATTGTCAGTATTTGTTGATCGCGGCGATGAAGATGTCCAATGCGGAGTTTGATACTCCGCATGTTAGTGGAAGAGGGTTGCCGCTCGGCCCCGCGTGGCGCGCTCTATAGCCGGCTTATATCCATCACGATCTCAAATGCGCAATGGCTTACGAGTTGATAGTGGTCACCTTGGGGAGTTTGATACGCATATATAAGATGTGTCCACATTATTTCATAGTTCACTCTACCAGGTTATAGCTTCCGGTGGTGAAATATGGATTATAAAGTGTACGATATATACAAGACAAGGGGGCAAGTATTGAATAAATAACGGTCAGCGTTATCACCTTTAACTTGCAATCCGAACTTTATTGTTCAGAGATACTTGATAACTGGTAGTGGTGAAATTCCTCAGATTAATCGAGTTGGTATGGGATTATCCGGGACTTTTCCTCACGCGCTACTTCTTGCAGCGTCTCTTCGGCGTCGGCCAGAGCTGCCGCAACAACCCAAAATCAACTCACAGTCCAAGACTGCCCCTCCTGAGACTCCGTCGAACTCGTCTCCTACCGAACGTTGTCCCATTCAACCCGCACCCCGGATTGACGCAAGACGAAACAGTATGAATATACCGAATCTTGCCCGACTCAACCCTGAAAAAATGACTATCCGGCATATTCTGCGACTCAACCGAGCGGTCCAACCCCGGAAACCCGAGGAAAATGTCCACCGTGCCCATCGTCTCATCAACCACATATCGACGATCCGTCACAACCAGCGTTGAAGGCAAGCCCGCAAGGGTGCACGAATCACCCGTCAGATTCAGCGTCCCCGTGTAAGCCCCTCCCTCTAACCGGGCGCAGGGGACATCGAAGGGCACAACGACGCTGGTGTTGTCGAAACGATTGAAGTAGGCATCGCCAGCCGCTTTGATGACCTCGCGCGTATCCCGCTTCTCAGGCGGGATGGGATCCCACTTCTCATGCGAGTTCCAGTAGAGGTACCCCGTAGCGTTGAACAGCCAATCACCCTGGTCCGTAACGATGCTCTCCATAAGTGTGATCTTATGCGAAGTCTCACTGAAGATGATGCGAGTGCCAATAACATATGGGTGGGGGTTGCTGGCTGCAATGATCTCGGAAAAGGTGGCGCAGTTGACGGTATCGTGGGTGCTGCGGTTGTGGTCGATTTTGATAGCCTCGGTTAGGACACCCTCGGAGATGGATAAGGGTGCGCCGTTCTCGGTGTATGTCACGTTGCTGGCGGCGAGGGAGGCGATGCTTGTGGGGTCGCCGGCGGCCTGGGCGTTGATGTACTTGGTCGTTGCGTCGGTAAGGAAGGCAAAGTCGCAGTCGGCCGAGCAGGTCAAGGCGAGTGACAAGCACGCGAGGATGATAGACTGACGCATGTTGAGTTTGGCCAACTGGTGGCGTCAACTATGAAACAATTCTCGATCGTATGTGCGATCCAACAATATGTCTCTTGCGAAGATGATAGGCATCCTGCGTTGATATATACGCGTCGCAAATCGATAGATGAAGTGCCGTGGCATCAAGGAGAACACTACGTGGCAATGAACATTCATCCGTGTGTCGATATGCCATGATGCAGACAAGACGTCACATCTAACAGCTTGGTTGGGCAATCTGTAAATCGAGGGTCCATCAGACCGGAGTCGTGGTTTTAGCACTCGCGGCAAATGTACCTACATATTTAAATTACGCGGGGCATGCCGGTACTGCTCGAGAGTGCCAGTGTCGAGATCACGGTGACTTTATACTGCCTTTAGCCGAGCGTGACCGGGTGAAAATCTATGACCGCTGAAACTGAAGCGTAGCAGGGAGTGCGATTTCACATGGCCTTATGGGAATGTTGGCATTGGCTGACACATTGAAGGAGTTCGGTATGGTATAGAATAAGGAAGTGGTAAGGTTATTGCGTGTAAACGACCAAGTTGGTGACACTTTAAAGCAATTGGCAGCCCTGCTGGCTAGAAAATAGATGCATATATTTACCAATCTTGCGCATCTCAGTCTTCTTCCATGGTACCATTATTGCCTCAACCCAAAATTCCTCCTATCCAATGAAAACACTGTCGCTTCAGCCAACCACTCTAAACCAATTCAGGTTGTGCATTCTCAAACGCCGAGTTTTCCTTCTTGGTCGGTTCTCACTTCGTGAATCTCTCTTATTACTCCCGCTTAACCAAACTGCCGTCTGGTTTGTCGGCTTGATACAGGAATGTCTGGTTGCTTTAAAGGCCCCTGATACGGCGCTTCAAGCGCTCCTAAACCCCGATAAACATTTTTTGGACTCAATACAATTCTCCCAAGAATGTTCTGACCAGTGCACCCACTCAATTTTACTATCAGTTAAATCCTTCCTCTCGCACCAAAAATCATAGATCTGGTTGAAGTACTTAACATACAGTAGCTGGCGAGCCTGCTACGGCAGACGCTTGCAGATTTAGGTCTCCTCAAAGTTGAGGGGGATGGTCAAGGGACCAGTGTTGGAACACAGAAAGGCAGGAATTGCACCGTGCTGTAGTGGGTCGTGTTCGAGATTGAGATATGCGGCCCAAGTCAGCGCTAGGGCAGTCTCTGGTGGTGGTCACGTCTTCGGATCCGCCGAAGTGATAGAGGCTCGAATAAAAAGGTGATGGTCTGACTTGACGAACTGTCCTGTAGGAGGCAAGAGCACACTCGCGGCTTTCCTTGTTGACGGCGAAAAATGGGCCCTCGAGGTTCTTTCCAGGGAAAATGGAGCCAGACCGCCTTTACTTTAGTAGATAATCCAAGTATTAAGCTAACCTATTAGCAAGTTACAATACCCTAGTAAATCTCTTCCTAATGAGCTATTATCTATTTATTCATTCGATACGTACCTTTAATATTTATTAAGACCCCGATAATAGGACTTCCGAATACTATTTCTTTAGTAGTCCGGTACCTAGACTATGGAGGTTTCATTATATCTTAGTTTCTTAGTTAATCTTGAAGACGTTATCGTACATAAGTCAACCTACGGGCCCTCAGTCAATATCCTCTTAATAATATAGTACATTAGACCTAACTAGAAGTACTGTAGATAATTGATGCGTGACCCCATGGGGGGTTACCCTACAGCGATAGATGAAATAGATAAGATAAGATAAGAGCTATAAAAGAGCTCTGCCAGGCCAGAATAGCTGACCTGGCCATCCTTTCCCAATACAACAATTCACACCCCATATGCACTCGCATCAGAGATAGTCCTTATATAGATAGCTAGTACCTCGTCAAACCGGCGTAGGTGCTAGTCCGGTACTGCCGAACCTTCAATATATTGGAATCCTGACTCGCGAACCCCTTCGCCGGCGCCCCACCGGTGACCTGCAATCAGTTCTCTGACAAGTAGAGACTCCGATGTTAACACTAATAGTTTAATATTTTCATATATCGTGAAGTGTCTCAATCTGGCGATCCAGCTGGACACAACAGCTGGACACAATGTCCGGTGGTGACTGGGTACAACAACTCGCCGGCGGCGTACATCTGCTGTGCTCTACGATTTCAAGGGCTGGCAAATATCGGAGTTGGCCGAATAATCCGTGGCTGACATCCGAGAGGGGAAATACAACGCAACGTGGCATGAACGATAGTGGCATCGCAACGACCATTCAAATCATTAGAACACTTGAGGAGGATTTAGGATCTATCGGCATTGGCTGCGCGGCCACCGTTTCCGATAGTGCACAGTGCGATCTAAACAGCCTATCAGTCTGTCGAAAGCAGGCATCGCAGGGTCGTGCTGTTGCAAGGGGTGGACTCCACATCGTGATTCCTGAATCCTACGAATGTTACCATAATTATTCTGGAGGCCTTCAGTGGTGTATAGCTTCTGGCAGCGATGAACTACCTTGTACAAATGGGATGGCTACACTGGACACTCACAGTTCCAGCAACATGCTAACGCACGCAATTGCTGAAGCTGGCATCAGCTTGTCAATTGTGACAGAGTTTATGTTACTATTGTGACTATTGTGACTTGTCTTCTGCCCACTCCGCATTAGTAAAAATTAGACGAGAATGGCAGAAATCGGCAGACAAAGGAATTTGGGGATCGCCAAAAAGGTCCTCGAGTGGTACCCTAACATTCTTCAACCTGTCGATATACCGGTGCACCGCCTCATTGAAACCGAGGCTCAACAACAACCAGATGCGCAGGCTCTATGTTCAGGGACTGATATTCTGACTTACGGCCAGCTCGACGGTCTCTCATCCCGTCTAGCATGCCACCTCGCTACGAGAGGGGTAGGCCCCGAAGTCATCGTCCCACTGTGCTTCGAGAAATCAGTATGGACCATTGTCAGCCTGCTGGCCGTGCTGAGGGCAGGCGGTGCCTTTCTGATGATGGATGCTTCACAGCCCATTGCCCGTCTTCAATCGATTGTTCAGCAAACAGGGGCGGAGTTTGGGCTGTCCTCGACAAACTGCTACGAGACTTGCAAGGCTCTAGTGGGGGAGGTATTTGTCGTGGATGATACGGCTCTGGGAGCATTGGAGAAGGGATCTATCACGACCCCACCAAGTCTCAGTAATGCGGCATATCTGAATTTCACTTCCGGTAGCACTGGGACACCGAAAGGGGTGGTGATTGAACATACTCAACTCGCAACCTGCTCGACTTATGTTGGGGAAATACTGGGCTATGGACCTGGCGCTCGGGTCTTCCAGTTTGCATCATATGCCTTCGATGGTAAGACGCACTCTTCAAACTTATTTGAACAAATCAAGAATCAAGTTGACAAAGACTACCAGCATGTATCACTGATATCTTCGCAACACTCGTCCACGGCGGCACGATATGCATCCCCTCTGAATGGGAACGCAACAACGCTATTGTTGACGCAATGCGCAAGATGAAAGTGACACATGCCAAGTTCACCCCGTCGCTGGCTAGCAACCTGGCTATCGAGAACGTCCCAAGCCTAACCACCTTGGCTTTTGGTGGTGAGAGTCCTCCAGCATCTCTAGTTCAGAAGTGGGCGGCGAAGGTCAGATTGGTTCTAGTTTATGGACCTACGGAATGTTGTGTTATTTGTTTTACCTCAGATGCAAGCCAACACAAGCCAGCCCCCGGGGAGATCGGTCGACCAGTTGCTTCACGGGGCTGGATCGTGAAGCAAGACAATTACAATGAATTGGCAGAAATAGGGGAGACTGGCGAACTGCTCATCGAGGGTCCACTTGTCGGCCGCGGATACTTGAATGATCAAGCAAAGACAGACACGCAATTCATTCAGGATATTGGATGGAAGCCGGTGTTTTCCAAACCTGGAAAGCCGAATCGCCTCTACCGCACTGGAGACTTGGTCAAGTATCTCGAAGACGGGACAGTTTGCTATGTGGGCAGGGTGGACAACCAAGTCAAGATCCGCGGACAGAGATTGGAACTCGAAGAAGTCGAACATAAGTTGCAAGGCTGCGTGGTTGGAATGAAAGACGTGGAACTCCACCACCTTATCGTTGATGCAGTCGTTTTTGCAGGGTTAACAAGCAAGCTTCTCGTGGCCTTTCTACATCTCAACACCCCTAAGGCCATTGGATTCTTGGATTGGGACCGCGATGGACCTGTAATACTCACATCAACAGAGGAGAAAGAATACTTTTCATCCATGGTTTCCGAGATTGAAGCCATGATGAAGTTGCTGCTTCCAGCATACGCCATTCCTACAGTCTGGATACCACTCCGAACCGTTCCCTTTACCATCTCACGGAAGGTAGACCGCAAACATCTGCACCGCGTCATTTCAAATCTTTCCATCAAGCAACTCATGGCCTTCACCAACCCGTTTACCCCAAACTTGACCGACAATCCCACCGAGATGAATGAAAAAGAAGTCAAACTTCAGAAGCTATGGGCCGATGTCTTCGGAGTTGACGCTTCGACCATCGAGCCAGGCGACCACTTCTTTACTTTAGGAGGCGACTCAATCCTCGCTATCAAACTGATTGCTGCAGCAAGGGCTGAGGGTCTGGATCTGAGCCTTGAAATTGTTTTCAAGAATCCTGTATTGCGAGGCATGGCAAGCGTCACCGAAGAAATCACTATCAGCGACGAAGATGTCACTGATCCGCCGCTATTTTCTCTGCTTGGAACCCGAGACGTCCGTCAAGTGATCCAAGAAGCAAGCAAACAGTGCAATGTTGCAGAGAGTTGCATCGAGGATATTTACCCCTGTTCGCCCATGCAGGAGGGGCTGCTTGCCCTATCGCTGAAAGATTCAGGGACGTACATTTTGCAGTTCGTATACCAAATGTCGGAGTCTGTCGATCTCGAGAGGCTTAGAGCAGCATGGGAGACTGTCTCGAAAAGAACACAAGTGCTAAGAACTAGGTTCTTCGACTTCAAATCAGACTTGCTGCAGGTGGTGGTTGATGAACCCCTGAAGTGGCGAGTCGTCGAGGATGACCTGGCAACATTTCTAGCAGCAGAGAAGGACAGCAAGATGAACTTTGGCGAGCCAATGTCGCGGCACATTGTGCTGCGCCAGCAAGACCGCAACCAGCTCTTTCTTGTATGGAATGTCCAGCATGCCTTAGTTGACGGGTGGTCCGAGTCAGATATCGTCACGATGGTGGAGGAAGAATACAATGGAACCACCCCCTCAGGCTTGAAAATCCCTAAATTCAATCGCTTCATCAAACATATCGCTCAACAGGACACCAAATCTGCCCGCACCTTCTGGACCCAGCAACTTTCCGACGCCTCAGCCCCTGTCTTCCCTCCCCTCCCCTCCCCAACCTACGTCCCCAAAGTCCAACGCTCAAGCCGCATCCTCCACCATTTTGATTCCCACGTCGACGCTGAACTGGAACACAGAGTTCAACTATTTCGTCGCGGCTCCGCCACCCCCGCAACCATGATCCAAGCCGCCTGGTTCTTGCTCATCGGGATCTACTCCCACACGTCCGACGTCATCACGGGGGTGACCCTCAACGGCCGCGCTGCACCCCTACCCGGGATCGACCGCATTCCCGGCCCAACGGTGACTACAGTCCCTTTTCGGACGAAATTTGCCCCAGAAATGAAGGTGGCGGAACTGTTAGAGATGATACAAGCCGAATATCTCCAAACTCTCCCATATGCCCAATTCGGCCTCCAGCACATTCGCCAACTAAGCGAGGACGCGGTAGCAGCGTGCAAGTTCCGGAGCTTGCTAGTTGTGCAATCAGCTAATCGCCCACTCAACTCAAGAACAGTACTCAAGGGAAGGAGTTACTCGTTCCCCGTGATGGACTTTGCGCTGGTTATGGAGTGCGAGTTGGTGGACGGAAGTGTGGAGTTTCGGGCCACGTTTGATCGGCTGATTCTTACGGAGGCGAGGGTTAGGCGCATGCTTGCGCAGATGGAGAGTATTCTGCATAAGATCTCGCGGAGTGGGGATGCGATGACGGTGGCAGAGTTGCAGCAGATTTCGAAGGGGGATTGGGAGCAGGTTATCGAGTGGAATGGTGCGGCGAGGCCATTGAGGCCAATAGAGTCGTGTGTTCACGAACTGATTAAGCACCATACTCATGCTGCTAGTCAAACCCCAGCAGTATATGCATGGGACGGCGAATTGACTTACAGTGAGCTCGAGCAACATGCTTCGGGATTGGCCTCTTGTATTCAGGACCACTACAAGGTGCAAACTGGGGCTTTGGTCTTAATCTGCTTCGAGAAGAGCATATGGGCCATCGTGTCAATTCTTGCCGTACTCAAATCCGGAGCTGCATTTGTTCCGGTGGACCCAAAGCAGCCCGATCAGCAGATTAAGACGACGATTAATGGTTTGGGAGAGCATTCAGCCAATCTGGTTCTGGCGTCTCCGTCACAGCTTGGTCGATTAATGACCATGGGGCTCAGGGGTGTTTCAGTTGATGCTGTATCGATTGCCGCTCTGCCTGGCGCAAAGGCAACTGATAAAACCGTCGCACCCTCTTCTGTAGCCTATGTCGCGTTCAAGCCTTCGGATTCAGGGATTCCAAGGGGAATCGTATTCGATCACCAAGCAATATGTTCTGGTATTACAGCTATGGCTCCTCTTTCGCGAGTCTTCCAGTTTTCATCATACACAAATCCTGCCACCATCTGGGATATCCTTTCCACGTTGGCCTCTGGAGGCTGTGTTTGTATACCACAAGAGAAGACGGGGTTGGGCAACCTCAAAAAGACCATCAACAACTTCAAACCTGATCAACTGACCCTATCCCCGACAGTGGCCAGGTTCCTCCGTCCAGAAGACGTTCCGAGCGTGAAGACACTTGTCTTGACTGGGGAGCCCGTTTCGGAACAACTGTTCGAGCGATGGACAGACCATGTGACGTTGGCAAACATGTACAGCATCGCTGGGTGCGCGGGATACTGTCTCGGTCAAGTGGGAACACACCAAAATAGTCCCAGCAACAGTGGTCGGGGCATCAACGCTTCAACCTGGATCGTCGACCCCACCGACCCGAATAATCTTACCCCTATCGGCGGTGTTGGTGAACTCTTGATTGAGAGTGCCAGCCTAGCACGCGGTTATTTTGAGGAAGAAGAAGGAACGCAGCCAGCATTCCTTGATGATCTGACATGGCTCAGGCAAGGATCATCGGCATCAAGACGACGATTCTTCAAGACGGGCGACTTGGTTTCATATAATGCTGACGGCACTCTTTCTCTTATAGGCCGTAATGATGGTGAAAATCTATTCAATGGGCAGCATATTGACTTGGCGGAGGTGGAACAGCGACTACGTGAGAGCATTCCTTCGACGGCTGGAATATTTGTGGCCACGGTTTGTCCCAGTCAAGGGAGCCCAGTGATTGCGACCTTCATCGCTGTAGGCTCTGAACAGCTTGCGTGGTATCCTACAGCAGTAAATTTGGAAACTTCAATGGACAACTTGAAAGAGTTCCGTAGCTTGACGGTGGGGATAGAGGCCATGTTGCACTCCATACTCCCAAGTCATATGGTTCCGTCGGTAAGATTCCCTACTTGCAGATGCACATGCACAACTCATATATCATCACGCAGCTCTATATCCCAATCCAAGCGATTCCCCTCTCAAACTCCGGTAAGATCGACAGAAAAGCGCTTCAGCATCTCGTGTCTGATTTGACTCAACCTGAACTTGCGGAGTTCCGAGGAGACACGACGACCGTGAAAACCTTTCTACCTCCGTCAACCCCGACAGAAAAGCGCATCGCCAAACTATGGCAAACACTCCTTGAAGTCGATCGGGTCGGAATCGACGACAACTTTTTCAAGCTCGGTGGCGGAAGCGTCAGCGCAATGCGTCTCGTGTCCATGGCTCGCCGAGACGGCATGACGCTAACGGTCAGCGGCATATTCAAGACGCCAACACTCAAGGAATTGACCTTGACGGTTTGTGAGACTGCGGATTCGGTTGATGTCGCATCTTTCTCCCTCTTGCGCCGGTTGGATCTTTCCGAGGTAAAACTCCAGGCAGCGGAGCAGTGTCGAGTGGATATTGCAGCAGTACAGGACATATACCCCCTTTCGGCCATGCAGATGCATTACATAACCGGCTACCCAGAAGCCAAACGGAACATCGCGGGGCCATGGGACTGGCAGTCCCAAGTTGTGTACGCACTTCCGCCGTCTATCGATAAAGAGAAGTTCCAGGATGTCTGGAACGCCGCCGTCCGTCAGCATCCAACACTTCGCACCCGCGTGGTCAACACTCCCTCGGGGATATTCCAAGTCGTTCTCGAGTCTTCCGATCCACCCACTTGGATAAAAGCAGACGATCTTGACCAGTATCTCAAGCAAGACAGGTCAGAATCTATGAGTTTCGGCTCCAACCTCCTCCGCCTCGCCCTTGTATCCTCCCCCAAAGACCCCGATGAGCGGTATTTCGTAATGTCCATGCAGCACATAATCTACGATGCTTTCGCACGAAGCATGCTCTTCCAAGAAGTCGAACGCACATACCTTTACGGTACTTCACCTTCGACCCCAGCGCGAGCAATGCCCCAGATGAACCACTTCATCAAGTACCTTCTCTCCGCCAACAAGTCCACCGCCCTGGACTTCTACACCTCCTACCTGAGCGGAGCAAAAACGAAACCTTTCATCGACGTACCAGAGGACTGTTACGCGATGAAAACCAAAGAAAAGAGCCTTATCTTGGACCTCCCAAAGATCGATGGGCCAGAAGCTACACTGCCAACCATCATCGAAGTAGCCGGCTCCCTCGCCATCGCGCACCGTGTCCAAAGCCGCGACATAATCCTGTACTCCGACCGCTCCGGCCGCAACCTGCCCGTAGATGGAATTCAAGACCTTATCGGCCCCACGACTCTCTTTCTCCCCGTGCGAGTCCGTATCAGCCCACAGCAGCAAGTTTGGGATCTGCTCCGCGAGGTGCAGGGGATGCAGACAGCAATGCTGCCACACGAGCACCTGGGATGGTTAGAATTGCGGGAGATGGACGAATTCAAGCATCTGAGACGAAATGCTGTGAATATGAATATCAACCCGAATCGACTTGCTTCGCTGGGTGAAGGGTGGGGGTTGGAGTACAAGGGGTCGTGGATGAGTTGTGATGATGCGTTTGGGATGAATGTGGATTTGTACGGGGAGAAGATGGAGTGGGTTGTGTACTATGATGAGAGGTTTATATCTGACGAGGCTGTGGAGGCGCTGTTGAGGGATCTGAGGAAGGTTTTCTTGCAGCTGGTTGGTTCGCGCAATGGGGAACTTACGGTTGGGGATGTCCTTGATGGCTTGGAAGGCGATAGGGAAGCAGGAAGCTGATGAGAAATACATGAGGCAGATGGAACTTTTTCTCTTGTTAAGTATACAGTGAGCAACAATTTAAGCATAACTTTTAATGCATGCATGAACAGATTCAAGTCTAGCTTCTGTTCCCAACCCTCCACAACTCTCTGAACCAACTCCCCTCCTGTTCAACGAGAGTCTTTGGCGCTCCCTGCTCGACAACGCTTCCTTTATCCATCACAATTACATTGTCAAAGTCCATGACCATCTCCAAACGGTGGCTGACCATGACAATAGTGTAGCTATCAAATTCCTCTTTTATGATCCGTTGCATCGCCCGGTCTGTGTCCTGATCGACGCTAGAGCTCACTTCGTCAAGCAGCAAAATACCCGCTGACTTCTTCTCTGATGCTGTACCAAACATGTTCGCATACTCACGAGCTCGAATCCGTCGACGTAGGATAGCTCGTGCCAGGCTGAACAGCTGTTTTTGGCCCTGCGATAGTGTGCCCGCGGACAAGCCTTCGTTGATACCCCCCCGATGGCTGAACAGGGTCCATAGACCCACAACCTCAAGAACACCCTGACATTCGCTTTCAGTTGAGGCATTGCAAGGGTCGAGATTGGCCATGACGGATGTTCCCTCAGGAAGGAAGACCGCATCCTGTGGGACTGCGATGATGCGCTGCCGGAGAATCGTGCGGTCGATCTTGTGTAGCGGTAGCCCGTCTATCACAATATTTTCTGAACAATCGGCGAGAGGGTCGAGAAGACGTAGAAGGAGAAGTATGGTAGATGATTTTCCGCTTAAGGCAAAATTAGTGAGAGGCTTAGGGTCTAAGGACGTGAAAGCTCACCTTCCGCTGCGCCCACATATTGCGACCTTTTCCCCTGACTTGATAGAGAATCTCATGTCTTTCAGTGCCATATTCATTGGATGTGCATCACTGTCGGCGGAGCCATCTTCTGGGCCTTCAACGGGACTAGGCGAAAATCAGCCATGTATGAAAATCTAGAATGAGCCAATGCCTTACTTGTAGGAAGCCGAAACTCCATCAATCCGAATAGCCCCTCGAAAGGGCCACTCACAGGGTGGCACAACATCTTCACCATCTAAAGTCTCCGGCCTCACCTTTTCACCCAAGTTCTTCAACCGGCTAACCGCTCCAATGGATGTTTCGATCTGCGTGAGCCAGCGAATGATGTAGTTTAGTATATCACCGAATGTCATGAGTGTGATCAAGCCGGCGCCGGTCAATGCTGTGCTCGACCGCAGTTGTGTAGCCATAGCGACTACGGTCACAGCGAGGATAGCGACAACTGTCTGAAGAGCAAACAGCAGCCAGCGCTGCACTACGGCCAAGAGGTAGGTGGGTCTCTGCGATGTATCGAGGAGCTGGTTGTTCAGCTTGATGCCGTCTTGGACCCAACCAAAGGCACGGAAGGTTGCAATCCCTCTGATGGTGTCGAGGAAGTGGGTGCTGCCAACTGTCAGTTTCAGCAAATCGCACAAAGCGGATACAACTTACTAAAGCGGACTTTTCGCCTCAAGGTCCAGAAGTCGCAATTGACGGGACGTCCGTAGGTAAAACTTCTGGATCCCGTACAGAACGGCAAACAAAACGGGATATGTAATCGCAAGGTAAGGAGAAGATGATGCAATGACAGCCGCCATACCCAGAGCATTGCATATATCAAGCGCAAGATTTGTAACAGCAATGGGCAGTTCGTGATCAATAAGCGTCATGTCCTGGGAGAAGAGGTTCGTGACCAGGCCCGTATCGGTAGTGTTGAAAAATCGCAAGGGCGCGTTGATGACGGTAGTCAGAGCTCCCAGGTGCAGCTTCGAGCCTGAGATCTGGATCATGGTGGTGAAGCAGATGAGGAATACGAAGAACATAGATAGAAGATAAATCATCTGAAAAAGCGCGTAAAGACCAATGTAAAAGGAATTCGAGTGGTTCGGGTATGCTGAAGAGACGTCTTCGGACCAGAACTTCAACCACACGTTACCCCAGTTGTAAAAGAAGCCCCATCCGAGCCCAAAGACGATAAATGCCACGAAGGATCTCTTCCCAAGTGTAGACAGATAGTATCGGTAAACGGTAGGGTCACCCATCATTCTCTCTTGCTCACCCACGTGGCTCGGCACAATGGACTGCGTCGTGGGAACTGTGACAAGTTCTGTTTCTAAACGATCTTGTGGCTCAGTTACTGAAATTTTATCTTCAGGGTCGACTTCGTCATTTGGGTTGATTCCCAGTCCATGAATATAACTCTTGTTAGCCAGCAGATGGCTAAAGTTTCCTTGCTCGACAATGCTTCCATCTGAACCAAGCGCGACAACATTGTCCGCAGAAGGTAGATATCTAATAGAATGGGTACAAAGTATCGCCGTTGCACCGCGTCGTCTAATAATCCCACTAGGGCTGAAGATCCGTCGAAATACTTGATCTTCAGTGTCGGCATCCAGTCCACTTAGAATGTCGTCGAAGATGTAAAAGTTGGTATCAAGATACAAGGCCCGAGCCATTGACACTCGTTGCCTTTGGCCACCACTCAGTGTGACGCCATTGCTCCCAACATTAGTTAGGTCCCCTTGCGGTAGTATAGATAGGTCAGGCTCGAGAACTGTTGCTTCAATGACCTCTCTATATCTCGCTTGGTCGAACTGGGAAAAGCCAATAATGTTTTCTCGAATCGAAGCATTAGAGAGATAGGGCGTTTGGTCACAATAACCGATCCGGCTAGATATCACATCGGAGTTCACATAAACGTGGCCCAGCGATACGGGAACCTCACCAAGTAGAGCCTTGCATAGGGTTGACTTGCCTGATGCAACTGGCCCAACCACGATAGTGAGGCGCGCAGCAGGAATTTCCAGACAGATATCCCTGAGACCCATCTTGTCTGGAGCCCATCCGAACTGTCCGTGAGATACCATAATAGCAGAACCAGACTTGTCTTCTCGATCATCAGCTCCAGAGCCTTCGCCACTGTCGGACTTCTGATCAATCCTTCTGCTTTGACGAATGTCAACCCGTGGTTCAGCCTCTAGGAAGTTCTGGATTCGTTCTAGACAGGCAAAGGCGGCGAGGAGGTTCGGAGTGTTTTGGAAGAGATAGCCTAAAGGGTCCGCCAAAAGAAGCAGAAATGATAATGAGGTGAAGATCGTGGTGATGTCGAGAGTGCGAGAAGTAACCGCAAAGGTTACAACGGGGCAAAGGGCCATGGGTATGTATCCAAAGATGATGACAGTGACGTAGATGATGCGGAATTTCGACGCCGATTTCAACTCGTCCACTCGCATATTCTGAATCAAGTCTCTCACCGGACCGGCCAGGCCAGAGATTTTGAGGTGTTTCATGTTGGAGATGACGTTGGCTGTGGTTCCAACCCTTCTCTGAATCTTGTCCATCCAAACCTTTTGTCTCCGGCCAGTGAACTTGTTTGTGTACGCGCCTCCAAGAACGCAGACGATCACCACGATTAGTGGCGCCACGAAGGCAGTGCCAAGCTGCCGTTGTAAAAGCCAGCTAGCAAGGCCCACCTCGATCGTATTTGCCCAGAACTCATGCAAGTTCAAAAAGCCGAGTCGAATACGTTCCACGTCGGTACTCATGAGGGTGATAGCAGCTGCGTCACCAGAAGCGGACAGCTTAGCTTCTGTCGTCTTCTTGTATACAGCTCCAGCGAGACAGCCTCGAGACATGCAGAGACTACGCTCGTGGAGGTACCAGTAGAATGAAGTAGAGATGGCAATTCCACCATATATGAGGATTGTCGCGCCAATCAAACCATATCCGACGTTCGTTGAAGGCCTCTCCGCCGGCTGCTGCATGTAATTCAAAAGGGAGTCGATGAGGAATGGTTGGCAGAACTTGAAACCAAGAAGAGCAACTCTTGGGCCAATGGGTAGAAGAAGGGGGACCGCAAGTGTTTTCCCTAGGACTTTTGCAAGTTCCAGCCCACGTTTCTGGCCCTTGGAAGCACAGCTCCCAACTTGGTCCATCAGCTTCAGCTGTAATGACTCTGTCGCCATAGTCTGATCCAATGGGAAAAGGTCCTCTATCGATATGACTTTGCGGTAGCCGACAAGAAACAGGCGGTTAAGCCAAGTAAAGGCACCGAGGCCCAAAAGACCACTGGCCTCCTCTGGGCTGTGCACTTTGGCATCCCATTGTACCCATCTTGACTTGTGCAGCGATTCAAGCAGTACAAGGACGAACTTGAGCACCCCAGAGCTCGTGACCAGCCTAGTGAATGTCAAATCGCTCGACCCGACCGAGGCGAGCCATAGCGACCGTGTTTGGGCGACGTCGAAAAGCGCAGTCAAGATCAGGAAAGCACTCAGCAAGATAGATGATCTAGGTGATCTGGAATGCTCAAGGTATGAAAGGACGAGGATGCAAAAGGCGGATACAAGGTTGACGGCAGCGGAGGATACGAATAAGGCCCGGAGGGAATACAGTTTGGTGCTGTATATCAGTAAGATGAGCTGAAGAGCCGTGTAGACTGTGATTGCAGCCTGTCCACGTGAATTAGCTGCGGGCCAGTCTTGATGCTCGGGTATAGTACCAATTTGAGCCACTGAAGTATCGTGCCTCCCACAATTCTAGGACATCGAGCGAGACACACGATACGAGGCAACGCAGCAGCAATGAATACAGATGCGGGGATAAGAGACAGGAATATCTTTTCAAATCGGAGCGTGAAATCGAAGTCATCTCGACATCCTCGGACAGACGGGCCGATCGTATCGTCGGTGGAGCATCGAGAAAAGTCCATAGCTGTTGGTGATCAGGGAGTCAATCTGCAGCTGTTTGTGTCAAACGAATGATGATTGTGCAGATTCATGATAACGACCCATGACCCCGTGGAGCAAAGCTGGACCTAAGGAACCCCTGGGAGCTCATGCTGATGATCCTTACAGCGGTGCGAGCCGCATGTCGTGTCATTCCTCGGGGGCCATGAGATCCACTTTGGATTCTTCACCAGGCTTTCGGTGCCGTCGCTTGGTGGTCCCGGCCATTCTTGCTTGAATCCTAATTTTTGCGGCAAGCAATGTTACACAATGTCGCAATCAAGGCTTCACAGGGTTGCTGCGTTGGTAAGCTGGGCAGTGTGGCTGGATTATGTCAACTTGGATTGGGACGTTGAAATTTGTGCGGTTTGGCGAATACCTACATACATTCCGAGCTGATCGACCCTTCCTCAAGGATTCTCGTCAGCGCACCGGGTCCATCAGTGGCACAGTTACCCGCACTGTATGCATCGAAGGTGGAATATTTGCTCAGTTCGCCAGGCGAAGGATCGCATTATGCACAGTTGGTCCTGGGAGGATGCGCACTGAGCTACTGAGTGAATGGGACTGGCGCGGTAGACGCTCCTTGTTGGGACACAGAGAAATAGATTTAGTGTGTTGTGGATAGGAAATCTAGTGCTGATGAGCTGGAGCCAAGTGATGGTGGCTATGCACGGATCACCTCTACATGAGTCCGTGACATGTACGGCAACCGTAATCTGACGTACGAAAGATTGAGGCAATCATCCTTTCTAGAGCCAAGCCAGCTTTCAAGTACTGAATAAGTCCGCTAATGCATGTCAATGGATTTAGATCAGCGCGGTTGCTGATGCCATACGTAGCATGCTTGAAGACGGAGGTGAAGTATGAACAGTTGCCAGCTAGAGGCTGAATCTACTTTACATTAAGCAAGTACCAAGGTTATGTCCAAGGTTATGTATCTTCTTATCAGATCTTATAACTACCAAAAATACCTCATTCTAATACGAGTGGGTCCCTCGTCTTTTGACGGTTATTTGGTCCAAGTATGAAAGCCTATACGCACTTCGGGTGATCCCCAATGCTGTAAAGTCGGCAAGTAAGAGAAGGGTCAGGTTCAGTGCGCCTTCCCCGAACCAAATTCGAAGTAGAAGTGAAGCCTTTTCCTTCAGTCGCGGTACTCGCAAGCCATAAGGTGCTACACTCTTGGTGCTACACTCTTGGTTCTGAGACCAGGGTTACGTGAATTCTGAGCAGGAGATTAGTTGGAGAGATTAGTAAGTATATAGGAAGATATGTATCCTAATGTGCCTATGCTTCTCCGTGATATTACATTGCTGTTCATACCATTATAATATTGATATTACAAGTGTAGAGAACCACATGACAACGAAGTAGATTGGCATTGAGAATCATTCGAGATAAGAGCTGCCATTCTGATTCCGCTTATGGGCGGGCATTTTCTGGCTAGTTATGCTCAAGTCTGGCCGCTAAGCACAGCTCATGTCAAACAGACTCGCCCCTCCCCTCCACAGGGTACAGTCTGCTGTATCACCCTGTCAAGATCTGATCGCTACTATTATTGCCGAAAAGAACGAGACGTAGGAATTCAGCAAAGCGGGTATCATGTCATTCGGTCCTTCTCACCCTTACCGCCTCACTCGGTTCCACAGACCTTTAATAACAGCAACATCTTCTTCGACCGTCTTACTGTCATCTTTCTCATCTCCATCGTCGACCTTGGATCTCAATCTGGCCGTCATGAGATCCAATGCCATCTTGGGCGAGATCTTATTCAGCTCCTCGCTCAACATTGACTGGCTGATGTGTCCGCCATCACATAACTCCTTGACAAGGTCCTCCACCAAGGTCTGACAATTGTTCTTCAGAAGATGGTAACGGGGATTCAGCGCCATATGGTTCATGCCTAAATCATCGTAAGTGGGGATCTTTACTTTGCGCGTGCGCTCGATATAAACTCACCCAACTCCTGTATTTCCTCATTCGATTTCATCGTCTCCCCCACATAATAGCAAGAACTCCACGTCGCGATGAACTCCGGCGTAATCTCATATGTGCGAAAATAATTCTTCCCAATAGCATTGAGCATCATCTGGTCGCTCATAAGATCGTAGCACCAGCACTCCCCCAGCCCCCGCTCAATCACGCACAGCGCCCAATGACTGATGCTATTCAGACTCATGCCGACATGTCTGCCGAGGAGCCGATACGTGTTCTTGGAGAGCTCGAACTTGCCGAACTCGATGGGCGTGGTGACGAGGAATACCGCCGCGGTGGGGATGGTTGTGTCGAAACGCAGCGGTGGCATCTCTCTGACCGAGTCACCCGTGATCTTGCTCGAGACCTGTTGCAAGAATTGCTTGCGCTCCTCCCGGAGCCGTATAGATTCAGCATCGAGTTCTGGCTCATTTGGCAGACCAGGACGGGCCCGCACCTCATCCCTGGAAACGAGTCAGCATTTATCGGCAGTCGCGCCAATGGCGCCAGTGCTCAAGATCGCGGATTCTTACCATTTCTTCGCCAGCTTTGTCAGGACTTCAAACCCCATATTTCGACGATGAAAGACATGGAAAATGCAATTATTGAAAGAATGGACTCCCAAGAAAATAAAGATGACAGGAGGCCCCACACTTAGTTAAATATTATGTATGCGCGTCGCACCTTCAGTGATTGGGAGCCAATTGTAGTCACAATGTCTTGGGTCAGCTTTGTTGGTGGGGCAAATGCTGCACAGAGATGCGCCGCGCCACTACACAGCCCCCTACAAATCGCCATCGCGATTGCCCTATAGGTGGCGAAGGACCGCGAGTGAAGCTCTACGGCTTCATTGCTTCGGGTGGCTGCAATTGAGGGTACAAAAGATTAAAAAGCGATCCCAACGTCATTTGAGAGTTTCTCGACCCCGGAAAAGTCGGCACTCGCATGTGATTCACTAGGCCGGATGCTGCTGATTCCAGCCCGCTTCCAGGGATTATCCCCAGTATGGTTGGTGTGTGATCGAGTTACATACTTGTAAAGGATCTATTAACAAAAGAGTTGATATAGACCAAACCGAATTTTGCAGAAGAGAGATGTACTAGGTGAAATTGATACTAATTGCCGAGTAGGCCCAGGCTAACCCTGATCCAGTTAGCCAATTGGTTGGTGTACTTATTCCACTAGATATTATATTCGTGCTTATAAATTTAGTATAGCAAACTAGTAGAAGTATTCCCAGTGTCTCCTATTTGTACCAAGCTTGAGATATCTCCCTGCCCTAATCCCATAAACCTCTTTCAGAAGTCACTTTCCAAACATCCTCGGAAACAACAAACATCTCTCGGTAATCACAGGGAAGAAAGTTGATTTCAGTGGAAGAGACATCATTGGAAACTATCTACATCCGAGGCCAAGATGCCTTCGAACTCGGTGCCAGGCGACATTTATACAGGGCCTGTTGTTGGCGCAGTTGACTGCGACTTTACAAGGACATATTCACGAGAGGTTAGAATATGCTCAGGCTATAGTCCATCGAACGAAACGGCTGAATAAGCGATGTCAAGACTTCGTGGGTCGACTCTCAGGTCAGCCTGTGGCAGTTCTGCATCTGGCGTGCGAACTGGGTTATTGGGATTTTACGGTTCGTTGTGAACCCAACGTACGCGGATTGACGTCGACAGGCCAGATGTGATCGATCTCCGCCAACGACTTGTTCCAAGTTCCGCCGGGGACTATACATTTGTCGCAGCGTCAGTGCACGAAAAGGACCGGCTTCCAGTATAACCACCTACATAACGACTTACGTCGTCGTGGAAGGCCCTTTTGGATATGTCACAGCTGAGCAGTGGATGTTGCTTCTCCATCGTCTAGTGTTTCGTGGTGTTCCCAACACACTCCATTGGGGCATTGATTATGGCCGCAAGCTTGAGGCTGTATATCCTCGTCTGAAACTTCGAAAGATTGTCGATATCTTCATATTTCTTTCGGTCATATCCTTCAGGTCCTGCAGTTTGAATTTGAGCACAGGGCAGTTGTGAGATGATGGGGGGAGGGCCAATGGAGGGAACACGAAAGTTGTGAGAAAGACGGAGACGATGGGGGATACTAAATGAACATTTAGTCCGCAGATCTTTTACTATTAGGGCTTATGATTTACTCGGAACTCTGTATGTGAGTCGTTTAAAAGATAGAATTTACTTTTGGATTTGGTACTTGCATGGGTGGACCAACCCAAACCTTGGGGCTAGAAACTCTCAACAGCAATGGCCCATGCATTTCTGATCCGGTATTGATGAATAAGTAGAGCTGGCACTAGTATCCTGAGACATGGTCTGAATTTCTCATCCTTGAGGATGTATATCATCAAGAAATCTGGAAAGGCACACAGGCGCAGTATGATATCATGACCATTGTTAAATGGCGCGATGAGGTGAGGGCTTATCCGTACAATCATTGGGCCATGAAAATTGAACTAATGTAAAGCAAATAACTGGTATGCTAGCCCAGGGTATGCAACTAGTATGAACGGAGTCGGCCACAATTCATGGCTGACTAGACTAGGAGGGCTTGTACGGATGAGTGAAAGAACAGGCGTTAGGACAAGAGATCGTCTAGGATATTAATGTTACTAGATGCATTGGGTTTGTTAGACTTTAGTATTCGATTATCGGTGCTATGAATATATCCCTCCCATGTCTGCCGCAACTCAGATCTTCACACAACTGTGACAAAACTACAGTATACCTACTGCTTTCAGTCACTTTGTCAACAAGCTCCTAGACAAAACGGCCACTGGTAATTTATTCAACATCTGGAACCGGTGGACGCTAAACTCGGACTTCCCCTCCTATCCATACGGCACGGGCGTCGCCAAATAGATGAACTCGGTTATCGAGTTTAACATGATGCGCAGGTCGCTACAACTTCCAACCCGCGGTAGCTACTATAACCTCCCAATACTCCACTAAAAACAGTCTGGTGGCCGCACTCAGTCAGAGTAAATACGAAATGTAAATAAAGATCACCATAGCGAAAAAATATGCCGCTATTGATATTATTTGTAATGCCGACCTTCTTAAGCCGGCCGATGAGGGCCACACGACACCGTCTGGAACCACGCCCTACGTAGAGGATTATAATGCCACGACATCATCACAACCTATTAGCCCGTCTACACAGCGCCATTATAACTGTGCCGGACCAATAAAGAGGCGCAGCTTAAGCGCAGACACAACTAGAAATATACACACTACAGATGTTTGATCGTAGGCAGCAGGCCAAACACAAGCGTTCAGGGTTACAACGAGGCGGGCTCTAGTAGGCAAAAACGTAGGCAATTTCTAGTATCCATTTTTTACCAAAGGTGTGGAAATATCCTGGTTAGTGTGAAACATCTGGGTCAGATCTCTAGTCGATCTGCGAGGAAGCTTGGCATCCGAAAAATGCGGGCTGGGTTAACTTCTTGCTGCACTACGATACTGCATGGAATCGAGGGCTTGTCGTACAGAGGCGAGACAACGATCACCAACAGTTCTAATCATATCAGTGGCTGTAGACAAGGATTTCCTGGCCCCTGGGAAAACCGGTGCAGGGAAGGATACTGAGCAATAAGACCCGAGAAGTGCCCAGAAAGCACTCTAGGAAAGGTACACCAGGCACGCCAACTATGTGCTGGATGCAGCGCTTGGGCCAACTGCTCACAAATAGCTCTTCCGTAGCTGTGGATTCTCAGGAGTTAGTCTCATCAACACAGCTCTCTTGCCTGTATTGTCCACACAATCATATATAAACAATCGAATTCGTGATGGAGCTCTTCCATCAGTTCGGGTCCATTTTTGGTTATATTTTTGTCGATTTAGGTTGTGTTGCACTTCGTATTACTCCACTACAATAGCGATATAACTTCGACATAACTTTGTCCTCATCCAGTTATACTTGTTCATCATATGAGGTATATTGCTTGACTTGTCGGGTCCAGCCCAACCACGCTTCTCTAGCAATTGGCCGTTGTGGCTGCGAATACATTTCCCATAAAAGAGAAAGATGAAAATAAAAAACACCTCTCCAAATAATCCCTGGAAACCAATACCAAGTAGAGAGACACCCCAGCCAGTAATTGACCCTGTACTATTCCAACACAGCTTCAAAAGAAACGCGAATAACGTAAATCGTCGAGTACGAGTCTAATAGAGTATCAAGCTGGCAGAGAACATAAATAATCTTTCGGGTATACGCAAACGCATTGGTAATTATAACTGAAGCCCGGTTAAGGAGTCCTCAAGCACGAAAGCAGCTATGGATAGTAGGCGCCGGCGAAACCCTGGGGCCTGGCACAATGGTCGAATGATAAAATTTTGGCCCGGAGCTGAGTTCTCGCTGCGTGTGAGTTGGCGGCTGGTTGGGTGAGGCATGCGAAGTCGAGGGCATCGGGTCTGGCTACGCCGTATAGAGCTCGTATACCGAACCGGAACACTTCAAAGAGGCTGACGATAACGTGGACTGTTAAGGGGATGTTGCTGCTTTTTCCAAACGTAGGAGTTGTAGGTTCAGGGTGTTCGACGCGCATGATAGCCGATTAGCGATAGATAGAGTACGAGTGGATGAATACTTCCCCAAGTGCGCGTGTTGAAGGCTCCGTTGGAAGGAAAAGGGATAAATATATTGTCAATTAACATGCACACAAGGCGACAACGAAAAAGATCCAGCTTGTAATATTTTAACAACAGAAAGAGACGGTGAATGATACATATAGATGTTAGTCTAGTCCATGCGCCTAATATGACATATCGTAGCCATCCAAGCCCTCGTACTCGTAATACGCGGCAGACATCCAGCTCAATTAATGGCATGGCAGCGACCAATCATTGCAACATAAGACGCAGTGTCAGTACTCAAGCGTTGTGGAATTGTTTACTACTTGCAGCACAAGTGAAAAGGTGTGCGCACGTGTCCAGCTTGCAGCTAGCAGAGTAGCTAGGCTTAGCCCGAATTCAGATTGGCACTATAAACAGCCCTATGAGGCGGACCTAGAAGCTGATATGCAAGATAGTGGTCTAAAACTCACATTCATTGAGACCACAGAGCTGGGTCGATAGACTGGAATAAGTTTTGAGTATGTACTGAATATCTGATCACATGCTAGCTTATTTCACCAGGGAGGTAGCTGCATATAGGTCAAAATGGCAAACGTAGGATGAGGTTAGTTCCAGCAAGTGTGGATCATTGCTTGTAGCTCATATGCAAACCTGAAAGATCGTTAGTGGACTTGTCCAACTGTTGTATTGCACAGTGAGTCAAAAAGAGATGACTTTCATAGGTGCATTCTGATTCATATCATAGGAGTTGAGGGTTTAAGTGTGTGCAAAATAGTGGACTCTGGAGCTCTCAGCTTTAACGGGGTAACATGAAGTCTTCCGAATTGGGTTTCTCTCGAAACTGAGGGAGGTATTGGAGATCCGTGTCCTGGCGAGGTCAATGTTGAAACACCGATGTGAACACCAAACAATACCGAAGTTAACCATGCCAAGAACAGGATATCCCTTGAAGTGAAGCATGAGGGGTGGACGCATGTTTAAGTGAAAATGGATGCTCATGCACCTAAGCCTGAAGCTGAGGGGACACTTGAGCTTGGGAGTTCAGTGGAGATAGATATCAATGGTGTTTGGGTACCACTTACCGAAAGGAAGTGCTCATGCTCAGAGTCAAATCAAGTCCATATTGACTGCATACACAGATGATACAGGATTGCCAAGTTTTAGAGGTTTTTTCATGCTCAGTAAGTGTTAGCATTGCTGATTCCGTTCTCGCTGCATCTCATCAATCGTGTCTGACTTGCATCAGACTTGGGGCTGAGAAGAGGCCTGTTCGCAATGGAGCATAAACGAAGCTGCCATATTCAAGAGGATCATTTTATGCATTTACTGGATCTTGTACGGCCACTCATGCTGTGGCTAATCACTGTTAGGCCAATTAATTCTGGCCAAGATTCCCCGTTTTGCTGCGCAAAGGCCCATCTTGCATGATGCATAGCTCCGTTTTAAGGTTAGGCGTCAATAGGCGAGGGCGGGAAGCACAGCTTGGATTGCTACTAGGCGTGACATCCCTGATTCATGGCCCATCGAAAATTTCATGCAAAAAATACACGTTCTCGTCTCTTTTCCTCTTGCTTCCTTCCTCCTCTAGCCCACTTGCACGCTCCGCCAACGTCACGTCACGTCCACCCGCCGCTCTGCGTCAATCAACCCCCTGGGTGAGCTGTCGAATTCCCTTCTATTCTTTGCGAACGTTTTTATTTTCGGTTCTTCGTTGTTGCCTGATCCGAATCGGCCCAAACCTCCCAGACCCCGATTCCTAAGATCGCTTCCTCTGGTCCTACTCCAGCTCGTGTCGCCGTCCGTCCTCACAGATACGCATCACGCCACACCAAGAACAAAACATACCAGCAAAGCACCGCCTGCTCTGCCTCTCTGTGTGTAATAGTGCTATTGCCAGCCACGAGTGCCCCAACCGGCGCAACAAAGGACCCTGACAGCCAAGGCATCTCAGTTGAATCTGACCTATCGCTGCCAATCGCCTTACGTCCCGAAGAACATCGAGTAATAAAAACGCCCCCAAGAAAGAAAGAACCCTCAATACTTCCACCAACTTGCAATAGCTCGATTACCTCTGTGACTTTGACTAGTCATGGCCAATCCGTTGCAGTTTGCCTACCGAACCCAGAAGGCCATCGGCATTACCGACGCCGCGCCTGTCTACCATCCAGTTCCTGGGTTCGTCCAGCCTGAAGGGAATTTACGATGCTGTGTCTACTCGCAATGTGGCCGATACCTCGCCTGGGCAACCAACGACCGTGTCACCATCGTTGATGCCTCCACTGGCCATGTCTTGACTTCTGTGTCCGTCGTCAACGTGTTTGAGGTTGCCTTCTCCCCTCGAGGATCCTTCTTCAGCACCTGGGAACGTCCAGCCAAGGACGAAGCGGGCGACGCTACCAAGAACCTCAAGGTGTGGCGTACAATCGAGGATGCCCCCCAGGATACCGAAAAGCAGCCCCTCGGACGATTCGTGCAGAAGTCACAGTCGGGCTGGAACCTGCAGTACACGACAGACGAGAAGTTCTGCGCCCGCATGGTGACAAATGAGGTGCAGTTTTACGACAGCAACGACCTTAGCACCGTCTGGAACAAATTGCGAATCGAAGGCGTGGCCGACTTCGCCATCACCCCCGGTCAAAGCTACAACGTAGCAGTCTTCGTTCCCGAACGCAAGGTTAGTACCCAATGATGCCCGTGCCCCACACGAGCTCTCCACTAACTAGCGTCTCACAGGGCCAACCCGCTGCCGTCAAGGTCTTCAACGTCCCCCAGTTTACGAGTCCCATTTCTCAGAAGACCTTTTTCAAGGGCGACAAGGTGCAGCTGAAGTGGAACAGCTTAGGTACGAGCCTGATTGTGCTGGCACAGACCGACGTCGACAAGTCCAACAAGAGCTACTATGGTGAAACCACCCTCTATCTGCTCAGCGTCAACGGAGCCTTCGACGCCCGCGTGTCACTCGACAAAGAAGGACCCATTCACGACGTGACTTGGTCTCCCAACGGGAAGGAGTTTGGCGTCATCTACGGATTCATGCCGGCCAAGACGACGATCTTCAACCACCGTGCGGTTGCCACCCACTCGTTTGCCCTTGGGCCTCGCAACACCATCATCTTCTCCCCCACCGGACGATTCGTGCTGGTGGCTGGCTTTGGAAACTTGGCTGGCCAGATTGACGTCTACGACCTGGAAAAGGACTACCGTAAGGTCTGCACCATCGAGAGTGGCAGCCCTAGCGTCTGCTTGTGGAGCCCGGACAGTCGATATATCATGACTGCGACCACATCCCCTCGCCTTCGAGTGGACAACGGTGTCAAGTTGTGGCATGTTGGAGGAACCATCATATACAACGAGGATATGGTGGAGTTGTACAACGTCATCTGGCGCCCAGCGCCCCTCGAAACCCTGCCCAAGGAAGATCCTCTCCAGCCCGTGCCTACGCCCCATTCTTCTGCTGTGGCGTATCTTGGCACCGTTAAGACACCTTCAAAGCCAGTTGGCGCCTACCGACCCCCTGGCGCTCGTGGCATGGCAACTCCTCTTTCCTTTAGGCGTGAAGACGAAGGCGGAAGCGCGCATGTGATGAGCAACGGTGCAGCCAATATCGGACCTAACGGATTCGGTCGTTCTCGTCGCCAGGTTCCTGGCGCCGAGCTTACGGAGTCCGCGCCGCGCGGTATTCCCGGTGCCGAACCCGTTCCTAGCGTTCCTGGAGTCGACGGCGACGAAGCATTGTCGAAGGCTGCGTTGAAGAACAAGAAGAAGCGGAGCAACAAGAAGAACAAGGGCCCCGACGGCGGCAATCCCACTAATGGTGGATTAGCTCCTCCAGGACAGGAGCAGGGCACTGGAAACAGTCATGTCGGACGCAGCCCTGAACGTCGTGGCCAGCACAGCAACCAGCAGCACCGCAGTCGTTCGCGAAACCCCATGGGGAACCGCAATCGCAGCAACACTGCGCGGAATGGTGATGGTCATCACCATCGTGATGGTGGGGCCTCGCTTCACCCCCTACCTCACGGTCAGACTGCTCAGCACTCGACTCCCGAAACGCCGCTCTCGCCTGGCAACCAAAACCCGGCCGCGAAAAAGCTGCGAGCTTTGCAGAAAAAGGTCCGAGCCATTGAGGATTTGGAGATGCGTCTGGCTGGTGGCGAGAAGCTTGAAGATACGCAGATGAAGAAGATCTCGACGAAATCGTCCGTCCAAAAAGAGTTGGATGCTCTGGAGAAGGAGAGCCGTTGATTCTGAGATGGGTCAATGGTCAGATTGTAAATGGTTGTCTCGACAACTCTCCTAGGACAAGAGACACAGCATCTGGAGGATGAAAGACGGAAGTGTTCACCCAATGGCCTCGTTGCATGACTGAGTGGCCAACCCCAGGATGGCGTAAGGAACCATAGGTACGGAAGGCGTTTGTCCCCCCAAAAATATTAGGGCCCACGGATTCTGATGCGTAAACCGGAGTCTGCGCTCATTTGGTGTAATCTTGGGGATCTCTCCTTGGACACCAAAGAGACGTTTTGCTATTTCCGGGGCAAAATGATCAGCATCAGCACTGAATGGCACCATGGAAGAGATATTAGCAGAGAGCAAGGTTCTAATCTCTGATCACGCAGGTGTTCTATGGCCACTACTCATACAGCACGGTATGTAGGTATAAAGCCAATAGAGCATATCACCGCATCTATTTGAGACATGATCCTCCTTGCATTTCGACTTTGCACGTCTTGCGAACCTTGACGTGTCGCCCTGCTATATGTCATCCACTTGAAATCTAAGGGGATGTTATTGACAGGCACTAAAGCTAACGCCATCGTTCTGTCTCTACCAAATGTGGAGTAATGCGACATGCCGGTAATGCAATATCTATGTACATATTAACCACACACTGTCCGACGTAGGTTATCGGCAAATCAGCGGAGCGCAGGGAACACAGAGAAACGGGTTATCCATCACTGGCTCCTTCTCGGGCTGGGCAGACAGTGGACTCGAGCTCTGCCTAGACAAATAGGGTATCGAGGCGCTTTTCCAATTGGCCATGTCTGCAGTGGCGTGCAAAATCCCTTAGCTAACGCGGGGCCCATCACTTGAGCAGTTACTAACACACTGACTGGTTAGATCGCCCTCGAATTCGCTTTACAGTTGAGCATAGATTTGCGATTAACTAGGTGCGTCTAGATGCTTCGATTTAGTATAAGTAATTTTATTCCTGATGAAAGCGTAATCTTTATACAGTGGGCTCTACGATATCTGGGCTCTGCCTGACTTGTGTGGAATCCAGAATAGAAACTAACTTTGAATTCTAGTGGTCCCTTGATATGTTGTTCAAGGGAGGGATAGCAATCTCCGTTTACGCAAACCAAAACCAACTTTTTTTTCGGTACAGGTTCTTTGTTGTTTCTCCATAAATGATATTGGCTGTGTGTCAAAGTACTTGGATATTTTGGAGCAAATAGAAGTGCCTGACGGCTGACCAATTCTGATCCGAAATATAACAAACACGTCCACTCTCAAACCAGTACGATTATTTCTAACATATTTACGACTTCTCAGCTCCTCATAAGCTCTGAAGATGCGATTCGGACGACGACGTCGCGTCGAGTATGACGAAGATTATGACCCAGACGACGTCTACGACTACGACACGGACGTCCCACACTCCCGCAGCCCCTATGTCTCCTGGGTTCTTAAAGAAGTTGACATCACTATTATCGACTGCGTCGATAGTCTAGGACCCTTATGGGGCACAGCTCTGAAACTTTCGGTTGCAGCGGTTGCCATCTACTGTTTCAACCAGATTGTGTCCGTTATGGAATGGGCGCTCCGTGCTTACGCTTTATATCTGGTATGCATATTGTTCGCCGAAATCATGCGGCAGAAATGCGATGACGCAAAGTTTCAAGAGACGCTTGATCCTATAGGGAAGAAGCGAGACCAGTATGAGCAGAAGAAGTGGAAGCAGTACAAGAAATCGATGAAACAGTTCCGCTAGAGGAGGTCTGGTGGTATGTTAGTTCCCCTGCCCCTTCGAGTGGGCCGGGGGGTGGGAATGGCTCGCTGGATACTACTACCTCCTATTGCTTCGAACAAATTCATTGGTTGCGCTTGTTGAGAAGCTACCTTCGGCAGGGGACAGACTTGCCGCAGTTAAGCGTGGGGATGAAGTAATCATTTTCAAGAGTAACACTATACCGCCTTACTTGTGCTGCCTTTGATTATGTGCGTAGGGGGATTACAGGCAAGTCTTTCGGATATCATGGACCATAGCTCAATATTGATGTAGCCAAATGATGTGTCTTCATGTAGTCTACTTGAGAAAGTGATATCTAAGCCTAGTCAGTGCTATTGATCCATGAGGGAATATTTCAACTATAGGGAGCACCGAAAATCATTCAGCGCATTGACACTCATTCTTGGGTTTCTCACCACGAAGATTCCAAGCCCAGCCGATCCTGGCTCCGCCAGCTGCACGAGAGAAAGACCACCATCACGTCTCATACGCAAATCTAACATATTTACTCTCGCCAGTAAACACCGCCAGTTTCATATCTGAATGTTGGAAGACTTTCGTAGCCCTGTATATAAGAAGGAACAGCAAAGAAATACTGCCAGAATGACAGAAATCTCCTCTGATCAACTCAGTTCCGTTGGTTAAAAAGTTGGACCTAGGCTTTAGATAGATGGCAAGTTAATACTAGACCGAGTCTTTCCATTCATCGGCTGAAAGCACGAATTTCCTACATAAATGAGGGCGATGTCCGATCTATCTGTAGTGACCACGATTCCTTGCAGTTCGCTGCGGAATCATACGGGTTAACATCACCAAAGCCTCATTCCAATTGGGAATATCAGGCAAATGTGAATTTCCCATTGGCAACAAAAAGCAGAACGTTTGGTGGGCTCTACAAAGCCCCCCTACACTGTGAGCACAATGAACTTTATATAATACAGCAAACAAAATGAAAATGACAACCTTCTGCACTACGAAGACTCCTTGTGATGGATGCCATTGATTACAGAAAGTGACAGCGGCGCCAAGCCGGTGATCTCGGCCCCACGCGGCGTCGTAAAATCACTACTCCCGGAATTCGCGGTGCCGCGCACCTGCCTCGGCTGTTTTTGCGAGTCAGAATTATCACGGCAGGCGGTATGACTAATTATAATCTTCCTCCTACCGCTCTCTTCTTGTGGCCATATATCACATTCAATATTTCCTCAAACATGCTCGGCTTCGAGTGCAGCAATTCAAGCTTTCGATCCCGCATCTCGCGCGGTGCCGATCATCTCGTACCATCCCCTTGCATACTTCAGCTGTTAATCTCGGACTTTCAGGTTGAATCCTCGATGAAACCGAATCATTTTGTCCTGTCTTAAATGCAATACCCCACCGGAAAAGTCCAATCAAGGTACAAATGCCTAATAACACCAAAATCACGGTTCTCGCCTTCCTCTGCCCCATCCATCTCCACACGTCGAGGTCCCTCGCCAGGAACCGACACCTTGATCTCCATAACAAAACTAAACAAACTTCGACCCGCCGCGCGGTTTAATGCAGCCGCTCCCTTGCATAAAGTCCATCCGGGTCCTCCCTTGATTTAGTTTGCTCTCACAACTGGCCATTACTTCTCCCTCGCGGAAAAAGGCCTCGACAAAGACTGGATTTGTCTGGTCACCCATCAGCTCTGGGGCATGCTTGTGGAGGGGCCAGTTGGGTTGTGAGAAAGCCATTGTTTCGATCGAGGATGGTGCAGCCCAGCTTGTCACTCTGTTTCATTTGAGGAGTGGCTTGTTTGAGGAATGCATTGATGGCTCGGAAATCCGTAGGCGCGGTTATCATAGCGCGAGGTGGAGACGGTCCTATATGGGCGACTGCCTACGAGGGTGTTCTCATTCTCTCTTGCCATTGCATTGATAAGCGGGGTGCCTTGTCGTGTGCCCGCACTATTGTCTCGGGATACGATGTAGTGGCTGTCACTAAATATTTTCGAGTCTTACCTACTCAGTTCTGTTTTACTAATGGACTTTAGCCGACCCACGATGCGCCAACCGACCTGTGACATGCTGATCACACCATCTTTGACGACCGATTTTCCGGCTTCAACATCCAGGAGAGCCCGACTCTCGTCTACAGCCGAAGCGCCTACGAGGGTTGAAGAATACGCGACTTTGTCAAACCGCAGCTCAGCACCCCGCAGCGGAGTGTTTGAGAGTGTAAAGACGAAGGACTTGGAGAAAACGGCGACCAAGAAGAACTTGCAGATGCTGCTGACCAAAGAGTCTATGCAATCCTAGGAGATCTCGCACCAAAAGCAGCAGTACCAGCGAGTTTTGGCGAAGGAGTTGATCACGGTGTCGGGGTTTCATTATGATGCTTGCTGGTCTTCTTGTACTGATGATTAAGAAGATCCTGGGTTAGTCTACAGATGAATAACGGAAATTAATGAGTGTGTCCTGTTGATGATAACTTTTACCTTCCCAAATGGTCTTTTGTGTTTCCAAAAGCTACCTCACTAGTTGCCAGCATCCCATTATTGTGTCGATAGCTCAATTGCTCACAGGATTGCTTTGGCCCATCTTCTACGAAACTACTTGACTTCACAGGAATATGTCAATTCATGTGAGCAAAAAATCCCCAGCGCAAATTCAATTGCCATCTCGTGGAAATGCGATAGATTTCAAAACATTTTTCAACCCCCTTTTGGTCCCCGCACTCAGCGCCGTGCTGCTCTTCGATGAGAACTGGCCAGCCTTTAACAAGACCTGACCCCCTGCCAGTGGAGTCTCGCTCCCCCACACCGACTTCTGGCGTGCCGAGTTCACATTCACAAAGACAAGGAAATGGCGCCTGTTTCCAGCCGCTTCCCCTTCATCCGTATTTGGGTCCTCGCGGTGCAGGACGGCGGTGACGATGAAGCGGTCATTGAGCTGCCTGTATGCTTGGATGATGGGACCATATCTGTCCCGGTAACTTTGGCGACCGTCCAGGAAGCGCTCCATAAAGCTGTCCCTGGTGATTTCTGCTTGGTCTTTGGGCGTGCCCAGCATGATCTCAAGATGGATCCAGTTCTCGGCGTATCCGATGGCGACGTAGAAGTCTGGACCGAGCGGAGAGCTGAACTGGATGTGGATTGGGTCATTGGCATACCCCAGGTCTGAAGCTAGGAATTGGACACATGCATATGCCTTGAAGAATCGAACTTTGCGTTCTGAAGTGGTGGGGGAGACACGTCCCAGTGTAGTGGACGCTTGGTATCTGAAAGGGTAGTTGAACAAAATATCCGTATCGTCGCCGCATGATGACCACAGTGGGAGGGTTTGAAGGTGAATGCCCCCGTTTCCGAACGGAACGTCCTCACTGCTCATATGCACCTTCTTTGCTATGTAGATGTCAACTGGGTTAAAGAAATCAAAGGAGCCCGGGGTGGCGTAATCGAGTCTTGTGGTGGGCAAGAGGTAGAAGGATTTCGCAGGCCCATCGCCTCGAGAGCGTTGGGTTGGTTGTGTGCCCAGCAGCCTGATCACAACCAAATGGTCGGCATCCTGACCACAATTGAGGACTGCGTCGAACACGTTGATCTTGCGTGCGAGACACCCTTGATGGAGATGAGATAACGGGCCGTACTGGTGTTTCTTAGTAGGCAAGCTGATAGACAAGCCAAGCTTCGTCATCGTAGAGGGCTCTTTCTCCTTGTAGATGTTGACCAAACCCCCTGACAGAGCGAAGTTGGCGGTTGATTCTGCTAGGACACCCACTGGTGAAAAGGCCTGATGGCTATCCTTGGGAACAGTCCAGGCAAAAAGCGTTTGATCATCCGTGTCCTTCAATATTTCCTCTTGCAACCTCATGAAAGCTCTTTTGCCCTCGCCGTAGAGAAGTGGCATATTGACATTGAAGAGACCCATAAGACTGTATGCTTCATCCTCGACTCTGGTGCACTGGCGATTCGCAGCCCAAGACATGCGCTTCGCCACACTGAAATCATCGGGATGTTGCAAGTGGCGAAGACATTCCCCAGGTATCCCCGTAGTTCTACTGATCGTTTCGAGCAGCCCCGGATCCTGGGAGTTCCCAATGCAACTCCAGTTCACATCGAAAAATACAACCTTGGGTGGCGCGATCAACTCCTGCAACGTCCAGGCCCTGGTAAACCACCGAGAGTCTTCGAAACGGTAGGTATCTGGTCTCACAAGAGAGAAGTCCGACAGAAAGGCGTAACACACCGTTGACATCGTGTACCATTGATACATTGAGTTGATAGCCTCCGACAACTCAGTACTGCTGGTCTTGTCGATGCAGCAAGTGTCGATCCAGGCCCAGAGGATGGCATCCTCCAAGGCTTGCCGACAGGTGAACATGATCTTCTGGTAGCCGACCTTCATAGTCACCTCGCGACTCTGGAGCTGCACCTCCTGCAGCGTGACCTCGTCTTTGCCCCATGTGTGCGAGAGGATGGCGTATTCTGGGATGGCGTCCCCGAAGAACTCTTCAATGTCGAGCGTTTTCGCATTGATGAGTCGCATAATAGTGAGTTAGTGTCTACAGACAACGGAATGAAGAAAAGAATGCATGGGATGTTCTGCGACGGTGGGTAAGGTGTTTTGTGCTTACTGATCCCCCCTTGCCGCTCACGGGACCCCCTGTACATGGGATCGGCTTGGCATACCGCCACAGCGGATTCTGAGATCCCCCGCATGCCGGCATCGATCTCACCAATTGCTATTTATAATTCGGATAAGTTAGACAGCACGGAAGCGGATGATAACAAACCCAGAGTAGCCACGGTACTCTATGGAATTGAGGAGGCACAATTTGGTCTCTTTGGTTGCTTGGACCAAGCTTAGGTAGGGCCTTAATGTGTTCTTTCTGTGTCTTATCCTCCACCATCTCGTTGTCGCCGTGTCGAGAAAAGTCTGTTCCAATGGCAAATCTGACGATCGCAATTGAGCACCGTCTAACATATCATAGGTTAACTAGGCAGGATCAAGCCAGAAAGGTTGTGTACAAGGCCATCTCATTCTCTTAGTCCATCGCCATGAGAACCGCGCTTACGATGACTCGGATACCAAAGCATACCTACCAACGGGTTGCCTCGTTGTTTTTGTGTTCGGAATCATGCCTCGTAACAACCCAGCCCAACTGCCAACAAGCTAGGACTTTGCGAGGGGATGAGGCACATTCGAAAGTATGACGATCACCATAGGCCACCCAAACAACACTGAAAATTGGCTGCCTTCTACTCAATTAGGCGAGTTGGTAAGCGGTAAACCCCAACCAGTAACCAAGCATACCCCCGCGTATTTCAGATGATACAAATCCCGTCTTTGTCAAGACTGTTTTGCGCGAAGCTGGAGTCATGTAGGGTTGAAAGAAATTCGGGATATGGATACAAAAGGACTTATTTGAGTGCGTATGGTCGATGACGTACCCATGTTGCGGATATTGGTACTCTCCTTGTTCATGAGGTCAACTTGGTGTACCTCTTCTTAGCTTAAGTCAAACTCATGGGGTTTAAGCTAAGCTCACATTCGTCTTTCCTGAGTCCGGAGTGATGGGCGAGCAATTCGCAAGAAGAATAAGATGTGATGCATATGGACGTATCTGAGAAGATCTGGTACAGGCAGTTTTGGTTCTCTTATTGACTTTGCTCACTGACCAAATCTCCGAATCGATATGCCTTGGCAACCCAAATCTGGAGAATTGGTGGGCTGGGTTGGCTGGCTGACATCAACCCTTGGTGACCAGGTCGAGTGGTCGGGTTGTCTGGAGGCTTGGAAGTCAGCGATGCGCAGATGGTAAAGTGGGCGAAATTGGATGGAACGTCTAAATCTTTGGGTCGGGATGAAATATATAATGAATCATATTTCTTACCTTAGCTTAGGAATGTGTCGTGGCGGTGGAAATATTTGTCGATGTCGAGTTCTTGCAGGAATTGATGTTGTTAATGGGATGGGGAATTGTGGGGGGTATTGGGTTGAGAGGGTAATTATTTATAGATTGGATGCAGTCACGCGCTTCTATCCCATCCGTCCACTTATGGACATACCTACCACAACTGTAAGTGAACTGGCCATGATATACGTTCCTATATAGAATACGGAAACAATCTGTCACGACAGATGGCTCCCAGTGCGCACAACAGACCTGTGAGAAGTAGAGCTCGGCTTCAAATGGCTGCCGTCACACGCCAACATCTCACCTCATCGCAGACTGGTTTCAATTCTAACGCCCCGACCCTTGCTGCCCAGGTACATGCTCCCCAAGCCCCTCACGCCCTCACGCCCAAATGATAGCAGTATTTTCAGTCATGTTGGTTTCTGTCCAACATTAAGACCATAGCACTCTTACCAACTTGTGGGCAAATCGCAGCCCACCGTTCATTGTTGTTCTTATGACTATCGTTACTTGCCGTAAGCTCTGGCTAATCTACAGTGGCTACACTGGGTGGTCCGTGCGGGGCCGAACACTGCCATTTCTGCCCACACAACTTTATACTTCTCCATCAGGCATTTTCGCATATCCGCAGCCCATTTTTCCCTTACATAGTGGGCACAATACAAATTCCCGACCCGAATACGAGGGCTCGAAGCAGACCACGAGCAATATCGAAGAACTAAAGAATCACACGAAAGCGTCGGTGAGTGACACCAAGGATATAATACAGCTGAAGGATTTGGCATACGCTGTCTCCGATCCGGTGGGGAAGTGTTGGATTGTGGGCAAATGGTCTTGTATTGAAAGTGTCATGATCTCTGGAGAGTCCTGAACGAAGTGGACGGCGGCCATAAGGGCCTTATGTAGACAGGAATGAACGATGCCTGTCCTACAGGCAGGACTTGTGTAGTTCGATGGGTGGTGGTCATATGGCCCGTAACGTACGGTACGTGGCCATATGTCCTTCCAAGACTGGCAGTCTTCATGTAGTTGCCTTGAAGGTCCAATAGGAATTCAAAGGCTTTTGCCGGTATTCCGGGTCCTTTTTGGCATGCCTCTGGATTGCAATGTACTTGGATCATATCCGTTACTGAGATGCCTTGCAAGAACCAATATCAAGTCAGGATGTGAGTTCGGTGGCAGAGCGGCCTCATGAGCAAGGATATATTCATATATGGTTCGGTAAGAGTGACGGTAGAGATGAGGGGATGCGAATATATATTGGAAGAGAAACTTCTATGGCTCTATGAATTTCAATAACTCTTCATCCACCACGTCGAAACAGTTAATCTCTTGACTCTGCTTCTTCAGAACCTCAACACGCAAGCTGTACCTTTCGTCCTGAAGCACGCTCTCGATCCCCCGTCTGACATCATCTATGGATGGCTTCGCTGAACCCAAGTCAACCCCGATCCCCGACCAGGCGACCCGTCTAGAATTCTCCGTCTTATCCATGCCTTCTCCCGCAACCACCATTGGAACACCATGCGCAATGCCGTGATTCACTGCGCCGAAACCCGCATTATGAGCCCAAACATCTGCGTGCTCCAGCACAGCGTCGTAAGACAAGTAATCAGCTATCCGCGCATTGCTCGGGACTTTGACGAAATCGGACAACTTGGCGTCTTTCCAGCCCAGAATTGCAACGACGAGAACGTCTTCTCTGTCGGCCAAGGCTTTTATGGTCGGTATGATGAGATCATTCGGGTTGATCTCGACCGTGCCCTGAGCAACGACGACGACCTTCTTTTGTTTCGGGTGGCCTACAGCCAGCTCTGAATTTGCCTTCAGCTCACTCCACCACTCAAAGTCCGGGTCGGTTGTTGTAGTGCTCTTGTTCGGCACTCCCTGCACAAGACCAGCAAACTTGAAGTTTGCAGGAAAGTCACTGCGAGGGTATTCGAAACCAGGGACCCCCAACTGCAGAATCGCATCATGACATCGATAATTGGCACCCGCGAGGAATGGCTCACCAACTCCCCGAGAAGCACTGCACGCGAATAGTTGACTGTCTAGCAATTCAGTAAACGGCCGCGCCCTCTCAGTCCACTTTTCCCACATCCTCGCATTGCGCTCCCTACCAGCGGGTGACTGATCGAAAGGCAACGGCCACGCAAAGGGAGGCAAGTCCACACTTCTCAATACCGGCACCGTGACCGAGATGCATATCGTCTTCGGCACTTCGATATCCTCCCCGAGCGAAGCCCCATACTTCATCGGCAACACCCCCATAAAAAAGGCCTCGGAAATAACCAAAACCCGCCTCGCGGGATCGCGCTCATGCAAAGTCCTCAAAACCCTCTTAAAATCCGCCCATTGATCCGGCAGTGATTCCAGCAACTGAATCCGTAAGTCAATCTTCCCGCGCTCGACCCAGTGCAAGGAATTGTACTCCGCTGTGGGCGGGTCCTCGTAGTACCGCTTATCATCCAGGTCTGCCTTGCCGGTCAGGGGGAAGAATTGAGCACCTGTGCTTTCAATGCGGGAGCGGTGGGCTGTGGGGCCGAGGAAGGAGACGGGCCAGTTGCGGTGGGAAAGGCCGGCGCTGATGCGGATCATGGGGTGGAGGTGGCCGGAGAGGGAGTGGCTGACTATCAGCACGAAGGGGCAGGGCCTTGCGATGGGGGTCATGTCGCCCATGATCACGATTTGGTGACAATATCGTGGATATATATGTTTGTTGGGTAAATTTCCAGGGATGTCGAGAGTAAGGGGTTCTAGATTCGCTTGTTGCATTCCTGGGCGCTCCCATGTGGCAGGTGTGGCTTGTGACATCCAGCTTGCAGTAGTAGGCCTAAGCCACCGTGGCTTGCGACATTCATTCAAGTATTGTCAAGATCAAGATTGGATGAGAGGCGTTTGAAGTTGGAAGAAAGAGCAAAACTCATCTATCCAACCCGAATTGTCCGTCTCCAAATCTGGGAACCCTCCGTTCTACCAGCATCGTTAGTAGAACAAATATCCTCAGTGGCTGCTGGTTTTATTGTTCTGCTGTTCAAGTTCATTTTGCCCTCACTTTGGAACAGACGTCAGATACATCGACTTTGATTCGAGGCCGTTCTCATTTCCAGTTAGGGAACCAAAGGGCTTGAAGTCACGATCAACTAAGCCAAAAGAAATATGCGTTACCTAACGTGATTCGCCAATGATTCTGAAATACCTACACCAACACTGTCGCGCATCGAGACTTGCAAATTTGTGTAACTCGCTCTAGGGTAACTCCGCTCAGCAACTCGACGAGATGGTGCCCTAACTCTTATTGCACCAAATTCCCGGCACAATGGACCATACCAATGCAGGGTCATTTAGGACAATATTAACTACTCGAGGAGAGCCTATTCTCGGTCTACTGCAGCAGCGGAGGATAGGGTTGGCATTACCGAGGGACTGGGACAACGTCTTCCCCACCATCACGTAAAACTAGGTATCTGGGGTAAAGCAGGATGGTCTGAGAGACAGGTCGCGAATCTATTCCAAATTGCCTTAAAACATTTTAACAGGCTTTGAACTTGATAGTCCAGCATGTTGACCATCTTCATTGGCTGCGGGTACCTGTTAAATTTATCGTACAACATGAGCTCCGTGGGGAAAAGCTTGACTTGAGTTTGACGTAACTATTCCCAGCATACTGGGAGTACAAGGAGCATAGAGACCACCCTCGGCGTTTCGGCGCTTTTACTCATGATATCACATCCAATGGAGTCCCAGACATTGTACCTCATTATGCACGGAGGATCCGCGTACAATGTTGCGGCCGTTTCAGCTCATTGATCGTATGCATCTTCAACCGGCGTTCAGTCTTCGTCCATTCATCTCCGCACCGAATCAGCCACTACCCCGGACTTAGAACCAGCCCCATACACTACACTACCCCATGCCAAGCAGCGGGTTACTACGGTGTCTCACTGGGGCTTGCCCAGCGACACCAGCAATGCAAGCCACCAACGTTTCCCAGGTCATTTTCGGGTGACGATGTCCCGAATCACATTCAACTGGCTCGTGATCATCCTGGCAGGAGCAAGGATATCGCTGAATATACCCAGCCTGGCCAGCTTATATAGAGTGTCAAGCGGCACAAATTTGGGGAGGTTGAATGGGCCGCGTAAATTGGCCGCAGGCTTGACTGCAGAGCCGGAGCACCTTTGCCGATCTCAGCACTGCGGGGTGGTGAAGTTTTCGACTGTCGTAAATTTACTTCGGTTTTCAACCTCAAGCTGGGTTAATCTTCAACACCTGTTTCTGGACATTTCGCAATTGCACCTTGCCACTGCTCGACGGACGAAGAAACGACTGCACGTCATCATGGCTATTTACAAGCGCAAGATCGTCGTCTCGGACGACACGGTGACGAGCGCGCGCCACCTGACTATGAAGCAGTCTCTGGTGCCAAATGCGCTCGGTGAGTTTGAAGCCTGACACTCCTTCCGAAAGCGGGTTATCAGTCGCATTAATCAGTCGTTGCCAATTTTCACAGTTACTATCCTCTTCTTCCTCTGGGGCTTTGCGTACGGTCTTCTCGATGGTGAGCGCATCAAATTCGAACCTTCATTGACAGACCGGGTACATGAACTGATACCAGCTTTCATCCAGTCCTGAACTCCCACTTCCAGTTCGCTCTGTCTATCTCGGCCTCCATGGCGGCAGGTCTCTCTTCAGCCTACTTCGGCGCATACTTCGTCTGCCCTCCTACCATCTCGGGGTGGATTTTAAGGAGATATGGGTTCCGCATCACCTTCATGACTGGTGGGTTGCTCAAGGAGATACGCGCGACGGGACACAAGCTAACCTGAGACATAGGCTTGATGGTGCTCACGGTTGGCTGTCTTCTTTTTTGGCCGTCAGGCGTGAAGAAGTCGTTCGGTGGTTTCTGCGGGAGCATGTTTGTCGTAGGCGCTGGTCTGTCGACTCTGGAGACAGCCGCTGATCCGTAAGTTGTCCGAATGACCCCGTAGCGCCGATGTACTTGCACTGCACGAGAAGCTGATCACGGACTTTCCAGATTTCTGTCCATCTGCGGCCCACCTAAGTACTCTGAAATCAGACTCAACCTCGCCCAAGCTGTTCAAGGTATCGGCTCTTTCGTCGCGCCGTTGCTTGCATCCCGTGTCTTTTTCGCTAACACAGTCGATACGGATGAGGGCCTCAGGAATGTGCAATGGGTTTACCTCGGCGTCGCCGGCTTTGTCATTCTTTTGGTCATTCTCTTCTTCCTGGCTCCCATGCCTGAAATCACCGACGCCGATATGAACGTCCAGGAGAGTGAGATTGCTGAGTTTGACCCTGGCCCGTTCCGCAAGCAGTACAACTTGTTCTTGGCTGTGTGGTCGCAGTTCTGCTATGTTGGTGCTCAGGTCGCTGTTGCCGTAAGTGGCACGTTCGACCACGAAATTCACCGTACCACGGTAACTCACTACGTGTCAGAACTATTTCATGCAATTTTGCGAGGAGGCTGGTCGAACGAAAGCTGAAGCTTGTAAGCGAAGAAAAGCCGTAACCATGTCTTCTTTCCAGTGGCTCATATATCCTAGCCGATCTTCTCGCCGTTGGACAAGGCCTCTATGCCTTCAACCGCTTCGTCGCCGGCTTCATGATGATGATCCCGGCGTTCAAGCCACGATACATCCTCGCAGTCTACCTGGGGCTCTGCTTCGTATTCATCGTTGCCGCCATGGAAACGGGTGGTAGCGCCTCCATCGCCATGCTGATTCTCGTGCTTTGCTTCGAGTCGGCATGTTTCGCCACCATTTTCACCCTTGGCTTGAGAGGCCTGGGTAGACACACCAAGTTTGGCGGCAGTCTTCTTGTCGCTGCCATCAGCGGTGGGATGGTGTTTCCTCCTATGACAGGTGCGGTGGTTGATCGCCATGGTGCGCATACTGCCATGGCTATTCCGATGATGGGTTATGTTTTAGCTTGGATGTGAGTCTCCCCTGTGTGACAGCGATGATGGGACATTCCTGTGATGCTGACAGTTTCTTTTAGTTACCCTCTTTATGTCAATGTTTGGAATCGGGAGACCATGGATGTACATCGTGAGACCAAGGTTGGCGTTGAGCCTGTCAGTGATAAGACGCTACAGCTCGAGGCGCAGGCTTCTCATACTCACCACGAGACTGAACCGCGTACAATCGGTTAGCTGCGTCTTGTCTTGGAAGGGACGCTGGGAAAATGGGCAATATGGACTTGGATGTTACCTATAGGTCCAACAGCTCATCCGCAATCATGTTGGCTTTTCTAAGCGAGTTACCACCACTAGGTTAATCCAAGACAACCCTGTCACGATCGTCACGCGAGTAGCAGTCACGAAGATTAGGTCACAGACTCTGATGCCATCCCGTGTCCACCAATGACAAAGAAAAATAGCTTATATTTGGACTCCGGGTGTATGTTGTGGCCTGATCGCACGGCAACGGACCGGGATTGCAAAGGTGACTGGGAGCCACTGACGAGTGTAAGGCACTTACGCTTTGGGCTGGTAACTCAGCTGCTCAAGGCTCATCCGGCACGACCAAATTAAACCCAAAATCTTTCCCTGATGAAAATGGGGCAGAATCAATAACAGTTGAACACCTTGTCGATGGGGACTCTCGACGTGGCAGCAGTTGTTGTCCATTGATGTCCAGGTGCAGTCGGCCCCACCTTGATTGTCTCCGGGCCTAGAACAGGGGCAGGTCTCCAACGGTTCCTGACCGACCGGCGCCGACCATTGCGGTGGAGATGAACAACGAGGTGTTCACTCGGAATCCGCTGTAAGTGGACCTCAGCCCACCGGTTGACTCGAACGGCGTCTTTGGAGAATCTCGCAGGTGAATTGGTCGAATTGCACGACGTGGCAAGCCAGCTGTCAAGTCAGCCATTGAATCACAAAGGTCGAAGAGTCCGAAGCCACAGGCCAGCCTTTGACTCGATTATTCGATGAACACTGGAGCAGATTTTCTTTTGGTTACCTTTCAAATTTGCGGCGATCAACGTTCCAGACTGTTGGGGTTTAAAAATTTGCTCTGTTGAAGACATGAAAAATGAGGCTCGAAGTGGTCCCATGCCAAGCTTCGTCAAAATCTCTACGAATCTATGATTAATCTAAATCGGGTTAGATTGCCACCAGCCGTCTGCCACAGACAATCCCTGTTACTGGCCGGCGATTGGTTTAGGTCGGTTCACAGACACCTCTGGGAAACCGCGTCCCCCAATAATAGCGTACCGCGCGTCTGGCTTCAACCGCATTACAAACTCTTCCTGCTGCAGACGCTTGCCTGGAGCAGCGCTTAGCCAACCCTTCCCAATGCCCAATCTCGCGACGGTACGATGCCACCTGCTTAGCTGGAGCTCCTGACGTGGGCCGGAGCAGCCCGACCCTACCATATGGATTGGACAGCACGACGGTCTTTTGAATGGGCCTCATTTTGAATTCCCCGATGCATCGTCGGCAGAAAGCTTGGCCTTGCAGCGTCATACCATGGCGATGGAGAACGGCGTCTGGCGGGGACTGATTGCGAGGCGGCAGAGTGCATTGTGTCTCATACAAAACAGAAGCATTGTCCCTCTCACGACGATCTCTTGAATGGAGAAGTTCGTTCTGGTTCTACGGTTAGCCCTCTCTATCTCGCAAATTTACCGATCTTCCACGTCCTTTCCTTTGTCGGTCATCGATTCTGTCAATATTTCGTGTCATTGTCAGCATGTCTCGATCTCTCGAAAACCTTGTCCTAGTCTGAACGAGAATCGACTTCTATTTGACTCCGACGCCACATTTTCCAACTACCCAGGCAATATGACTCCCTAACGCTCCCATCCTGTCAATTCAAGTCGTAATACCACCACGATACCCTTGCTTTTTCTTTCGGTTTATCTTTTCCTTCGCTTCGTCCAGTTATCGGCAAGATCTTCAAGATGCATATATCAATTTTTCTCTTTAATATTCTTTTACTCTCGAAGGCCTCGGCGGCAGGTCCGCTGAGGTTTGGCGAGCGGTACGTATTCTCCATACATGCTTCATCGGATATCAGGGAACTGACAGGCCGCAGGATAAGACGAGATGTTGTAGCAGCAACAGTGTCCAGGAACTCAACTGTAAATGCAGCATCATCAACTATATCGTCGTCGTCGTCGTCAACTTCAATATTTCGCTCTTTCACTCTTATTGACACTACCGATGTACCGCCATCTACCGCCATATCCTCAGGCACTTTATTTCCCACCTTTAGCATACCTACACTTACTTCAACAACCTCGTCATCTGTCACCGAGTCCTCTACCACTACTAGCCTGGCAAGCTCGTTAGCACTTTCTCTCACCTCCCCAGCTGAATCTCCCGCTAGCACAGCTACTGCCTTGGATCCGACTACCACTTTCTCCGCGTCCAGTATCATTATCAGTCAGACTTCGACCACTTCAACAGCCACGTTCGTCAAGCCTTCCAGCATAGGAGAGGTGTCATCGACCGTACTGTCAGGTACTACCGGTGATATTTTATCTGCCAGTACCTCCACTGCTCTCGCCACCTCAACATCCTCCTTCCCCATGGTCACCAAATCCTCATACATCTCCAAGACCGTCATCCCCACCGGCACTGTGAACAATGGTGTGCCTACTGTCATTACTTCCATACCCGCGTCGACCACTACCGTCGGCGCTAATGTCAGGGCCAGTAATCTTGCGGAAGCACAGCAATACAACCACATCTTTAACGATCTCACTGAGAACTCTGCGTGTTCGGTTGGCCAGGTTGCCTGTGTTGGTGGCAATATTGGGGAATGTAACGCTTCTGGATCTTTCTCCATCATCCCGTGCGGCGGAAACACCCAGTGTTTTGCTCTGCCAATGAACATCACTGCTGGTGTCCAGGTTGGCTGTGTCGATCCTGTGGTGGCTGCCAATATCCTGGGCGGTTCGGCTTCGAGCACATCTGCTGCTCCTACGAGCACTGCTGTCACCAGTTCAGCTGCCACCTCAACGACCGCCGAGACCCCGAGCTCATCTGCTGCTCCTACGGGCACTGCTGTCACCAGTTCAGTTGGCACCTCAACGACCACCGAGACCCCGAGCTTATCTGCTACGTCAAAAGTTACAGAGACTCCAAGCTCAGCTGCTACCTTGACGAGCACTGATTACCCGACTTTGATCACCGTCACCATTATCCCCCCTACCGCAACGGTCACCAGCATCATCACCGCCCAGCCTACAGCCAGGACGACCTCCAAGAAGTCAAGCACCACTACCATCACCTCGGAGCAGTCGAGCACCAGCATCTCTACCCAAACCGAGCAAACCACCATCGTCACCGTGACCCAATCCGTTCCCACCACTCTAGTCACCGTGACCCGCTCCTCCACCAGCAACACCGACTCAGCCGGCCAAATTACCACGACCATCGCCTTCACTCCTCCCACATCTGCACCCACAGCCGCACCCACTACTACTGCCGTGGTCACCACGACCACGATCCTTACCAGCCTAGAGGTTATCCCCATCACCAAGACCAAGCACCACGGAGGCGGCAGCAGGCCCACTGAGGCTCCCGTTCCCTCAAGCGCCAAGCTTATCGACTTCCCTACTACCAAGGCGGCCGGCGATGACCCAGTCACTGTTACGGTCAAGGTGACAGAGACAGTGACGACGACTACTACGAGTGTTACGACGGATATGGCTACGGTGACTGCGACGATGCAAGCGTAGACTGGGGCAGAAATTGCAGACCTACTCCTCACCTACCACATAAAGCACGACAACCTAATTTGTTTACTTTGAAATTTTGGTCATTGGCACTTCGGCGGTAGCTTGGGAGTGTTTAATAACCTGCCTTCTCAGATTTCCTTTTTGTCTTTCGCATAAGCTCTTCGGGTGTTGGAGTCCGAAGCTGGGGGAAAGAAAGATTGATACCCCCGTTAGTTGATAGATACTGCTTGTTTTATAATTCATTACTTCGATTCTTTAGAATGAGGGTCTGGTCTTCAAGTTTGATTTGTAACCGTTCTACCTCGAGACAGCAGAGCCTCTTTATGATAAATACCGACCAGTGACCACCATCTGCAGCTGAACGACTAGCAACGCTGTATTTAATCTACTTGAAAATTTCTATTAGTCAATAAAAGGAGGCATGGGTATAGCAGTACTTAAATATGCTCTCACTCTCAACCAACGAACTGACGAGAGATGGGGAGGAAGTTCCGTCACCCGGGTGTCGAACTATGATCGGCAATACTTCGGTCTCAGTTGTTACGGAGCAACATAACCCTAGTCTACATATCGAACCGAGATCACTAGCCCCCTAGTCAGCAAGACTCCGCGTTGAGTCGTCTTTTCGATGGTTTAAACAAGCAAAAATATGGGGTCTACAGAGTCAACCCATTCGTGGAAGATTGCTTGGGTGGTAGTTTGCCTGACTAATAATGGAACGGTTACACCATATGCAAACAGAAATCTCGACAGAGAAGACTAGCTCGTCGTATTACTTAGTTTAGATCAACTGTTCTGTGGTTCGAGTCAAGGTGACCGACAATGAGATGAGAGCCGAGATCATATCGCCTTGAACAACGCTTAATTATCCTATAATCTAGCCAATACTTTAGAGGCTGAATATAACATCATTTTAGTGGCAGCCATAGGTGGGGTAAAAAACAGTATCGCAAACGTTCAGTATATGATTCATCTTCCGACTACAAACAGGCGTTGAGATTCCAACTCGCCGTCCAGATTGTCAGTTAAAATCATAAGATTGTCTGATATACCCCCCTAGCCGCGGCCCGACGTCTCGCTGGACGACAGGCAAGGGAGTGGTATCCAATGATCCAAAAAAGAACTTGCCCGGCTCGCACTTCACTGCAACTCTGAGCACCCTAGTCCTGACTAGTCTCTTGTCGCTGTGCCTCTCCTAGCACCCTACTTTAATTTGTCCACATAGCAATCTTCAATCGTGGCCCAGGAAGCTCTTCGCTTTCTAAAGATCAACATCAGATTTATCGGTATTTCAAGATTCCCACCCTTGGGTTCACTCACATGTTAAGACTACTTCACATATTGAGACGAATCTGAGCTCCAAGTTATTTGCTCATGACCCTGACCATCCCCGCTCACTGACATGGCAGACTCCACAAGCGCACCTTTCAATATGATCATCGCACGGGGCAGTCTCGTGGGCCTGACGCTGGCCCTGACCCTCGAGCAAGCGGGCATCTATTACTTGGTATTGGAGAAACGAGCAATTGCACCACACTAGAGAGCCTCCATCTGCATACATCCGCACACGCAAAAGGTGATTGAACAGCTTGGGGTTTGGTCCGAGATCGAGAAGGGCACAGTTCCTCTGATATACAGGCAGTACTTTGATGAATATGATGAGCTGTTTGAGAATTCGGCATTGTTGGCGGAGATTATAAAACTGAACTTTCTTCGAACTGCAAATTTGCCAACAGTATGTTGGGAACTGCAAACAGGACAAACCATCCAAAGTTATTCATGGAGCTTTGATCCTAGCTACAATGTCTATACAACCATATCCAAAACAAGGACAAGATGCGGAAGAATGAGGGCGTGGCATCTTTTAAAGACGCTTCGCCACGTCACGAAACGGAAATTCACGGAGCCCGACACCGAAGCAACTATCGACAAATACGGTGACTATGCCGTCGGGCCGGGATACAAGTTCAAAGACTTATGACACAGTCGCATCAAGCCGCCGCGGTACCGTTCGAAGAGGGCGTCCTCTCCACGCCGTGGAATAATGGCGGTCGAGACGTGCTCCTGGGCGACTCGGTGCATAAAGCTACAGTCAACCCCGGGCTGGGCCCTAACCTGGCCGCAGATAACATCTGCCACCTCGTTAATGAGGTCATTGCGCTTATTCGCCAGGGAGGGAAGCCGACGAAGGCCCCGTTGGGTCATGTGTACGAGGTGTACGAAAAGAAGCAGGCATGCTATGTTGATCGTTGCAGCTTCGGGGTATATCGCCCGGTTTGAGGCTATGGAGACGTGGTGGGCAAGGCTACTGCGGCGCCTGTCGCCGTGGATTAGCAATCCATTAAGGCGAAGGGGTTTGTGGGGTATATCAAGGAGGGGCTGTGGATGAGTTTCTTGCCGGATCCGGATCCGATGGTTCCACAAGATGATTAGTTATAAAGATTGTTATTAGTCTAATCGGCAGGAGAGCTAGGTAAGTGGATGCCGAAATGGAGAACACACCCAGATGCGATGACTGTGTTATTAATACAGTAGATTACCTTTATCGGTCCACTGCAGGAGATTGATCAAACCTTATCAGGTTACTGTAGTGGAATGCTGTGCTGACCTACATTACTATGCTCGTGGTTCGCTGTTTATTCCTAGCCCATTTACGGTCACACTCATAGGCACCTTTAACAATAGCCTCTGGGTTAAATTTGTAAAGTTACCTGTCCTTTCATGGTTAAATATAATGGCTCGATACCGAACACACAAAAGGGGGTTGTTACAACGAATTTCTACACTGTTGCCGTCTCGAAACAAATCATACTTTGTTTTTGCCACTGATTGCAATCGAATTACAGTTGATCTTGTTCTGGCCAGGGGTACGTAATCCAGGCTTTGTAGTCCATCGGAAGAAGCAATCCAACTGTTCTTGATCCGAAAATCATCTGAAAAATTGAATACGATGTGATGATGGATTAGACTAATAATACGGCCATTGACTGCGGCGGCCTGGTTGCTTTTCCTCAGTGAGCTCGAGCTAGCTGCATTAGGAAGGTCGTAGTAAGTTTAAGGAGGTTATCGCTGTATCTGCCCAATAAGGGGTATTGCGATACCACCCATGAGGCGCGCTCCTCGAGATCGGACAAACCCATAATTCGCTTGATGCAGGATAAAGAATAATCCCTCGATGTAAATACGAGGTACATTAGCAATAACTCTGACACTTTCCTGGACCGAACTAGACCGAAATGTCGGAACGTTGATAAGATATTGACCGTAGATAACCACCAGATAAGCCTAACTTCAAGACATGACGCAGGGCTACTAGAGGTGGTCTAAGCGTGGAGCGGCCCCTCTTCTACTCTCAGGGGGTTTCCAAACTACCGCACAGGTCATACACTTCCAGACACTTGGTAACCCCCTGTAGCGCGTTTTTCTGCTAATTAATCGTACCTTATGTTATACAGAATCTTACTAATACAGTTAATAAAATCGAGAACCTCTATTATCGTGAACGAGGATTAAGTTAACATGCCTACGGATATCTATGCTACTAAATAGACCTAGGATATATATTACTCGAACGCGATCTTGTAATATGCAGAAGATGACTACCTAAGAATAGTACAATTTATGATAAGCTACTTTAATCTAGAGAAATACATAGTTAATGAGTTATAAGATGTAGGTCGCGAGAAGCTAAAACTTTAGTAAGACTAGGATGCGAATCGCTTACCTTATGATACGAAAAGGTAGGGGGACCCACTGGTTAGGTGAATCCCATTCAATTAGATACTATAACGTTGCGCACTACTGCATTATAGCATCCTCCCCCCTAGGTGCACGCATCACCTTACTTCTAATTACAAGGGACTGCAGAGCTTGAAAGCGTGGACAAGCCCGGATTCGAGTGCTTAAATTGCTAGATGTTTTAGTCTATGCAGGGCAGTTAGTTACTAGCAGCTATTCCTCATACCAACTACGAAGTAGTTACTGTTAAAAACGTATACTACAGCGATTAGTAATATTAAACCTTGGCCTCTCCAGATACCGAGATTGGAATGACTTGGTTAATTCTAAGGATTTTGTCCGAAAATCATACTTTGCTATCGACACCTATACTCGACAACTGAAAGCGTGATTTCGCTGGGAGAAGTAGTGTGGGGCTTGACCCTAAGTGTCCGGAAAACTATGACCTGTGCAAGTTTTTCTCTCTCTGAGAGTAGCGAAGAGGGGCCGCTCCACAATTGGACCCCCTAGTAATTCCTTATCAACATTGCTTGCTGGAGAGCTGAGATGAACCCTGTAGGTAAGCAACAGAACTCCTTGTTGATCACAGAACGACCCCCAAAGGTAGCAAAGGTGGAGACGCAGGTATAGCATGCCATGCCTGTTTTACAGCCAAGATTCAATTCCGATAATTCTACAAAATGACGCGTCGCCAGCTGATATGGAAATATCGCGGTCGAAGCGAACTGGGGAGACTTTCCTCCTTCCTTTCGCAAATTGTGGTGCGAGACGACTAATATACCGGCTTTACCATATACTGGCGACAGCTGTCATCAAAAGACCGAGCAGCATTGCGAAAGAAAACGCCTGCTCATGGAATTGAACCGACCCAATCATTACGTCCCGCAAAACTTTACACCCGCCCACGGCTCGAGCATTCGGAGCGCCCTCTAGCCATCGTCCACGATGAATTTCGCAACGGAACATCAATATGGCGTTGACCCGGGTGAAGACACCAAAAAAGTCGAAACACCAGAGAAATACGACGATAACATACACGAAGGATCCGTCGAGACGCACGACAATGTCGACGAGCTCAAACGCCATCTTGGCAATCGCCAAATCCAGTTGATCGCCATAGGAGGATCCATTGGCACCGCATGTACATACCCAGTGCTGATAAAAGAATTTCTTCATATTACCAGTGGAAGCTGACCACCCTCTTAGTATTTGTGAGTATCGGGGGCGGATTGATGGCAGGTGGGCCCGGCAGCTTATTCATCGCGTATACGCTTTACTCGTGCCTGCTTGGTTTGGTCAACAACTGCATTGCCGAGATGGTGATATATATGCCCGTGTCTGGTTCGTTCGTCCGCATGGCCGGGAAGTGGGTGGACGAATCGTTCGGCTTCATGGCCGGCTGGAACTTCTTCCTTTACGAAGCCTGTCTGATTCCCTTTGAGATATCGGCTTTGAACTTGGTTCTCACTTTTTGGCGGGATGATATTCCGGTTGGGGCTGTATGCGCGATCTGTATCGTGCTTTATGGGTATGTCATTCCACGCCAAACCTGCTCTGCCTCTCACGCTAACTTATCTGTACAGGCTCTTCAACGTCGTCGCAGTAAAATACTACGGCGAAGCCGAATTCTGGCTCTCGAGCGGCAAGCTCCTCCTCCTCGTCATGCTCTTCTGTTTCACCTTCGTCACCATGGTCGGCGGAAACCCGCAACACGACGCCTTCGGCTTCCGGTACTGGTCGAACCCTGGCTCCTTCGCCGAGTACGTCACCACGGGCTCGCTCGGCCGCTTCGAAGGTTTCCTCGGCGCCCTCTTCTCCGCCGCCTTCACCATCGTCGGCCCGGAATACCTCGCCATGGTAGCGGGCGAAACCATCCGTCCGCGCACGTACCTGAAAAATGGGTTCAAGACCATGTACTGGCGCTTCGGCGCCTTCTTCATCGGCGGGGCGCTGTGTGTCGGCATCATCCTGCCGTACAATGACCCCACGCTGCAGAACGCCGGGACGGGGACTGCGAATGGGTCTCCGTATGTCATTGCGATGCAGAACATGGGTATTTCCGTGTTTCCGCACATTACGAATGCGCTCATGGTGACGAGTATTTTCTCCGCTGGGAATGCCTACACGTACTGTGCCATGCGGTCGCTGTACGGGCTCAGTCTGGAGGGTCAAGCGCCGAAGATTTTCTCCAAGTGTACGAAGCAGGGCATTCCGATATACGCCTTTGCGATGGTTATGTGCTTTCCCTTCCTGTCGTTCCTGCAGGTTTCAAACAACACGGCGCAGGTCGTGACTTGGTTTGCGAACTTGACTGAGGCGGCGCAGCTTATTGACTACATCGTTATGGCAGTCACTTACATTTGCTTCCACCGTGCTCTCAAGGCTCAGGGCATCGACCGTGACACGCTGCCATACAAAGGATGGTTTCAGCCCTGGTGTGGGTATATCGGTGCGGGGGGGATGACGATCATGGTTTGCATTTACGGATACACGACATTCTTACCCGGCTGGTGGGACGTCGGGACCTTTTTCTCGTACTACACCATGGTATTTGTGGCTATTATCACTTTCACCTTCTGGAAGGTGTTGAAGAAGACGCGCTTCGTCTCGGCGGCCCAGGCGGATCTGGTCTGGGATAAACCTATTATCGATGCGTACGAGAACTCCATCACGGAACCGCCAACCAAGTTCAGGGAGGAGTTGATGATTATGATTGGTATGAAGAAGCGCAAAACTCATTTGGGAGTGGAATAGTCTGCCCTAGGGTCTGTTTGAAACAGGTCGGATAGGCCACCTGAGATCTACATGCAGCTAGCACTTCAGCACGCATACTTGCTTGTTTGTGGAATGTAGAAATACCACTACATGATTTGAGTACCACGCCTCAAATTCGTGATGAAACTGAATATTGTTAGCCCCCGTAATTGCCATGACATCGAGAACGCCTTTTTGCACTTGATTACCAATCGCTTGATGCACCCCCCACCCCGACCGTCGATGAAATGGCAATAGCTCCCTACTAGCACTGCGATCACTTAGATTCAAAACATACTCATTTAATTTTTCTAAAACTCACTTGCCTTGGAATTACGATAGGATATAGGTGCAGCTTCCCAATACTTGATGAGGAAAAGGGCTAAAATCATCATGCCAGGGTTTTCTTAACACAAAATTCAAGGGGCTGTTGATTTCAATCTCTATAACAATCTCAACTGGGCGTTCTTGTGACTCTGCCTATCCTAGAAAATCGAATCAAGCTGACGATAAGCTCATGCCTCTGTCCTTTCATCGATGAAACCCCTTGCCTGGTCACTGTCATTGCGGTCTTGTGGGTTTTAGATTACCTTCAGAACGTTTAGCCCCCTGGACAGACTCCTTTAACTTACGCTGACCTACCTGAGAACCCAATTTCTTCAGCCCGCTTCATGCGTTCCTTCACAGGTCGTTAGACAGACTCGTTTAGCTTTTTGCAAGTGTGTCTGTGAGCAGCGCGATAGGCAAATATGCCATGCGTTAAGCATTCAACGTTGCCTTTAATGGCTGAGACTTGCTTGCCGCGGATCGTCTTTGACGACTTGGTGTTGATATCTTGGGGTGAACTTGACGGAAGCGCAATTCCAGTTCTCCATGGCACACCCTAGAGTGGGAGTCTTATGTACATTGGCGTCTCCCTGCTACATGCCCTGACAGTGATGAGTAAGCTTCTGTTGTCAAACCCCTGTTTATAGACCCTCTGTTACTCTGTATTGGATTTCTTCATTGCGAACCCCATAGCTTGATAGCCTATTGTGGCGCATGTGTATCCAGTTTTTAATGAACCTGTCCTTTGTGTCATGAAACAAAGAACGAACACGGCGGCAGATGTGATACTTGTATATCAAATCATAGGTAGTCTTCTTCAATCCGGCCCCAAAGGCTCCAACTCGTGCGTAACCTCAGCATTATGCATGCCAACCATCTGACACAGATGCGAAACCACCCTACCCTTCGCAGCCATCAGGTAGAACCACGTGAAGCCCAAGCTCGCCCACCACAACATATCACTCAGAAAGAGCAAATTCTTGACACTTCCCTTCGCACCACCCCATCTCCCAAAGCCCTTCTTCTCAACCAGGCGATTGATGGCGTTTTGTCCCGAGTTTAAGTGAACCTTGACGTAATCAAGGGCAGGGTGAGCCTTGTTCTTTTGAATACCATTGCCGTGTCCAAAACCATGGGCCGTGGATACAGCATAGCACTCTTTCCTCCAAGCGACTACCCCATCACCCCACCACCAATACGCCTCAGCGAGCCATTGTGCGCGTTCCCAGACGAGATGGTCGAAGACCAGGTTCACTATGCAGTAGCCTGCCCACTCGCCCATCCACCAGCATGCATAGAATAGATGCGCTATAGCTCGCTCCAACAGCTCGATAAAATCGAGTTTTTCCACTTCCTCGACGTGGCTCACAGTCTCAGCCTCCAACCTCTTCCTGCAATAGATCTCGTAAAACGACCTTAGGCGACCCTTACGCTCCTGTCGGCATAGCGGGCACGAGTATAGGAGCATCTCGAGCAGCGACCACGAGCGGCCGTTGCGGGGGCGGCGGAACTCCTCGTGGTCGCAGTAGATAAATGGGAACACGACGATCCAGCTTAGCCAGAAAGGGAAACGGGGTGGAGTGGAGGGTGAAGGCTGCTCTAGTGAGACGGATGGAAAGGAGAGGCGGTCGTGGCGCTCCGAGCAGATGCGGGTGTAGAACCAGCGGATCCGGGTGAGCGGGTGCAGGAGGAGGGAGGGGATTGAAGATTGGGGTTGTTTGGATTTTACGGCTTGCTTCTTTGAGGGCAATCCCGCCCATGCCCAGGTGAGGAACGAAGGTATAAAGCGCATTTTGCTGACGGGAGATGTGCGTCTAACATGTGGACATGTTAGGTGCGAACTGGGGAGCGTAGAAGCTGCGTACCACGTGAAGGAGGATCGGAGACACATTTTACACAAACGCCCCGTTAGAAAAGGAATGCGCAAAGTTTTCGTGACAAGATTGAGGAACCTGCGGTACCTACAGCCCCCGGGAGGTTGATCAAAGGGGCTGCAAAAGCCTACAAACGTCGGTGGGCCCGGACAGCGTCAAACTTCGCTCACGATCCACCATTTCTGTCCAAGCTCCCTTTTGACAAGAGAATACGAGCTTTGGCACATAAAAAAGACTGGTCACAGGCAGGCCCTCCAATGGTATTGTGCCTAAATCTTTGTCCCAGAGAGCATATATGAACCAAAGAAAGAAGCACGAGGACAACTATAGAGTAAAGAGCCTCTCGTTTTGAGGTGTGACTTCTGAGGGGAAGCCCGCGAATCATTACTATTACGCTAAGTGATTGTAACATCAAGATAACTAAAGTGCGCACAGCTCTCGATCTTCAAGCTCATCTCGTCTATATGCAGTCCAGGTTGAAAGTATCATAAGAAGCTTGGGACATAACTCGTAAATTACCTGGTGTTTCTTATTCTGAGCTTTTGCACTGACCCATACATGCATTCAGAACGACAATAGGAAACAGCAAGCGCATTGAACTTTGTGTATGCATTCTTTCGACGGGTTCTCAGATATGAGCTATGAAGTTACAAAAAGAGCCATGCTGATCAGCCCTATTGAAATCCCACAAGAAGGTTGGGCAGGACAAAAGTTCCAGAAGATCTATTGTCATTTCCAGTATATGGGTAACTGACAGGCTGAGGTTAAACTTCTCTCTCATCCTTGCTCCTCCCCTCGACTGTATAATGCCAAATATGATGCTTATGCAATGCTAAACCTGGTGAGGCAAGGGCTTCACCAAGAAAACTGCGCAGGTTCTCACAGCCTTTGATTCAGATTTTCTATACCAGAGTATCGTGTTGCTACACTGATATATCGGGCTATCTCGTATTATCTATCCTAGTTGCGCCAATGGACAGAAAATGTGCAACCGGGGCCGGCGCTCTGCATAAGGGAGCGGCCACAGCGACAGCTCTCATTAGTGAGTTCTGCCAGCAGAGCATTGACCTGCAGGCTCTCCATTTACAAGCGGGGACATTCACCCCTCTAGGCATGTAATTGGACTAAGACAGCAATACCTCCGTAGCACCATCCTGGCATTAAAGGTGAGGGAGCCGAAAGTTGATTAGTATGATTGATCAAGTCGGTATTGTGTATTAATGCATACTATTGGTTACTACTCTGGCTGCAGACAACAGGCTGTGCTGAGGCTTAGTAAATGAATTGCAGGGTTTGATTTCTTTCGCGGGGTATACAATAAGGGTCTAGCCATACATCATAAGAGCTGAAAAGCTGATTGTTCTTAATTTCTAACTTATCTTTCTATTTTCGAGTACTTTATTCTTAGTAATTGGTATGAAAGAATTATATTTTGAGGGCCGTATAATAGGAGGGGAGGATAAGATTATTGAGCTCCGCGTGCGTTGGTTTGGTAGCGTGTTCTAAATTTAGTTTTTACCGGAAACTATTAAGAGCCCTGGGCTTCTGGAACAATATCTGAAGTTCTTATATGTTGAGAAACTAGAGATAGTAGCGTGGTAAGATAACTGAAAAAGCCTTCTAAGCCCCTGATAGTAGCCTTAGCCCCTAAAGTCTAAAAGCCCGCTAGCTATCGCCTCTCCGAGTACCTATATCTATAGTATTTCGTGCTTAAAGCGACGGTAAGTGTAGAAGATACGGAAATAACTCCGCGTTTCAAAGAATCGATTACTGAACGAGATCTTGCCCCCCCCCCCTGAGACTACTGTAGTGGGGTAAGGCCGGACGCCAGGGAAAATAGGTTACGGAGCGGGAAGAATGTTTATTTTCTCTTGAAGAAGCACAGAGACAGAGTAGGACACGAAACCTTCATCTTCATCTTTTTATTATCTTCCTCACCCTCTTTAATTATCTTCACCTTCGTTTTTCAGTTAGTTAGTGTGACAGGCTGTGCCTGATATGGGATCCGGAGCTGCAAGGACCGTGCGTCCGGATCCACCAAAGGAACCATCGAGGGCATACAAAACATAGTCCGTGTTCCCGGGACAACTCGCATATTTTACTTTCCTCCTCAGTTAGATAATTAACAGTATTTGGCCATGTTGAGCTGTATAGTTTCGCAGTGAGCCCGTCACAGTTAGTTAGCTTATCTTTACGTTTGAGATTCTATTATTCTACTTTTATCTTATCCTTGACGACAACAGAAGCCTATATCTTGTCTTGATCAGAGCAACCTAGTACTAGTAGCAGCTTCAATTTGACTCCCAGAGCCAGACGTCTTGTTCTGAGAATTGTCCCGTCGCTAGTCTCAGAGACACATCCGACCAACTTGCGCGCAAGACTTGCGAGAGCTTCGCTCTTGTAACCAGTACCACGATCTTCGTCTGATCAGACCAACAGATAGGAGCTGTTGGCACTGGAGCCGTCTGTTCAGTGTGTTAGGTAATAGGTATATCCTTCCGACCGCCTGACCCCGTTTCACTACCTACTTCAAAAATCCCTTTAGCGAATCTAGAGCTCGAAGATTAGGTGACGAATATTCATTTATCAAGTCAAACTTTACTTATATTGACGACGGGCAGTGAAACCACCCGCAGGTGTAAGGTGTAAGATGATGGCAACGAATAACAAGATCCTCAACAAGACCTTACTATTCGGGAGGTGGAAAGAAATAACAAGATCAAGAGCTCCTTGTCCTGATTGGAACGACAAGTACCTCAACAGGTACTAACAACTGTAGCCTCAGCAGGCTGGGGAAGAAAAGGAACCTCAACAGGTGAAAGGTGGGAACAATGGCCTCAGCAGGCACAATCAGATCTATAGGGGCAACAAAAGTACCTCAACAGGTACGTCAGACATTGAATGCCTGTCCAAGTAAAGAGAAATTGGTTCAGATTACTGTGGAAAAGGCTGCTTGAATTTCTATCTTTTTCTCAAGAGAGTGACTATGTACATAAGGTCTTAAATACCCTTCAAGAACGCGCTTACATAACTCGTCTGAAACCGGAAAAAACGAAAACGAGCACCCAAAAACCCTAACCCCACGTCAATATAAGAAAATCCAGATAGCTATAGGGTTAGGACAAATCCAGCCTAACCTGCGTATATGCCGCCTGTATAGAATCTTGGTCGACGAAGATAGCGAGATATTTGTAAGGTGACAGCAAGCCTAGACTATCACGTCACATAGACCAAAAGATCTAGCAATTCTGTCACTTAGTGACAGAATTGAGGCTTAACCCTGCTTATAGCTCTGTATTCCCTTACAATATTGATATAATCTGACGATAATGATGTTAAATCAGAGCCGTCTTTAGGTCGACGACTAGTTGGAGTCTCACTTATATTTATCGAGACGGATAAATAGAGTTAGATAGGAACTCTGTCTGACAAGGTATAGAAAGGAAATTGCTCTGATAATATAACCTCTCGCTAGGTACGGGAGTTGGTGTCACAAGAGGAGGACCAAGCCCCTAATCCAATAGACCAAAAGATCTAGAAATGTCAGTGTTACTGACATTTGGTCCCACTAACTGCTATATACAGCACTATGTAGCTCTGTAATCGCCAGCGCTGTGACAGTTGGACTTTTGCGTAGCTGAATTACACAAAGCTAGTATCATTTAGGGAGATATGAAGTTAGAAAATATTCTAGTCGACGAGACTGATAATGTCTAGGCTATCGGCTTTGGAGGCGGATACACTATAGGTTAGGTCGATAGGGAGAAGCGCGAAACGGTGGAAAGGGATTTTCAGGGAGTTAAGAGAATTAAAAGTGTCCTAGCGCTTAGTAACTAGCTAGAAGAAGTGGAAGGGAAGTGTGGTATCTGTTACGTTAAGTAGCACTTGTCACGACCTGGGTTGCATCGCATTGGTATAGACCTCGATTAGGTGCTATCGACGAAGATTCTACTCTAAGGAGCGAAGGAAAGAAGATGACAACTTAGGTTTGAGGGAGCGCGACTAAGTCATCCACGCTTGGCGGGGCTCCTACAAGGGTTATGATTGGCTTCCCATCTCACACTGCCACGGCAGGTGTTCCAGCTGTAAGTCACCTGGTTGTAGGGAGTCTGCGAGGGTTGACCGTCACAGCACTTACATAGCCGAAAAGAGAAGTACCGGATTGAATATAAGCACGGACTAGACAAGTGCCGTATAATTACGAAACAGGAGTATCTGGTCTAGTGAGAGGGAATCAGCTTTGCTAAGAGCTCGTGCTGCTGGAAGTGCGGTCTGCCTAAGAGATGGTGCAGGGCTTCGGAAGACATATCGACCACTTCGAATTCCAATAATGCTTGGATTTTTGGCGGCGATTAGGCAAGAATACGGGCCGGACCCCCACTTGAACCACTTCCAGATGGTGTAAGCTTGATCTTACCCGGGGCTCTTTCTTCCCTTTGGATCACAGCCTAACTTAATCGTCTGTCACCCAACACCTGTCAGCCATCGCGGCGGTAATCCAATAATCTTCACGATGACGTCCCAACACATCCTAGCCACGCCGCCCTCCCAAGACGCCATCCTCAATTCCCTCCTCGAAAATGTCCGCGCCTACAACGCGCGCCTGCCGCGTCTCTACGTCGGCCTGCGCGAGTGCAATCTCGACGCGGAAATGCCCCTGCTTCTTAACCCGCCTGGCGCACCCCTCGCGTGCAGGGAGCCGCCCGCCGAGTTCGAGGCTGTCAACGCCCACTTTTCAGCCCAAGTGCACGCCTTTTTCAACGCACTGCACGACCTCGAGGACATGTCAGACAAAAAGTCCTCCGACGAGCTGGACCTCATCCGCCAAGACGAAGGCCTTCGGCCCGCCATCCGCATCGTCAACCAGTCCTTCGACATCTACCCAGACTGCTTGCACCGCACCTTCCATACCCGCCGCCTCACCGTCCAGAACCCGGACAGCCTACCTCTCCTCAACCGCGTCACCCAACTGCGCGTCTTCCCCGCCCTGGATTACGCCTTCGAGCCGGGAATGAGCTTGGCCCACATGCGGCCCGTCTGCCCACGCGCGCCCCTCGAACTCGCCGCCCGCCTCCCTCACCTTCGCGAGCTCGACTGCCCCTGGCTATGGGAGCGCCTTCCCATTGCGTTCTCATCCCAGGCGCTGCGCAGATTTGCCCGCGGCTGGGAAGGTCCTTGGCGCGATGCCCGCGCCGAGTTCGGGCGGGGTGTGCGCCATGTCATGCCCTTGTTGCCATCCTCCCTCACCAAGGTTCGTCTCTGGTTCTGGAGGCCCAAATCCTGCGGGGACGATGGGGCCGACATGGACCAAGCGGCGCAGATGCCTGACCTTGTCGGCGCGTCGTCGGCGTCGTCGACCTCTGAGTTTGAAGACATGGACCCTGTGTCTCTCGGGCTCCGGGGCTTGGGGAGTCGCCTGGAGGAACTAAACATCCGCGCGCTCATCACCCCCGATCTTTTCCATTCCGGGGGTGATGGTGCAACAGGTTATTCCTTATCATGGCCACACATGCGGCACCTCAAAGCAGAATTCCACCCGTGCGCGCCCGACGGCAGCTGGTACTTTTCCGGCCCGAGAGGCGAAGACCCCCACGCTACAGGTTTCGCTATCACGAGAGAGGAGCACTATCCACCCGGCCAGGAAGACGCCGACGAGACACACGCATTGTGGTCCTGCGAGGAGGACGAGTACACCGGCGACGACGACATACGCATCGCCCGCCAACCTGACATGTTCCGTACGCTCCCCATCGAGGAGCGTATCAACCCTTTGCTCTTTGCGTTTGCCTCATCTCTGCAACGACAAAAGATGCCATCCCTTCAAGACGCCGAGCTATTTACGTGGCTTACGTGGCGGCCCTCCGAGGAGCGGGCTCAAGAGTATGAGGGGAGTGATGACACGCCTCCTTCGGCTGAGAATGAGACCGTTATGTTCCGATGGGGGGTGAGATACGATGCGCCTAAAGGAGATGAGAAAGGAAAAGTGACCTGGCAGGTCGGTGAGGACTGGAGGCCGGGGGACGAAATCATTAGGGCGTTTGAGGATCTTGTGGGCGGGGACGGGGAGAACATGGATTGGGAAGCGTTTGAGTTTGTGGGAGAGAGGGAGCAGGATCCGGCGAGCTTCATCTGATGAGATTACAGAATCAACAGGGCAGGCAGGTAGAACAGACTCACTTTTTTAACGAAGGGCCGATAATCGCGCTCACAGCTACTGACAAGCACGAAAGTAAACATTCGTTTTCTTTAATCGATCCTTGTCCATCTATACGGGTCAAACTATCAAAAAAACTTGAACTTATCACCAGCCAGCAGCATTAATCGCCCCCCTACTAACCACTAACACTAACACAATATGCCTCCCCCAACCAATAATTTGTCAGACAATCGCTACTCACAGCCGGGTTCCACGCCAAAAACTGACTCAACGAAATCCCCGCCTGGCGTGCCATATCTGTGCAGGTCACACCGTCAGTCACAACAGCCCACTTATTGCAGTTGTCTGGCTCGCCTGACATGGTAGGCGCAGGAGGCGTAGGTTTAGTCGTCGTCCCCGAAGGCGTCGTTGTAGTCGGGGTAGATTCGCCAGAAACACCAACACAGTACGCCTCACCCAGCCAGTAATTAGTCAGACAGTCGGAACTAACAGCCGGGTTCCACGCCATGAATTGCTGGAGGGAAATGCCCGCTTGGGCGGCCATGTCTGTGCAAGAGAGGCCATCTGTGACGAGGGCCCATTTGTTGCAGTCGGCGGGCGATCCGGTCATGGTTGGGCCGGGCGGTGTTGCTTTTGAGGTCGTGGGACCGGTGCTTGTTGTGGGGGACCTGGTGGTCGTTGTGCCATCGCCCGAGACACCAACGCAGTAGGCTTCGCCGAGCCAGTAGTTGGTCAGGCAGTCTGAAGAGACGGCCGGGTTCCAGGCCAGGAACTGCTGGAGAGAGATGTCGGCTTGGAAGGCCAAATCCGTGCAGGTCAAACCGTCCGTGACGATGGCCCACTTGTTGCAGTCTGCGGGTGAGCCTGACATGGTGGGTCCCGGCGGCGTCGGGGATGTGTTTGATGGGTCGTCACTTGTGGTCGTTATAGTTGAGGCGACATCTTGGTTTGCCTGTTCGAGGTACCACGAGCCGCAGTAGCGGACGCCCTTTACAAATGCGCACGCCGGATCCGATACGTTGCCGAGGCCGGGATTCCACGAGGCAAAGGCGTCAAGGTCAACATCGTAGGTTGCCGCGGCGAGTTCGCAGTTGCTGGCGTAGGGGGAGCCGGTGAGGTCGTACTGGTAGTCATCTCCGGCGAAATAGTGCACGCAGTCGTCGCGCGTGCCGGTGGCTTCGGGGAGGGCCGTGTACAGCCGCGTATAAGGGGAGTTGGTGGCGTCGGGGCGCTCGGTGTAGGGGATTCCTGTGAAGGGCGCGGAGGGGTCAAGGGTGACAGAAGCGAAACCGGGGCGGCCCGTATAGGTGTTGATATCGCCCACTGCAGCGACGCAGTAAGACTCCAAAGCGAAGAGGTTGGTGCAGTTGGCATTGACGGCCGGGTTCAGGAAGAGGAAGTCGGAGAGGGTAATGCCGAATTTGACGGCGATGAGGTTGCAATAGTCGCCTTTTTGGACCGAGTACCACCGCCCGCAAGGCTTTTCGGCACCGCCGGAGCCGTCTGCTGCGTCGGTGGGCGTGGGAGCGGTAGTGGTGGGAGTTTGAGGGGGCAGGGAGGAGGTGTCGCTGGGGGGCACGAATTTGCGGCCGAGAGCGTCGACGCAGACTTCGGAGCCGTTCATCTTGGGGAGGTTTGCGCACCCGTAGCTTATGGAGGGGTTCCAGGCCTTGAGCTGCGTCTCGGTAATGTTGGCCGCCGCAGCCATGGCCTCACACGTCGTATTGGTGGGGACGGTGACAGTGGTGCACTGATTGGTGATGCAGAGAGAGGTGCCGGCGGCAGGGAAGTTGGTGCAAAAGGCCTCCAGGTCGTTGTCGGCCAGCAGCCAGTCGGTGCCGACACCCTGGCTCTTGGATATGGTGTAGCAGTCGTCCGAGGCTTGGATCGAGTAGGTTGACCCCTCACACACCTTGGCCGTCGGAGCGGGCGCCGCACTGAAGTAGTCGATGGTCGTTGTTACGACCGGGCGTCCCACAATGCCGCAACTCGCCGTCATGCTCTCGTACAGCGATTGGCTGGCCACAATGGGCCCGTCAAAGTACGGTGACCCCTCGCGCAGCCGCAGCCGCTCGGCCAGGCACACGTCGCAGTCGTCGGGCTGCACCTGGTCCGTGGTGTTGCTAAGGTAGTTGAAAGGGCTGATGCCGGGATCCGAGAAGGCCGCTGCCAGGGCCGCGACGGGTCCGCAGTAGCGCCCCGAGTCGTCCTGCAGGCAGGCATTCTGGAAGTAGTACTGCAGCGCGCCAGGAACATATACAGCCGCGGCCTCGACCTCAAGATCCGCCGAGATAGTCTGGTTCCCGCACCCGGACTGTACCGATGACCGCCATCTTTCCATGGCGGATGAGCAATCGGTGGTGCAGATGCGCGACAGTGACGCGGGCGGGTAGAAGACGTCCGGACGGAGGTCCCTCACCAGCGGGTCGCAGGCTGTGACGTCCACGGTCAGCGCATTGGTGCACTCTGAGGTGAGTGTCGAGGGAAGACTGTCCGGGTAGAGCAGCACCGTGGCAGATGCCGTTGATGCTGCTACAAGCAGGCCGACGAGGAAGGTCTGCATCATGAAGGTTTGGATTCCTCAATAGCAGCTTGCGTCGGACCTCAAAAGTCAGCGGGAATGACTGCTATTAGGAAGAGAGGGGCTCTTCGTGTGGCTGAAGGCGGCATCGCAAGAGACATTTTTCTTGGGCAGGTTGTCGAGCATCTTTTAGCCCCCAACGTCGCCCTACAGGTCATTAGACCACCACGGGTCCGCATTGCGGGCCTACAAGTCTGCGGCGTTGTCTTTCTGGGACAATTAGCCAAGTCCGGCTATACTACCTTACTAGATCCAATAGTCTATTTCTAAATAGTGTAGGCCATGCAGTAAGCTTAAATGTAACTATAAGTCCCAATCCGGCCAATCAATCAATCCGCAGTATTACTTCAGCGCTAAGGTAGACGAGCCAATGAGGAGTGAATAATTAACGTACCTTGCCTAATAAGGTCACTGCGCAGAACGAGATGGCATTCTCATGATCCCCCTTGATATTACACCACAAATAGTGTATGCAATTAATTTTGCATAAGCGCTTATGTAGTCCTAATCTACCTGCTTGATCGGGTCGCGGCACGATGGGAGACTGCCATGTAAGATGGTGATTCATTTCTTGCATATTACACTCAGTTCCACGAATGTGAACAGAGTGCAAGGCTTGGCACGGCACAGTAGCAATGATTCCCGCGCACGTGGTGGCGGCGGTACCTCTTCTCTTATACAAGATGCGGCGGGCAGCTTGCTGCCGTGCAGGTGTTAGATGGGTACAGCATTCCCGAGCAAGCACAACCTCACGGCCATGCGGTATCCTATTGTCCTTGCTCTTCTTTGGTGGCAGAGGCTCGCTGTGGGCTTGCCTGGTGCCGATCGTGCTGCTGTTGCTGATGTGCTGACAACGTGTCGGAATCCCGTGTCGTGAGTGACATGTCGCCGCATTTTGAGCTGTCTACTTGGTCTAATTCCTGATCACCGCAGACCCTTTGACTACTCAGCCAAGGTCAGGCGCGAATATGAGCTGCCCCTGTGTCGGGACGGCGACGACAGTCATCCCGTCCTCGGCGCCATGGACGCGCCGTCTCTGCTAGCCGGCCGAGCCACGGTCGACGACTACACGTGCGCGCCGGACCGACCTTGCGCCAACTCGGCTTGCTGCCCCAAGGCCTCGCTGCAGTGCAACTACGGCGAGGAGGCGTGCGGCACATCGGGCATCTCGCCCAACGAGGTGTGCTGGTTCAACTGCGACGCCAAGTCTGAGTGCGGCATCAACGCCAAAGTGCCCGGCCAGAAATGCCCGCTCAACGTCTGCTGTGGCAAGTGGGGCTTCTGCGGCATGACGGAGGATTACTGCGACGCCGAGGATCACGGCGCCACCGGCGGCTGCCAGTCCAACTGCGACCAGCCCGGCCCCAAGGACAAGGCCGACTCGCAGGACCGCGTCATCGGCTACTACGAGGCCTGGCGCGCCGACAGCGCGTGCCAGGGCATGGGGCTCAACGACATCCCCGTCAGCTCCCTGACCCACCTGTACTTTTCTTTTGCGTCCATTACCCCGGACACGTACAGCATCGCGCCCATGGACGGCATCCCCGGGTCCCTGCTCTCCAATTTTACCAACCTCAAGAGGAAGAACCCGGCCCTGAAGACGGTCATCGCCATTGGTGGGTGGACCTTCAACGACCCGGGCCCAACCCAGAAGGTGTTCAGCAATATGGTGAGCTCGGCACGGACTCGCGAGACCTTCATCGACAACCTGTTCAGCTTTTTGCGCGAGTACGCCTTCGACGGCGTCGACTTTGACTGGGAGTACCCCGGCGCTGATGACCGCGGCGGCATCGACACCGACGGTGCCAACTTTGTCACATTCCTCAAGGAGCTCAACGACGCCAACAAGAAGCAGCCCGTCAAGTACGTCGTTTCCTTCACGGCGCCCACCTCATACTGGTACCTGCGCCACTTCGACCTCAAGGCCGTCGACCACGTGGACTTTGTGAACGTCATGTCCTACGACCTGCACGGCGTCTGGGACGGCAAGAACCCAATAGGCCAGCACATCTACGGGCACACCAACCTCACCGAGATGAAGCAGGCCTTTGACCTCTTCTGGCGCAACGACGTCCCCGCCAACAAGCTCAATATGGGCCTCGGATTCTATGGCCGCGCCTTCCAGCTGCAGGACCCCTCGTGCAGCACGCCGGGGTGCGGCTTCAAGGGCGGCGCTACCAAGGGCGGCTGCAGCGGGGAGTCGGGCATTTTAAGCTACCGCGAGATCATGGCCGTTATTGATGCCAAAAAGATCAAGCCCGTACATGAAAAGAAGGCCGGCGTTAACTACATCACGTGGAACAGCGACCAGTGGGTGTCGTACGACGACGCCGACACCTTCTCCCAGAAAAAGGATCTGGCCAAGGATTTGGGGCTGGGCGGCTTCCTCATCTGGGCCATCGATCAGGATGACGAGCATTTGTCGGCACTGCAGGCCGTCCTCTCGCCCAAGAAGCTAGGCGACTTGGGCGCGGCCGGCGACAAGGACGACTGGCAATCTTCCAACAAGCACTGCTACATCACATCCTGCGATGGCAACTGCGACGCCGGCGACATCAAAATCACCGACCAACCCTGCGGCGACGACGACAAGCGCAGCAAGCTCTGCTGCCCACTATCTGGGGCCCCGGACCCCAAAGAGTGCACATGGCGCGGTGGCGAGTCCGGCCGCTGGTGCAACGGCCACTGCCATGACGACGAGGTCATGATGGAGATGAACAAGTGGGGCAACGGCGACGGGTGCTGGGACGGCAACAAGGCCTACTGCTGCAAGAGCCCGCTCGCCGAGGAGAACAGCTGCTACTGGGGCGGCGTCGGCGCCAGCTGCAACGGCGATGACTTGCCGCTGACCTTCTCGGGCACCGTCCTAACCATTTTAGAAGACGTAGCCAAGGTCATCCTCCGCGTCGTCGGGCGCGCCTACCCTCTCGCCGCCCTAACAGGAGAAGTGCTCCTTGAGGTGCTCGACGCCCTCGACCTCGACACAGATAAGTACTACTGCTGCCCCAAGGAAGACATCCCCAAATGGAAGAACTGCGACTGGTTCGGCAAGCCCGGCAACTGCTTCGACGGCCACTGCCCGGACATGACATACGCCCAACTGACCGATAGCTACTTCGGCGGCGGCGAGACGTGCGGTGGCCAGCTGTCTCGCGTGCGCACCTTCTGCTGCGAGTCGTCCGAGGACCCCTTGTTTCTGCCTGTGCCCTTAGGAAATCTTTTCGAGCACCCCCCTGAAGGTAATAGTGTCGACACCGACTTTAACCTCGAAACGGACAAGGACTCGGACTCGCAGCAGAACCCTAACGACGCGGCCTTCCAGTTCGTCGTGCTCGCCTCGCCCGAGGAGCTGCAGGTCTCTATCGACAAGCGCGACGGCTCCCACTGGGACGTCTTCTCCGGCTGCGACTCGGCCGTCGGCGAAGAAGGCCCCCACACGGTGCAGATGGTATGCACAGATTTCTCCGAGGATAGCAACTGTCACAAGATCGGTCTCGGCCACGGCGTCCCGGGCACCATCTTGCAGATGCCTGTCGGGTGCGGCCCCGGAAAATATGCCGTTGCAAAAGACATGGCCCCAACCTCTGACCAGAAAAAGGTCATTCTTCCCCGCCACCTCAAGCACCTCTCCGCCCGCAGCACGCCCATCGTCTACGATTTGACGTTCGATTACGACTTCACCCGCGTGCCCCGCGACCTTGGCGACACCCAGATGCGCGTCGACTTCAGCAACCAGGACGACTACTGGGACACGGTCGTCTCGGGGGCCGCAAACAGCAAGAAGAAAGTCAAACGCTCCCTCGCCGACACTGGGGGCAACCACGTCCGCTGGCTGGAGGAAGAATTCCGCGACGACTACCATTTCGGGGCCCTCTCGCGCCGTGACCTCGAGGAGCGCTGGTTTGGCTCAGACGTCCTCGACTGGCTTGCCCGGCTTGTCCGCCCGGAAATCAAACGCGAGTTCACTTACAACTACGAGGACACCCTAACTGCCAAACTCATTGACGAGACCTGGCAATGCAACCGCGACGGCGTCGGCTACGAGGGCCACCTCCTCGCCCAGGCCCTCCTGAAAGTGAACATCCAGACCAGCTTCGGGTTTACTTTGATCGTTACAAAGCTGTCCCTGCCCCTCGACCTTTCCCAAAGCTACCTGACCTTCTACAACAAGGGCGAGATCACCGGCGTTCTAACCCTCGAAGCCGTCGCCAAGTTTTCGTATCACAAGGGGGAAGTCATCGTGAACATCCCTTTCCCGGGCGCCTCCTTCACCATCCCGGGAATCGCAGTGATCGGCCCGCAGCTGACGGTCGAGGGCAGCATCGACGCCTCGCTCACCCTGGCGGGCAAGGTGGAAACACGCCTCGAGTTCGCCAACTGGGAGGTCCGCCAAGTCGTTCCCGACAACGGCGACAGCAACTACACGCCCAAGGAGATTGGTGATGGCGACCCGGACCTAAAGCGCAACGGCGACGACGAGGACCTGGACCAGCCGAGCTTCTACGCCGGCGTCCAGGCCGTCGGCGACGTGACGGCCAAGATCTCGGCGGCGGCCGAGTTCGGCGTCCGCTTCGACAAGCGCTGGGAGGTCGACCCGGCCGCCGCGGCCGTTGTGGGCGAGGCCAGCGTTATGATCAAGATGGGCGCCGGCGTCTCCACCAAGGACACTTGCCCCTTTACATGGGGGCTCAACGTCGGCGCACGCCTGTTCGCGCGCGCAAAGGCACCTGCTTTCAAGTGGCCGGGTGTCGAGGTGCCCATCACGCCCACCTATAACAAGCCCATCTTCGAGGGCGGCACGTGTCCGGAGCTGGGACCCCTCCCGAACAAGCGTGACCTAAATCACCTCGCTATCGATGGTAACTACAGCCGTAGCCATAGCCACACCCACAATAGCCGCGGCCTGGTCAAACGAGCGGCCGTCTGGGGTCCAGTACTCAGTGTGCCCGTGGGCAGCTACTTCTGCCCACCCGAATCCGATGACAGCGCCGGCCCGGGCACGGTCTGCTCCAAGATCGGGTACGCCTGGGACTCCGACGACGGCGACAGCAACGCAATTGTTGAGACGCGGGCGCTGCCTTTCGGACACGTCCTCGAAAAGCGGGCCCCCAAGACCACCACCATCTGCAGCAGAACAATCTCCTTCCCATACCCGACAGACGGCGAAGCCAAAAATCTGGGCAACCCGACCTATGGCTTCCGCACCACCGACTGCGACGACTACGAGTTCGGCGCCCCCCTCGACGCCGATACCGCCAATTCCAAGTACGAAGCCGAGCACGTTCTCGAATTCCAACTCACCAAACAATTTTTCGATGACCTCGACCTTAATCTCGACACCTTCCCCCACCCAGACCCGTCCAAAACCACGCGAGTCGGCTTCTGCCAGCTTGTCACTCTGCTCTGGAACATCCAGCCCGTTGCAATCCCGAACCTCGATACCGCCTCGGGGAATGGCGCCGCCCTCACCCCCTATAACCACATCGCCAGCCAGTTCCCTACCAAAACATGGAAGCAGGACGAGTACGTCCGCCTCGACACCACCATCAACTCCCCGCCCAAGGCGAGCGCTTGGGCCGGTTTAAGCACTACCTACAAACAAATCCAAATCGTCGATTTCAAGAAATGGATCGGCGGCGACCCCAACGACCCAAACAGCCCCGTTAACCAGGACGACCCCAACTACTCCGGCTATATCACTGACATTGGAGGCGCCGAGAAGATAATGAAGTCCATGCGTGCCATCGTCGGCTCGCGCCTGTACCACAACGACGCCCTCGTCATGTCCATCCTGCGGGACCAAAAGGGGCGGGTGGGCGAGGTGCTCCGGCGGCTCGATACGGAGATCCTGCCCGCCAATCCCAAGCAAGCGGGCTGGACGGCCTGGGTGCCGCTGGGGCTAAAGGAGCGGTGGGACGAGTTTATGAAGGGCAAGATGGCGCTGGCGGTGACCAAGTCGAACAAGGTGCTGAATGATATATTGCCGCGGATGCAGGCGCAGTGGGCGGACCAGGCCGCGAGGGAGGCCGCCAGGCCCAACGATAACGATTCGCAGACCGAGGCTGAATTAAGGGCGAGGAAACAGAGGCTGATTGATAGTATTGATGCGTTGGCGGATATTTTGAGGGTGTTGCCGGCGTGGCAGTGGGCATTTTAGGAGAACTACTTTATATCATGATAAGTCAGGGGGTGCTCGCTAGGGAGCGGAACAACGTGTCTCTGGTGATCACCAGTATATAATTGAGCTCGTCAGCTCTCGTTTCATTGTAGACCAGATCAACTCAAGAATCTTTCGAAAACTCTGTATAATGACTGTCGGATCGTGTAGGATCCAGAGTCGATGTCTTCCTAGCATGGGATTTTGTACGCGGCGGTTGTCCTTTCGTCTAGTCCGCCGCAGACCCAGCATTCCTTCGGACGCGGTTGGATATATTCGTCCGAGTTGTTATCGATATCGGTATGCGCGTCGGACATTTCCTCGTATTATTAAATTTTTTTCTCGAGATCTTTGGGTTAAGCGTATACTAACTCGTGCCTTCGATAACCCGTCCATATAAGCAAGATATCAATAAGCGCATCGTCGAGCCGGTCGAGTCCGATTTTGAAGGTGGTTATATTCTGGACTTACTAGAAATGCGCCAGATAAGTGAATCCTAAGGGACCGAGAACTTTCTTGTGCTTAGGTTTCACTCGTAACCCAAATATATATTTAATCTCGAGCTTCGCGACCGATATAAAATAGTCCCGAAGCTCCTCTTCGAATTTGATACCGGTATGCTTCTTAAAACCCGCCCATAGCTACCGTAAGTATAAGCAAATCGTATTTTTGGTACCGATCGCGGGCGTAGGCCTATAGCCATAATATCCGGAAGGATAATGATGCGAGTGCATATGGGGTGTGAATTGTTGTATTGGGAAAGGATGGCCAGGTCAGCTATTCTGGCCTGGCAGAGCTCTTTTATAGCTCTTATTTATCTTATCTCTAGCTATAGGGCAACCCCCCATGGGGTCACGTATCAGATAATAAGCGGCGATAGGTGTCACGGCTCCATCCGAGCCATTATGGAACTGACAGGGCTGTCAACCCTCGCCAGCTGGCGCCCTTGCACTAGTACTCACGTCGTCTGGGATGATTCGGGGAGCAAAGGGGTGGAACAAGTTACGAATCACATCTATAGTTCAATTTCCGGAAGGCTGGAATTTTCTATAATTCTGATCAAGATGAAATCAATCTCTCGGTCTCTTAATATAATGTTTATATCGTCTTGAAAAACAAGGGTATTGTTTTCCTCCCATTTGACAGGCATCAAATTGTCCCACTCGATACCCTTGCTGCTCCTTAATAGATGTTTCCCTCGGTGAGAGTAAACACAAGCTAACGATGATAATATGAAGTAAATGAGCAACCTACCGGGTCGCGTCCATAAGCAACCCGCCTTGAGCCGAAATGACTGCACAGAATACCAAGGAATCTGGAAGCCTTGCTCCGTAGCCCAAGTTCGAGCCAGTGGGCGCTAGAACCGTTAGTCTTAGTTCTCAGATTTAGTATAATAGACGTACCACGACATCTACAGCTCTGCTTGCGATTTTCTTCCGGCTTTCTGTATTCAACAGCTTCCAAAAAGATACATCAGGCAAGTCTGGAAATTGATAGTGGTTGTGCTCGTGTACGGCGTCATTACCGTCATTAGGTGAATCCTTCGTAGGCAGGTCGAAGTTCTTATTGAGCTGGAAATTTTGAATGCTTAGCATAGTACAGCACGGATTATCACCTTCGTAGAATTGAATGATTCATCTAAGAAGAGATTATGAGGAAGTTGTAGTTTATGGATAAAGGCATCTGAACCTGAGCGGAGCGAAGTGACCTGTTCAATGCCGAAGTGCCCGCGCCCCTCATGCGCCGTATATGAATCTTCAGTCAGGAGGCGCTAAGCCGAGAAAGATCTAGCAAATCTGTATAGAGCCATATCCTTTTTCGACATAACGTACCCCACGGTCCAATTGAACATTTCTTAAGACCTGGTACAATAAGATGTAAGTTCATTCAACCACAACGCTATAAATCAATTGAAACTACTCGGAACTATCTTCTTCAGACTTTTCTTACTATTCTGATAAGTACGCGTATTATGACCGGCTCTCCGCACGTCCTAAAGCGTCGCTGGCGCGTCTCAGGCCTCCTCGTACGACCACGACTCCAGCGCGATTCATCTTGTAACTGCCCGTTAACCTGTTTCTGAGACTGTAAATCTTTTGCAGCTTGTATACGAAGTGAGTCTTCATCCTATAAATGGTTTTTTATACGATGCCGCCTGCTGCGTGTCACATTTGCCCTTCGAAGCGTGGTGCTCTCAATCCTTAAATTAGACTAATACTAGAGAAAGGGAATCAGACGAATATAGTATATGTCTATTTTTTTGCGCTTCGTTAACGAGGACCTCTGAGACTCTGAGACTACGATATAAGTCCTTAGCTCTTAACTTCATGCTTTCCGCCGTCGTGTGTAGTAAAGGCCGGCCTTTGTATCCTTAAGCCGACCTTTCGTTTACTTAGAGTAGAAGCGAAGAAAATTGTGACGGGCTCACTGCGAAACTATACAGCTCAACATGGCCAAATACTGTTAATTATCTAATTGAGGAGGGAAGTAAAATAAGCGAGTTTCCCGAGAACACAAACTATGTTTTTATATGCCCTCGATGCTTCCTTTGTTGGATCCGGACGCAAGGTTCTTGCAGCTCCGGATCCCATTTCAGGCACAGCCTGACACATTACCCCCCTTCCAAGGTTTCGAGAGAAAAAATCTTTTATCCCATTATGAACTCTCCCGTTCAGTAATCTCATCGCCAGGGCTTCCACCGAAGCTCTGGGTGTGCGCTTGCTCCTTCTTGGTCCAATAGTAGCTCCGGTGTTCTCACCGACGTCGTCCCCGGTTCCGAACTCCTGCTCGAACTTGTCCAAGGCAACAGTATCTTCGAGGTTCTTCCTTGGCTCCCAGTTCGGAGATTGGTATCCCTTCCACCTAACGAGTACCTCTCGTCTGTGGCCTCTGCCTCGTGCCCTATTTTCCGCCCTCAAGTTCTTTTCGACCATGTATTCCCCCGCGTCTCCTTCCGATGAGGGTGGTAGTACGGCAGACTTAGGCAATAACTCTCCAAGTGCCACAGACAAGAGCGGATCCCACATATTCTATCTAGTCTCTTGCCACTTATTCCGGCATACCCCTGGTGAGGGTCTTGGCTGCTTATCAGCTCCATTTGGCAGGTGTCAGACCTTTCTGCCAGCCAAAGGTTGAATAAGGCCCCACTCAGACAATTGTGGTCACATTGGGGTATATATGATCCAACAGCAGACCGCAAGATAAGCGTTCTGTAAGAAGCCAATTGGCCTGTCCACGGCTATATTAGTAAGCACAGTCTCACCTCGGCCGTCATACATGGCAGATCGCACCCTATTCTGCGCCATCTGCAGCGGCCCGATCCGACCCCTCGCCCCGGGTCCAGGCCAAGAATGGAGCGCCGCCCTGAAATGGCAGACCAAACTCATTCTTCTCAGCGACCCAGACCGCGAGTTCGAGACGCTGGAGCAGCACTACAAAGCCGGCAAGCGGCCCAAGATCCCCAAACTTGCTTTCCAGGCTCAAGCCGACATCCGGCGCGACGTCGCCGTTGTGCGCGATGGCGAGTGGTGTGTGCTCCAAGACGCGGACGGGACGGAAATAAAGCCCAACTGGAGTATGGAGGTTGATGAGAATAATCGTGTTTATTCGATGCCGTATAGCATTGCGGCACATGGGGCGTGTGTGGATATTGTGGTGCGGCTCATGCGCTCGTCGCGGAATGAAGTTCATGTGAGGTCTATGAGAACGCTGTGGAAGGTGTTGCGTATGGGGTTTGATGCGAGGGATAATGAGTACATGGGGTCGGTCGATGCCGCGGGGCCACAGTATATTGTTATGGACAATGGACATTACATGCCGGTGGGTTTTGTTACTGCCCCCGGGGCTTGGAACGGGGATGATGAGCATTGGGTGAGATTGCTGATTCCACCAACCGCTTGACTTGGATACTGATTGGAACTGAAGGTTGTGAGTGATCCGTCAAGAATGCCGGATTTGACATCTGATATCATTTCCAACCTCGAGAAGCTGCATTCCGACGATGCGGACCCAGATATCCAGGAATTCCGCGGCCAGTTTCTAGCCTTGTCGTACGAGTTACGAGACAAGATCGTGTCCTTCATGGGCTCACCTTCAGGCCTGTCGACCCACTGCACACGATGGCTGCCCCAAGAAGTATGGCGGGACATACTCCTCGAGAACAAATATCTCCCCTTCTTGTGGGATCTCGACCACGACATGCTCTTCAACCACTCCAAAGAAGCTGCCCAGGCAGGAATCAACCTCGACTGGGAACTGCTCGTTCGGAAGCTGAGCCAAGGAGTAGAGTGGAGTCAGCGGCCACAAAATGGAAGCGGCGAGCTGGAGCCCATGCTCGAATGCTATCCCGACCTGCGGATTCCGAATGGTCTGCGCAATCGTAGACGCATATGGCAGCTAGTCGAGGAGATGTTTGTGGGGGACGTCTTGCCCGTAGCCAGACCTTGGACGCATGGTACTCAAGTACCATGTATGCCACGGTACTGGGATGAATATGGCGATCCCGTCTATCCGGTGTTCAGGCTGGCTGGATTGGGTAGTAGCGTATAGGCGCATATTCTGCTATAGTTGAGTTCCTCAACCGAGCGGGTTAGGCTTGTGGATACCCATGAACGAGCCAGGCCAAGTTACTGTGATGATGGTAGATCTCATGGTTCGGAGTTGGACAACGGCTGCTTATTTATGATGGAAGGCAACATACTTAGAGCGCGGCATTACCAAGACGAGGAGGAGTGGGATAGGAGAAGAATATTCCAATGTGTTCAAATGGCGAAAGGAAGAGATGTTGGTATCGACCAAGCATATTATACCATGGTGTTGTACATGCCACTCGGGTCCGCATCTCTGCCACCGCATTCATGTTTGTAATTGCGGATTGGGATGAATACTTGATTAGCTCTGTAATTGAGTAGCTATGCCTTGCTCCATTAGTAGGACGAGGTCGGCATATATAATCCGAGTTTGTCAGTATAGGGCTTGCCTCTTGCCGTACGGAACCATGCCATCTCCAGCCCCTAAGTCGTAGCTGTTCCGGTGTCGTCTCAATCCTCCTCATCAACCCTAGGATAATGACGCCAACTACCTAATAGTACGGCGAGGATAGGACAGCGGGGATATCAAAGTCGATTGCCCAAGTGGGAATAGCGCTCCTGGTATCCTTCCAGGCTCGTAGGACTAGTACGAGTCTGCATCCCAAGCGCCGCTGTTGCGCCGTTGGCTCAACGGTAGTCTCGTTGATGTTGTCACATCCTTCTCGAGGGCAGCTCGTCGCTTCCTGGATTCGTCATATTGGACATTGCGGTCCCATTCCTCCAACGAAGTGTACGGGCTTCTAAGGAAGTTTTTGAGTTCATGCAGCAAGAGCCGAGTGTTAGTGCACCCCAGAAACTCCTGTATCAACTCTTCTGCTTGGCCCTGACTCCCCTGAATGTCCATATGTTTCAAGATGGCGATAATGTACTCAAGCAGGAACTCAGGGTTCTCGGCACGTCGTCTGTCCGTAGAATTGTGGCTGTTTTGAGGCGCGGACGGCGTATGCAGAAATCGGAAGACCTTGAGCTCTCTTCGAAGCCACATACGGGCACGAGATACGAGGGCTGTGTCGCTCTGGAACTGTTGTGGGGACAGCTCCCTATATCGAGAGAACTGGTTCGATCCTACGTGCAGCGAATAGAGCTGATCGACGTATACTTCACGACGCCAACGTATCGCATCATTTTCTCGAGCGGTTTCGAGGGCGCGTGATTCAGAAGCTTGCCGCCGGGGATGGCTTCGCGATAGGAGACTTCCATTTTGTGCCGAAGGGAATCGGGCATAGGAGCTTCTTGATGGAAAAGCCCCGTCGTCGAAAGGATTGTGGTTGCGCCAGAAGACTGGTGTGCTAGCCCTGACTTGAGGTGATACCTGCTGCCCATCCGGAGCATCTGAACTGGACTCGGACGACTGGGGCTCCGGGACGGCATAGGTTTTCCACTTCTTGAGTAAATGGTTCTGCCGTTCTTCAAAGCCGTAGCGGACCTTCGTGATATCAGCTTTGCACAAAGGACATTTTGCTTTCTTTTCCAGCCAGTTAAGTAGACATAGAAAGTCGAAGTTTTTATGCCCACAAGGCCTGGCCTCGCAAGGTTCGTGGACCTGATCAAGGCAGATGACGCAGCATTCTTCAGTGCTGGCGGGGCTACTTTTGCTTGATGAGTTCCCTATCTCGATCTCGGCAAGAGTGGATTGTAGGACTTCGGAACGAATGTCGAAGGCTTCACTGGCCTCTAGGTCCATATGTCAATGCCGGATAAAGAGGAACGGAATCGGACAAGAAGCAGAAAGACGAGAGTCAAGGCGTTGGAATGACTTGAGGTCAAACTCCGCCACTTCGTTCAACCCTACGCGGCTGTACAACCCGAGCGTCCGTGCACACTGCCCCCCACGTTTCCCTCTGTCCTTGTCGCGTCGCGTCTCGGGAAGTCGCGTTCGGCATGGGTACTTCTATCGTGTACTTTTAATTGATGAAGCCCGCTGCGACTGGACTCTGAACCTTGGATTACAGCCACTGATATCCTGGACTTGGGCTTTTCAGCTGTGCGTATGCCTGACCTGGTTGAACATCAAAGAGTCCTGTCAACAATGGACGAGTCTGAGAGACAGAAATATGAAGCCAAATCTCAGGAATTGAGGGCAGACCTCAAACGTTTTGAAGGTGATTGGGCCAGGCGCAACGATGGGAAGAAACCAGGTCGCGAGGATATCAAGCAGAATCCTGTCATAGGTAAGGTAACAACGGTATCGCACGATGCTGGAACGCCTGGCTGATCTGAGGCACCCGCAGCCCAAAAGTACAAGAGGTATAATCAAGTTCGCGATATTCTCTCAGGGAAGATCGCGCCGCCACCCACTAAGGACAATACCCGAGCCCGAAAACGCAAGTCGGAGGAACCAACCACACACACTCTCGCGAACCGGACCAGACCTGCGGAGACGCCCTCTAGGTCCCAAAGGAAAAATACAGATCTACTCGACGGCCCTGAAACGCCTTCCCTACGCAAGCTATTCAGCCCGGCTCTACCTTCGTCAATTGGCCCGACGCCGCAGAAAGATGGGCGCGTCCTTGGTCTCTTTGACCTTTTGTCCGAGAATGAAGAGAGCACACCCTCTAAATCGCAACATGAAGTACCCGGTGACCCATCCACACGAATCCAGGCGACGCCCAGTAAGCGGAAACATGCCGAGATCGACGAAGAAGATGTGATCAAACCAGGGCGGACACCAGTCTCCTCGAGCAAGCGCGCCATGCTGGACACCTTTATGACCCCGTTGAAGAATCGAGACGCAAATCTCGAGACTGGGAAAACGCCCACCACCGTCAGTCGCTTGCAGTTCGCCACGCCTTCCTTTCTCAGGAGAGCACCCCCTCCTTCGTTGGACCCGAACGGTGCTTTCGTGTCGCCAGCGCCCCTCCGGTTGCCGCGCAAACCCATTGTTCGTGGACTGAGTAGTGTGGTAGCTAGCCTGCGGAAGATGGAGGAGGAGAGGCTAGATGAGGATCTAGAAGCACTGCGCGAGATGGAAAACGATGCCGGCCCGGCGCAAACGGCCCAGGCTTCGAAGGCTGACGACGAAATCCAAGCACACGATAGCCAGGCTGAAGTTCCACAACTTTTGGGTGGCTTCGATGATGAAGGACTGTACGATAGCGAGCCGGAGAAGCAGGTGGGCCGCGACGGACAGCCGCTCCGGGTGTACACGAAGAAGGGCCAAAAGCGGACGACGAGAAAGGTCAACATGCGGCCTACGCGATCTAAGCGACCAGTGCAGTCCATGGCAGAAGCGTCTGACAATGAGGATGACGAAGTGGTGCCCGAGACACAGTTCGATGCCACGAAGCAGAACGGCGAGCCGCCTTTGGACGTTGCATCTGACTCGGACTTCAATGGCTCTGCAGACGAGAGTGCCGACGAGGGCAAGACGGCCAAACCCAAGGCCAAGAAGCCCAAAAAGAAGCAGACCAAAGAATCTGAGAAGAAACAGGGCACGATCAACAAGGCTGTCAAGATGGTCAGCGCCATGGCGCACCAGAACTTCAAGAAGCTTAAGCTCAAGAATAATGGTGCTAAGGGGGGTCCTGGGTTCGGGAGCCGATTCCGTCGGCGGAGATAGAGGAGTTCGGATTGGGAATTGCTACAGCTGTACATTGGATGAGCTTCGGCTCATGGTTATGGGCAGGCGTATTCGAGCGGCTTTTCGCTGTCATGATAATGAACCACTGCATATATACGGGAAGTCACCTGCCCCAGAGCTTCTGGGGTATAGACTAAGCAACGCATAATTGGACAATATGGGCACAGAACCAGACTTAATCGCTTTGGCAAGAACTCATAGTCATCTCTTATGATTGACACTGTTGAAGGCCTCCTTTTGCCGGAATGACTTCTACTTAATACTGCTCACTCATACTAATCCCCAAGCTGTGCAATACACCGCTCCGACAGTAGTCACGGGTCATAAAAATTTTCCCTGGCCGGCCCTCTCATCACGTCACAATACCCGTCCAGCAGTGCGGGCAAAGCCAGATGACGCCCAGCCCATGCCATGTACCTCCACAGCCGTACACACACGGTTGTTCATGCTGCCATACGCATTCGAAAGCCGGACAAGGCCGTAGCGCATGCCGCCGTACGTGTGCTGTGTTGTCCTCGGATTTGTCCGGCGCTAGCGTATCGTGGTGTTCTCCATGGAGGAATAAGGGCAGGAGGCCATGCGTCCGCCATAGGTGGGTGTGATGCCGCAGTCCACGGCCAGGCTGAGGTGTTTACCGAACTATGAAAGAAGGTAGATCTTTTTCAGCCCTCGACTGAAGAATGCCGTGGGAGGGGGGGAGGAGCTTCCGCGTTGCAGGTATTGACTTATCGCCGAGGATCTCGTACTCGTCGAAGATGTAGAGTCATGTTCCAATCCCTGATCGGCATGCTTGCGATCAGGAATGAAGCATCGAACATCCAAAGTGGGTGATCGATACTGGTGGATGACGGAATATGGGTGTTCGCAAAACTATCTCCTGTTACTTATCGTCCACTTACGAAGAGCGACAAACAGGCTCCAGGTTGGAGGCAGGTTTCATGTTTCTCCATCCATGCTGATGTCCAATCCGATGATGAACTCGGACCGGTGAGCTAAACTTAGGGTTATCGTCGTCGAGGGGACACAGGTGATCCTCGGCTTTCGTTTGTAGGCCAAGTTCTCGTGAGCGGAAATGTTTCCGGGCTACTTGTTATTATACTCTTGTAGTTTTCACTAGAGTTTGTGAGACTTAAGTCCAACCCCACATACCAAATTCATGTATGACAACCTTCATGAAAGCATATGTGAATTCTCATGTCGTATTAGTCAACCAATAATCTATGGTTTGGCAACATTCGAAACCCATTGCATCAGGTCTTCATGTATCATTCAATTACATCCTCCCACTGCCCTGTTTCCTCCGGCCAGACCATCTCTGAACCAGAAAGAACGATGTTCTCCTGCCTCATTATGCCGGCCGACAACCCCAAACGCCATTTTCCTCATTTTCCTCATGTAATATCTGCAAAGAAAGAGAAGTTTTTCCTTTTCAGCATCTTTTACCTTGGAGAATACAACCCGCTAGAACGATAAGACCACTCCACTGCCCATCCTTTCAACCGAACCGCTCATCAATTTCCAAAGAGACTCATCCGAAACCGATCCCGCGTCCTCGTCTTCTGCATCCCAAACGAACTCTGATGGCTCATGGGCCGCTCCTCCGGCGACGGCTCATCATAGCTGATAGGCCTCTCCCGTCTAGGCGGAGGCTGCTGCTGAGGCGGCGTCTCCCGGGGAATTTCACCCCGCAACGCCATCTCGACGTCTTGGTATTGGCGCTGATAATCGTCGTGTTTGGCCTTAGCCTCGAGGAAGCGGCCCTCGGCCTCGGCACGCTTCTGCTGCAAGGCGTGAAGTTCCTCGTCCAATCGCGCCATGTCATCCTGGGCCACGTGCATGAGACCCTCGTATTCGTGCACCTTGAGTTCCAGCGGCTGCAGCACGCTTGTCATGACGCTGGGGCTTTTGACGCGCGGGATGGTAGCTGCTGAGGCGGACAAGGACTCAGGTGAGACGGGTCGTCCTTGCTTTGGGTCGGGAATAGACTTGTGCGGTGGCGAATGACCCGGTGTCCGAGGCGGGGACCCGGATTTGGGCTGCTGAGTGTTTGGTCCCTTGCCTGTGGAAGGGGTGCGCCCTTGCTGGCGCCGGTTTTGGCGGTGTTTGGCTGCTTCGGGGTTCATGACGAGGAGTTCCTCGGACCGGCTCCCAGAGTACGAGGGAGGTCGTGACCGGCCGGCAAACGATCCACCACCACCTCCTCCGCCGCCTCCATTGGGGCCTCCACCGCCGCGCATGGGAAGTGCATTTGCCACTGGGGGCCGACTCGGCTCATGACCGTGGTTCGACTGTCCCTGCGGCATCATACGCTGTTGGGGCGGCATTTGCCCTTGTTGTGGCATTGCCATTCCACCATTGGGGGGACCGCCAGCAGAACGTGGAGGGCCTTCAACTTCGGAATAGTCATAAAATTCAGAATAGATTGGCTGTTCCACGTGGTTGTCACGGCGGTAGCCACCAGGCTTGCCGCGGCCCTGCTGCTGCATCCCTGCTTCGTCGTTGAAACCCCGCGGTGAATGTTGCTGCGGGCGTGGTCTAGTCGGAGAGTTCATTGGGTATTCGACCGCAACGTTCATGACTTGAATAAATGAGAACAGCGAAGATGCCAGAAGGGAGAAAAACCCTAAGAAGCCCAATGCGGATGAAATGGAGAGGAGGAGGATCCCAAAGTGGACTGGATTTCGATGGGGCACATCTTTAAAAGGGAAGAAACATTGCGAAATCGTGGGAGGCTGGTTTTTGCTGGGTTCCGACCTTCCCAGCCTCCGTTTCGTTTCCAAAAGGCAGTGGGCCGGCCGATGGATACGTCGATTTGTGGAACCTCTCGTAAATTCGAAGCTGACATTCGATGCATTAGCCATCTAGTAGGGCCCATTCATGGAACGCCCTCATCATGCCGAGCTGCACGTAGGCGTGATTTGATGCAAGCATTTTCATTGTCGCAGCATGTGCTGGCACCGACCGACCGACCGGAGCTCCTCGGGTGGGCTGGGTGCGCTCGGATCACCGCGCCAATTGCTAGTGCGCATAGACGATCGACCTGCTCTGTGCATGTAAGCGGGTAATCGAAACATCCTTCATCAGGAGTTCTAATGATGTGGAAAAGACAGAAAGCAAGGTGATACGATGAGGCGAACGATGTAATTGAGTTCCGATGTAGTAACACCATCGAGGTATGCAGTTTATTTTGCCATCTGGTTGGACAGGCCGCAAAGCCCGGGCCTTTTAATCACCAGAAATTCACAATCAAGAGGACGAATTGGTCAGGTAATCGCCGTAGGTCCTCGAGACACAGAGAAACCAAGGCGCAGACACTATATCATTCCCAGCTGAAAGGTTGATTTTCGATCCGGTATCTATTCTCTAGCATCTAGAATCTTCGATTTCGGTCTCTACCGTATACCTGGGAATCTGGGGTGTGTTCGTTTTCGCGTTTCTTCGTGTTGAGCGGTTGCCTAGATACTGCGATAATTTGACTCTGACTGGATCCTTATCGTTAGTCTTCAATCTATAAGTATAGAGATCTGGTACCCAAAGGAGATAATCCTAATCGTGACACTAGTGAATTCAGGAGACGTACTCGGTGGTCAGTCAATGCCGTGGATGTTCAACTCCTTCAATATAACTTTCGCGTCAGATGGAAACCTGAAATCAAACTTTCCAAGTTTCAGCGTTGCCTTTAATAGGAGCCCTACGTGGGTCTTGAGCAGCATTTTCAAAAAAGAAAAAAGCAAGCAAGACCTCTAGCTGAGGTTCGATTCGTGGCAAACTCTCCCACAACACGTCCACAACTCAGGCAAATTTTCCCAGCGTACCATCTCCATCCTTGGACCGCCCACTGCTCGTTATTTCACCTGGAAGTGAAGCCTAAGGAGAGGCACTGATGGATCAGGCAGGAGGCGACATGGACAATAACAAGATCAGCGACACTCCGACCAAACCAGACGGAGCGACGCATCGCGGGAGAACGTCGAACCGCTGTGGGGTTTGGTAAATCTGATGTATGACTGGAACAACCCAGCTTAGTTTCGACCCAATCAACGGCAGTAGCAACAGCAGTGAAAAGCTTTGGTTGCAATCGATTTTCGTGGAAGCCATGCAGGCAACAGACTTGTGACAGGCGGTCTTAGCTATATCTCTAAATGCGTATCACCATATCAATGGTTCTGACCACAAGGAGGGGTCAATGCTGCAGAGACATGGCATGCATGGAACGGACAGTACAGTCCGCCAGCCAAATTTGTATATACCCTTTCCCGATTGGGTGCCCCCGATTGGTGCTACTGACAAGCGGCAGTCGACATATGCAGTTGATCTCTCGGATATTGACCTCGAATAGTTTCCAAGCTCCGGGATTACTGCACTCTTTGGACCTCTGCAGTATGGAATTATTGGTTTCATCTAGTTCGCAGAACTCCCTCTTTGGACATCAGTATATTCTTCATTCCCCCATCCCCCTTTTCCTTTTTTATACACTAGGAGTAAGCGTTTTATCAGCAATACACATCCCACTTGCTTCGTTGATAATCCACCGGTGCCATGAATAGTACTACGCCCACCTCCTGGTGGCACAACAACCAAACCAATTGGTTCAGTGCGAGTCTTCAAAGCCACCCATTGCTTGCTACTTTCCTGGCTTGTCTACAACACGAATGGGAAATGGATCAAGGTAGGCGATCTCGAAAGCCGGATCGTTTCTCTGGTTGCTAACCACCTGCTTCAATCAGAGCAATTTCTATAAGAACAACAGCATAATTGTCGACGGTAAGATTGTGTACCACATGTTCAGCGAAACAGACCACATTCAGCATGTTCGGCTCAAGAGGCCCGTCGTCCGGCACTACTCCATGTCTAGTGTACTTGTCACAGAGCCCATTATGGACCTGGTCACCGATGAATTTTGCAAATATGTCGAAACACGATTCATTGACCAGGGTACGCCATGCGCTCTTGGCTCCTGGCTTGGATACTGTCAGTCACTTATCTATCTCCCTTTAGTCCTTTCAATGTCATAAGTTAATTTTATTGCAACCAACAGTTGCCTGGGACTTCATGAGTGCCGTAACCTTTAGCAAGCGCTTCGGATACATGGAGAAGGATTGCGACTTCGATGGCACGCTCAGAATCGCCGATCAGTCCATCAACTACCTAGGGTATGTCGGACAAATGCCCTGGCTGGATTTTTATCTTGACAAGAACCCCATAATCCGTCTTGGTCCCCCAAATCTGTCCACGGCTACTCGGATTGCCGCTGAATCGCTGTTCCCGCGCCTAGAGGGAATAGATCCCAACTACAACCCCAAACAACCGGACTTCCTGCAGTATTTCATCGACTGAAAGTCGACATACCCCGACACCATCGACCGGGACACCATCATGGGATACTTTTTGCTCAACATCATTGCAGGCGCTGACACCACTGCGATTACGATAAAAGCATTATTTTACTATTCTCTCCGCAACCCACGGGTCTGGAAGCGACTCAATGACGAGGTGCTTGCAGCGAATGTCGACCTATTTGTCAGACCTTATAACTACCAAAAAAAATACCTCATTCTACAACGAGTGGGTCCCTCGTCTTTTGACGGTCAATTTGGTCCAACAGTTATGAGCCCGGGTTTGCGTCTTAAGACTGCAAGATTTTCTCGGGTATTATCAGTCCTCCAATTCCGCATAAGATCATCGGCAATGGTTCGAGACGTAGCCAAACCGTGTCAAAAAATAAGAGTTTTATTACAGAATTCATACTCAAGGTAGAGGGGCGGACAATAAAAAAGATGTTCAAGACCCTGCAGACACCGTAGATGAAAAGATGTACGACGGCCAACGAGGCCAACCAACGACATAAGCCAGATGCTACTACAACTTGACGATATCTCTCCAAGCTGAGGGGGTGTATCAGACCTTATAACTACCAAAAATACCTCATTCTACAGCGAGTGGGTCCCTCATCTTTTGACGGTCAATTTGGTCCAACACTATTCAACCCAGCTTCTTACTCTTCAGCTCGAGCTATTCCGTACCTTGAAGCAGTAGCGCGGGAAACAATGCGAATGCATCCCGCCATATCGATGGCTATGGAACGCATCGTGCCTAAGGAGGGCCTCGTTCTCCCCGATGGGAGCGTTGTGCCGACCGGCACTTTGGTTGGCATGAACCCCTATATCTTGGGGCGCAACAAGGAAGTTTATGGTACCGACGCTGACGAGTTCATTCCCGATCGCTGGCTTCAGCAGGATGGGGAGACGGATGAGAAGTACCAGCTGCGCATGCGCCTATGGAACGCGGCGGATCTCACGTTTGGTAGTGGCCTAAGGATATGTTTGGGGAGGAATATCAGCCAGATGGAGATTTACAAGGTTGTTGCTACGGTGATTATGAGGTTTGAGATGGAGTTGGTTGACCCTGAGGAGAAAGTGGAATGTCGTGTCGAGGTGGTTCCATCGCGTTGACGGCGGCTTGACCTGCAGGTTGAAAAGGAGGACCGAGAGAACTTGAACCCTAGGCTGCTGTTTGCGGCTTCTTGAGAGATTATTTTCTTTTGTGAACGGTCTAGAATTTTGCGGTGGGCATGAATCACTTAGGAATGAGTGCACTTTAATATTCTACAAACAACGTGAGTTGCTTGATGCTCTGCGATATTTCTTGACCACCTACCGAGTCGGAATGATATTCTTCTATTCCAGCGGTTGATCGAACCTCATACACACGTCTGCTCCGGACCAAAAATGCTTTGACCAACCCGGCAATAACTTCTCGTCGCAATCATACCCCGTCCGTCTTTCAAGGACACCGGTCACGACGGCATCAGCGTACTGTTCATTCGCACTAAGAAGCAATGGATCGGCGACAGCAATGAGGAAACGAGGCTGCAGCCACATATAAGTGCACCTTAACATCGCCAATTTCCTGTTGAATCTTATCGCACCGCATGTATTCCCAGGGGCTAGACTAGCACTGTTTACGCCGGGACAAGCTGGCCATGACTCCGGCGACTTTCATTGCACTGACGATGGTGCTAGGGGGACACGGGCGACAGGATTGGTGACGATGACGTAGTAGCAGCTTTACGGAGAGTGCTGCAGATATACCAGAAAGCTTGTGTGAGGACGGGACGAGTGGAAATATTTTAAAGAATCGCACGTTGTGTACCAAAGGGACAATGATGCTTGAAGCAAATGGATCACAAGACAAAAATACACATCGTATGTGAATCGATCCGGATACGAGTCAATGCAAAAATTCCCTCGGGCGTTGCCGTTGTGTTGCACCATTCTAACGTACCCCACAAGCAAGTTGGCCACTTTTTCTTGGCACCGTATGAATAACTTCAATAACTTAACTAAACTAAAAAATAATAATTCAAACTAATCGGAATCCTCTTCCTCGTACTTATATTTATCATTCTCACAAGTACGAGCATTATGTCCGGGCTCTCCGCAGATCCTACAGCGCCGTCGGCGTGGTTCGGCCGGTCTCGTATGACGACGACTTACACGTATATCATCCTGTAGCTGCTGTTCAATATCCCGTTGAGACTGTAAGTTCTGAGCGTCTCGTAAACTAAGAAATCCTCCATCTTGTAGCTGTCGATTTTTAGTCCTTCGACGACGGCTTAGCTCTTGATTGGCCTTCCGAAGTGTAGTAACCTCATCCTCAAGTAAAACTAACCGATGCATAACAGCTGTCGCACCACGTGAAAATTGGTCAATAGCCGTAATTATTGTCGTCGGGGAGCTATTCTGATGCTGTAAGATTCTGTTTTTAACGTATTCAGACTGGGATTGCGCCTCGGTTGGGTTATTTGGAGTCTTTGATTCCCAGATTAAGGGTGCGCCAGACGAGCTCCCAGGAGGTGTAGGCGTATGTAGCTTAATATTCAGCTGTGAAATCACATATTCCGGGTCGTACGGAATAAGTCCTGTCCCCCTGAAACCTGCCTGGGTATTCGACTTAGTTATAGTCGTACGATACGCCCTATAGAATGCCGAAAAGAAATCCTCCTTCGAGATATGGGTTATATGCGCCCGTATTAGGTCTTCAATTTCTTTGCCGTACGACCTTTTCAAAGCCCTAAAACAGCCTACATCGAGAGGCTGGAGCTTATGTGACGAATGAGCAGGCATACTAAGTGTAATAATAGTATGCTCTTTGCAATATAGCTCGAAGTCAGTCGAGTGGTGGCTCTCATGCCCGTCGAGGATAAGAAGACGATAAACACCCTTCGTACGATCCTTCGTATAGCGATGTCAGAGAACAGAATGCCATAGGCACCAGTGGGTGTCAGGACACTGAACGCAGGACACCGGTGGGCCGCCGGAGGGGTGTTTCGGACAAAAGACTCCCGAATCATGATTACAATCTATGTGAAGCTTTGGGATGACGAGAGTCAAGATCCTTGGCATCGCCAACCCTGCTGTTATGCCGGGTCCAAGCGGCGGCCTAGCTATCTATATAAGGACCATCTCGAAGTAGGATAGGGAAGGAGTTGTCAGAGCCACAAGTGTCATCCGAGGCGGGCCGGCTTCCACCAGGTAGGAAGCCGGTTGTGGCGAATAAGGAGCCGGGAAGCCGTTTGTGGCGGCTAGAGAGCCGCTTGTGGCGAATGAGAGCCGTTGAAGCCGTTTGCAGCAGATAGGGAATCGCTTGGTTGCAGATAAGGAGCCGCTGTCCAAGATATTGGCCGAAGTCGGAGGAACACAGACATACGGAAGCAAACATCCAGAATCCAAGAGAGAACCTCGGCTGGCTATAAGTAAGGAGTCGAGACGGAGGAAGATAGAGAGGGCAGAGATCAATGCATCACCGTGGGCACCCCTACCTGAGACCGCCAGTGACCACCCGGTATTACGTAGGAGGGACGCCCGTTACTACCCATCACTCTGTACTATTGCCTTCGGCCTAGCCGTACCCTGAAAAGCGATCAAAGTGCTGAATCCAGTCTACGCCTCGCTCATTTGTTGTCCAACCGTTTTTAGTTACAGCGATTACCCAATCGGACGGGAATAGGCTATTCTCGTACCAGGATAAGAGGTGGTTTTAACCCGCGACAATAATATACGGAAAATGAAGAGATTTCTGACTTTCATCGATAACTTCTTCGAACAGCGTCAAATCATCAAACCGATTGCGGCATTCGATTCCTAACGACCGTTTACGTCGGACAGTGACCTCGCATCGCACGCGAAGCGAGGACGCAAGCGATGGCGGCGCCGATGGTGATCGACGGGGGACGGGCGGGACTCGAACAGAGTTTTCACCATCCCCACGCCAACGAAAGTGCCCACGCACCGAACGTGGAGCGCACCAGCAGAAAGAACGCAGAGAGGGAAGGGATCGGAAGAGAACTACAAAAGGTAGAACAAGAGATTGCCGACTTGGTCCCACGTGAGAAGATTGAGGTCATGGGGGGTTTGATGGAGCGTTGGCTGGGGTTGAAACTAGCCGGCAGGACGCTGGAGGAGGGGGGCGACAGACCCGCCACACATGCCGACGTACTGGCAGTGACTCTGGCCCTTGCCGAAATTCCTGCGGCGATCCAGACGATGGTTGAGAAGACCATGCAGGATACGGTGAAGAACGTGGCCTTGCCTACAACTCGATCCTGGGCCTCAATCGCCTCAGGATCGGCCCAGGGACGGGGACCCGGTGAAGCCCCAGTGTGGCAGCAGCGGGTTGTAGTGCCCCAGCGAAGGGAGAGAGAGGTAGTGATCCGGGGGACAGAGGACCCTAATATGAAGAACAGATCGGCGGCTGAGGTCGTAAAAGCGGTGAACAGTGCACGCGGCAGCACCGATGCAGTGGCGGCCCGCAGGCTGCGCAGTGGCGATACCGTAGTGACGTTTAAGCAGTCGGCCTCAGCGGCGACCACGGACAGCAGGTGGGTGCGTAGTGCCTTCGGCGATAAGGCACTTCTCAACCGCAGAGAAGTTGCAGTGATCGCGAAGGGGCTGCCTGCGAAACGGCTGCGAGAGGTCCACGACGAGAGCCAGCTACTTAAAGACCTGAAGCGGGACAATACAAAGCACCTCTCTAAGGCTAAAAGAAACCTCCCCCGGGCGCCGCAAGCACCGTATGCGGCCCTGATACTACACGTGGATAGCGTGGAGGCGGCGATGGAACTATGCTCCGAAGGGCTTATTTGGGAGGCCCAGATATTCGATTGCGAGCCGTACGACGGCAATCTTCGGGTTCGGCAGTGCTACCAGTGCTACGAATACGGCCATATCGCGAAACACTGCAAGAAGACGGCGCGTTGCGGCGTCTGCGCTGCAACGGCACACCCAGGGGGTGAAAAAGACTGCCCCGAGAAGGCACCTAGCGGCAAAAAACGTTGTGTGAACTGCAAAGGGAAGCACACGGCGTGGGACAGGGACTGCCCTACGGCAGAACAGCAGCGGCTACGCGTACGCGAGGCGTACGCTCACCGCCCCCGACAATTTGAGGTCCGCAGCTACTCGGACGGGTTATCTAGTGAGGGCAGGCTCACACCACCTAGCTCATTGACCAGCGACGGGTTTACAGTTGTACGACCCCGGGGCCGCCCCCTGGGCGGATCGCGAGTGGAGCAGGAGCGAACCGAACGGTCTGCGTCAGCAATGCGTAGCTTCCTCACTAAGGGACGTACGAACGAAGATATACCATCGACAGCTTAATGGTAGTCTCTATTCTCTACTGGAATATCGCAGATTCAAAGGCGAACGCAACGCTAGCGCTGGATAAGGGGGGTGACTATGATATAATAGCGGTTCAAGAGCCATGGATCAACCGGCGGACGAAGGCGATTTATTGCCCGAAGTCGTCCAGGTACGAAGTAGTGTACAGCAGCGGCAGAGCTGCGCTATACGTCCATAAACGATACGACGTGGCTACGTTGCGACCCCGTACCGGGATGGACTGGAGCAGTATTACGTTCGGGGCAGGCCCGGACGCCCTTACAATCTGGTCTATCTATTCACCAAACCAGACCGGGAGCCGCTGGGTCAGCCCGCTCCAAGACCTCCCTAATGGGGCGCCGGAGGGGACACAGGTCCTCGTAGGGGACTTCAATACACATCACCCGCTGTGGGACGTCCACGGACGGTCGTCACGGGGCAGCGACAACGTAGTGGAGTTTGCGCGACGCTGGCGATTAGAGCTCGTTACGCCGTTCGGGGAAATCACACGGCAAAGGCACAAACAACGAGACTCAACTATCGACCTAGCCTGGGTGACGAAAGGGGCTAGGATTGATTACGATGGGGACCCGGGCCTAGAGGGCTCAGACCACAGAGCGCAAGTGATTAGGGTAATATCCAACGGGGAAGCAGTCAAGGAGGGCCGCCGCAGTGTCGAAGGGTGGAACTGGGCGATGGCGGATAAGTGGCTCATCGTAGCCGAATCAAGCCAGAGATTTATGAATTATTTGCCGGTTGAGACGATAACGGAGTTGGACCAGGCTGTTGACTGGGTTATCCGGAACCTCCAAGAGATCGCCGACGTGGCGGTCCCGAGACGCACCGTTGGCCGAGGCGCTGGGGTCCCGTGGTGGTGCCCGCAGGTTAGCAAGGCTTGCGCTGAGACGAAGAGACGACGGCGGGACTACCTCCAGGCAAGGTCGCAGACCAACTGGGACGAATATACAAGAGCCGGCCAAAAACAACGGCTCGAAATCAGCGAAGCGCAGACGCGTAGCTGGCACGAGAAGCTCGAGGGGACGGCGAAGGATCACAAAAGCCTGTGGGCACTGCAGAGGTGGGCTAGGCTACGGAGCTGGGCCCCCCCTGAGGCCCACGGCTTGCCAGATCTCCGGAGGGACGCCGGCGACACGCTTACAGCACGTACACATGATGAGAAGGCAAAATTACTAGCTGAGAGGTTCTTCCCAGACCCGTATATAGATCTATCGGACCTCGATCGCGGCCTATTACAGACGAGACCAGAGCTGAACGTCCCTAGGGAGGTGACCACAATGGATATCGAGTCTATCATCAAAGGAACGGCTGCTCGGAAGGCTCCCGGCGACGACCTGATCCCCACTGGCCTGCTAAAGGCCTGCGGTGAACCCCTATGGGAGATCCTAGCGGATCTGGCAACAGCTAGCTTTAGGCTGGGGTACTACCCGGAGCGCTTCCGCTCAGCGAGGGTGGTTATTATCCCTAAGCCTAATAAAACGACAGCTCAGAAGCAGACCCCTGGCGGCTGGCGCCCCATTGCCCTGCTTAGCACGGTAGGGAAGGTAATAGAGACGGCGATGAGCCAGCGTATCACCAAAGTAGCTGAGGCGGCCGGCCTACTACCAAACGGCCAAATGGGTAACCGCGCTGGGAGGTCCACCGAACTGGCAATACGTATAGTTGAGGACGTGGTCTATACGGCGTGGAGACGCGGGGGCATCGCCTCGCTGCTACAGCTAGACATCAAGGGGGCATTCGATACGGTCAATTACAGACGGCTGATTTCCATATTAGCCCGGAAAGGCTACCCGGAGTGGGTTCAGGAGTGGGTACGCAGCTTCGTGGAGGATAGAACGGTACGCCTCCGGTTCGATGGCAAGGAGTCAGAGCCAATCCCCCTACGAGCTGGCGTCCCCCAGGGGTCACCGCTATCCCCGATACTGTTTATATTATACATTTCAACGCTGTACGAGGAGCTAGCGGAGCAGCATCCACTACTTTTAGTAGTCGGGTTCGCGGACGACACGAACCTGCTAAGCGTCGGCACCGATCCAGACACGACCTGCCGCCGGTTGGAGAGCGCATGGGCTACGTGTCAGCGGTGGGCAGTGAGGCACGGGATGGAGTTCGCTCCTGACAAGAGTGAGCTAATGCACTTTACTAGGGCCCGAGAGCCCTTGCCGCAAAGTATTCGCCTTGGGGACGCCACAGTGTCGCCGGTAGTCTCAGCCAGGTTCCTAGGAGTCTGGTTCGACCGCAAACTGACGTGGCACGCCCATGTTGAGCGTGTTAAAACAAAAATGGCAACTCAAAAGCTAGCCCTGACAAAGCTAGTCAATATGTCGTGGGGCTGCGATCTTATACGGGCGAGGCTGTTATATACGGTGGTTATCCGTAGCGCGATTGCCTTCGGGGCGACTGCGTGGCATACTATAAGTGAGGAACCGGCAGGGCCAGCTAAGAGCCTGATGGGGATACAGAACGAGTGCCTCCGGGTAGTCTGTGGTGCCCACAAAGCGACGCCGGTTCGCCACCTGGAAGCAGAAGCAGCAATCCCGCCACTAGACCTCTATCTTAGTGCCCGGGCTGCTAAGTTTGAAGAACGGCTACGGCTTAGCGGGAAGAGAAATCTGCTTCGCAGCGCGAGCGCTAAAGCGTCACATATACTCCGGCAGGATAGGCCGGCGAAGAGGAAGCAGGCGTCGCAGCTACTCCGACCGGCAGGGTACACTATGGAGAAGGAGGCCCGGGGCTCCGAGTGGATGAGTGAGGAAAAGGAGGTCCCGGCTGCCCTCCTCGACCACTGGAGGAAGAGATGGCTCACCGGAGCAGAGCATCACGATCGCCAGCGACGCGCTATCGCTGAGGAACCGGAGGGCCCTTCGATGCAGATACCGAAAGGGGGCAAGTATTTCGGCCTGAACCGACTGGAGGCGTCTACGCTGTGCCAGATCAGGACGGAAAAAATAGGACTAGCAGCCTTCTTATTCAAGACAGGGGCTTTTGGCGTGTACTCGCCGCTATGCCGCTGTGGCGATGCCCCTGAGACGGCAGAGCACGTAATCCTCTTTTGCGGGCTGTTGGAAGGACCGAGGGAACGATTACGGGCCGCCATCGCACCACGGCCACTATACTCTCGCAGAGACCACGCAACGGCAACAGGAGAACCAGTAGTTAGTGGGACTATTGTAAGATGGCTGCTAGGGACGGGTCGGACAGCTTCAAGGCCCAGATAGCATCGATCTTCTCAGGGGGGACTTTGTTGGTAGGTTGAGAACCAACGTAGTATGGTAGTGAACGCAACGCAGTCGCCAATAGGGCGAACCGACGACGCAGCGTATGTATTTAGTCCAGCCATTAGGGCACGGTTTGACATACGGGAGTACTAGTAGAGGTACCGGGGGCTTCGAGCCTACGGCGTATTTTATTAATTAAAAAAAAATAATATACGGCAGGATAGCCCAGCCGGACGAATTAATACCCTGGATTACTGTAGCCCATTCTCGATTGCCTTGTTGGACTGTACGAGGCCTTCCGCGTCGTTCGGCACTTGTAACTACCATCTCGGATAAGATTAAGCCCATCACGAACCCTATCTCGTCGAAGTTATAGATATCCGCCTCTTGGATACCATATTTCGCAATTGTATTTCGTACGAGCGTAAATCACGCGCGATACGCGTCAGGATCTTTGTCAGAGAACAGAATGCCATAGGCACCGGTGGGACACCGGTGGGGGCTCTGGTGTAGGAATGTGCGAGTCATGACACGATATGGAAGTCTTGGTTTGCGGAACAATCGGGGAAACTAGTGCTCCGCGGCTCCGACGTCGGGTTCTAGCTATCTATGTAAGGGGCGGAGGCCCGGGAAGAAGATAGAGGGAGAGTAGAGATCAATGCATCACCGTGGGCACCCCTACCTGAGACCGCCAGTGACCACCCGGTATTACGTAGGAGGGACGCCCGTTACTCCCCATCACTCTGTACTATCGCCTTCGGCCTAGCCGTACCCTGACAATCTTCGCAATAGGCTCGTTAGTAGTCGATTCTTCGGTTAAAACGCGTCCGAAGGTCTGGTTGTCGTCGTACGAAGTTCGAGGCCCAGTTGACGCCGACGCGTCCAGCGTCACGGTCACGGAGCAGTCGGTTAGCCATAGCTTCAACACCATAGAGCCGGGGAGGAAATAATCGCGAATCTAGGTCAAGTATGTGTGAAGGTCAACCCTCGCAGACTCACTACAACCAGGTGACTTACAGCTGGAACACCTGCCATGGCAGTGCCAGATGGGAAGCCAATCATAACCCCTGCAGGAGCCCCGCCAAGCGTGAACGACTTAGTCGCGCTCCCTCAAACCTAAGTTTGTGATCTTCTTTCCTTCGCTCCTTAGAGTAGAATCTTCGTCGATAGCACCTAATCGAGGTCTCTACCAATGCGATGCAACCCAGGTCGTGACAGTATGTATTATACGACCGCTAACTCTTCTGATTCCGTAAGCTTATAACTAGATTATCGAGTATCGCGTCGAGATAGTAGTCCGCGTTTTCGGTTAGCTAGAGTTGTACGAGGGACATTGTAGAGTTAGGCAGCGCGTCGGATGCTTAATTCGGGTTTCGATTGAAGCGCCTGACACGCTAGAATCATGTCGCTTTCTTTCCAATTCGATCCCATCTTGGTATGTGTAAAGATGTTAATTAAAAGGTTGTTCGTACGGTGCCAAGAAAAAGTGGCCAACTTGCTTGTGGGGTACGTTAGTAGATACGCCATTAGCAAAATTTTGGTGAAGTCCGACGCAGGATTCGGTGTAGTTTTTGATTGGTGGACGACTAACTCTAAGTACAGCAGGAACATGATACAATCACTGCCACTCAACCGGAGATGCTGACATCAGCCCCAATCCCGCTTATCGGCCGTCAGCACATCTTCGAGTGTTGACAATCTGGCTCTCATCTTTCTACACAACCGGGCAAATTTTTTGCGTTTTACGCAACCAGGACTGCAGCAGGTGAACGCCCCTATCCTACGCAATCCAATCATTGCAGCTACTACTACCAAGTCGGACTGCTATAGCAGTACCAACCGCCAAAATGAATAGACACATGCGCCTCTCCTCTTCGAACTCCACTCCCTCCATAAGCCGCACCTCCTCCCCGGATCCCCGGGCCATGGCCGTCTCGGTCGCCTACAACCAAAAGACACTCCACCTGCCGCGCATTCTCTGCCTCCACGGCGGCGGTACCAACGCGCGCATCTTCCGCGCCCAATGTCGTGTCCTCTCGCGCCAACTAGAGCCCTACTTTCGGCTTGTTTACGTGGAAGCGCCTTTCGACTCCCAGCCTGGCCCGGATGTAGTCTCCGTCTACGCCGACTATGGACCCTTCAAGCGCTGGCTGCGCTGGCTTCCTGACCATGCCGAGCTCGAGGATCGTGCTGCGGTGAAGGATATTAACAATTCTATTCAGGCTGCCATGGACGAGGATGACGATATTGGCGCAACGGGGGAGTGGGTTGGGCTTCTGGGTTTCAGTCAAGGGGCCAAGCTGGCGGCGAGTTTGCTGTTTCGGCAGCAGAAGAGGGTCGAGAAGTTGGGGGCCAAACAGGCGGGTTCTACGTGGAAATTTGCGGTGCTGCTGGCGGGGAGAGCGCCGTTGGTGAGCCTCGACCCGGATGTGTTCAAGTCGACTATGTTGAGCGATCCGTCGCAGACAGGGTTGGCGGGGCCGCCGGATTTGATGGAGGCTATGAGTGACGGTCACATTTTGAAGCTGCCTACGATTCACGTTCACGGATTGCAAGATCCGGGGTTGCATCTGCATAGGGAGCTTTTGGAGGATTATTGCAGTCTCGAGAGTGTGACCGTGCTGGAGTGGGATGGGGCGCATAGGGTGCCGTTGAAAGGGGTTGATGTCAATCCTTTGGTGGACAGCATTGTGGAAGTTGCCAAACGAACTGGGGCTTTGGAAAATTAGATTGGTGGGTGTCAAAACTGGACTACTTCTTGCTGGGCTTGTTTTAGTATTCAGCTAGAACGGGCGGGACCTTTGTTCATTTGCAGATAGAGTGCACCTGTGCAGCTTCATTTATAGAATTGATTGAAATCCGTTTGCCAATACCATCTACGATAGTCCTGCCATTTTCGGCTTTCCTCTTTCCAGCTTTGTTGGTATATCACCTCTTCTACACTGGCCATGCTGTTGCTATGAATTAGCACTATTCTACACGAAGACACTGTAAAGATCTTCACAGCCAACGCAGGGGTCTCTAGTCAATATTTCCAGTGAAGGTCGAGAACATGGCGTGATACTGATGCTATTGACCGCATCAACTTTCCGCGTCACTCGATCGGGCACTGATGGCTGAAAAATCAGGAAAGAATCCCAGTATGAGACGGCCGTTGAGTTCGCATGCTTACTCGTCTTTGCGTTCCACATCCCAGGGATAGCCTAGGCTTTTTGAAGGTGCTAGAAATAGCCACGAATCACCGTTTAGCCAACATTTGTGGGCTACTTACTCCGTTACTCAGCTGTGCAATGTCATCAGTACCTGCATGCAAACTTCACGGACTGATCCGAACTCTATTTGATGGAGCTGAAACAGGGTCATCAATCATCTACCTTTTAAGGTAGTTAATGAAATGGTCACTTTATAGGCGCATCCCGTGTGAAGACCACCACCACGCCAGGAGGAAGATCTCACAATCACATTACTGCATCATAGCGGAGACTGTCTTCCACTAGTGACACAAAGCCAGCTTCTCGTGATTTTTAGTCGCCCAGGGGTTCAGTTAGCTCTCGTGAATTATTCGCTGTCTTCAAAGCAACTCATCATTGGTGACTTGTCACATCGCGTACCAAGACTTGACAACCATATTTCAATAAAGATATTATCATTCTTTGGCAGTCTGTACCATTGCCTTGTGGCCTAGCCGTATCCTGACACTTATATATTCTCTGTGACGCCGGTGATAATGCCTGGCCCCTGGACGAGAACAGGGACACCCCAGTATGGGCGTCCCACCTGTATGCGCGAGCGCTCATCCTTATAAGGAAGGAATGGGCACCTGTACTTATGTAACGAAACCTTTAATAGTCTATCTGCGTAAACCACTAAAGAGTCTGTAAGGGTTTGTGCTAGTAAGTAAGTCCTGCTGCGGAGTCCTTTAGCAATAATATCGGGGTCTGACGTATGGAGTATAGGGCTCTGGGTAACTGAAGTATTCAAGTAGGGTAACTGGGAATAGAGTCGTCAAGGCAGTTTGCCTCACCAATGGGTTAGATTGATGCTTAGATTGATCACTGAAGTAGAGACTGTCTATCTATGAAATGCCTGGGAGTCCTGTCCCTTATATACCCATCTCTCTTTCACTGATCCCCACTTGGTTGATTGATTGATTGAAATTTAACGTCTCATCACGTGAGACGTGCCGGGCGCAGTGCCGGCATGGTCAATGGTAGTCGAATCTATGTTACAGGGGATTGTCTTCATCTAACATTCCTGTTCAGTGCGATGGGCAGATCTCAGTAAAGAAATTGGTCTCCTCCGCCCATTGACAAAACAAACGAGCTCCCTTGGCCGTGCCTAGGAGGGAATCTATACTATTCTTGGCCATATGCGCTTTTAGATGACCGGGCGTGGCCTTGCGGCCGCGCTTGCAAAAGTAGAAGTGGACTGGTGTCTTTGTCTTTCCACACCCGCAGTTGAGCAGTGCATCGCGATGCTGGAGTCTCTCGTGGTAGATCACGAAATCCCCGTGGTGCGACCTCGCTGCGAGTAATCTGCCTAGGTGTTGCCGGGGCAGGCCAAGTTCGGGGGGTCGCGGGTGGATAGCGATCCCTAGATCTCGATACTGTTGAGGGCAGGTAGTGGCCCATCGATCGTTGAAACTCTTCCAAGTGTAGGATCTCGCGATTCTCTTTATATGTGCGAATGAGGCCGGGTGTTGTGTCTTGGGTGGTTGCTCACAGGCCGCTTTGGCCTGGACATCTGCTTCTTCGTTTCCGGGGATGCCTACGTGTCCTGGGCACCACCAGATATACACTTGTCCCGGGGATGTCCAGGGTTTTCGCTCTCTCTGTGACCAGGTTTTGGACAGCTCTTGGAAGGCGGTGAACTTTGCTTGACTGCTTCCGGGACTTGGACAGATGAGCCTACTCGCAACCGCGAGATTATCGAGGCAGATGTGGACGTTATCTGCCATGCTGTTGGACGGAAGCTTTACAGCCTCCTGAAGCCCCCGTAGTGCTGCGTGGGCTTCCGCATCGTATACCTCTATCTGAGAGCCCAGTAGTTCGGACCCGCAGAGTAGTCTTTTACCGGCCTGATAACCAGCCCAGCCTGCTCCAGCTAAAGTCCTGTCGCTATGAGTAGCCAGCGAGCCGTCTGTATAGATTATTATATCGCGCTTTGAAAACTCGTTTATCCTTTGTAGAAACGAGCGGGCAGCCTCCTCCTTTGACTGTCCTGGGATATAACCGATCTTGGCGAGGGTGATGGACCATTCGCCAGCCTGCTCCCAGGGCGGTATTTGCAGAGGATCTATATATTCTGCAGTATCTGGGGTTAGGCTCGCCATACGCCTTAACCTCGAATCGGGGCCCGTAGGATGTCTGAGCCTCCTGCGTAAGGGATGGCGGCTATCCAGTTTGTGTAATCTAACAGAAGCCGCATAGAGTTTTGCGTCGAGTGCGATTTCTGCTGGCGGTAGTGCCGCTTCCCGTTGCAGGATCGGTATTGGCGTGGTCCTATATACAGGAAGCATGGCTCTCATTGCGGTATTCTGCGTTCGATCCATTTGGTCAGCTAGGGATTGGACCCGGTTTGAGATAATGCGTCCATTCTTGTTCTGTCTGGCAGACGGCCACCATGCTTCCGAGGCGTAGAATTGCACGGGGAGCACGCACGCGATTACAACTCGACGGAGTAGTCGTGTTGGGGCCCCTCTGATTGTGTTTCCTAACGACCGGAGTCCGTTAGCAACCTGTAGAGCTTTAGCTGAGGCGAATTTGACATGGGCCTTAAAGCTAAGCTTTCTATCGAAGTAGACGCCTAACCACCTGAGTGCAGCACCGATTTTGATGGGTTGAACAGTGTGGATCGTTCCATTCTGTTGCGTAGTGGTAATGGGTGGGTTTGCATCTCTCCCTCTTCTTGTGAAATGTATTAGCTCAGTCTTGTCGGGGTCGAACGTGATACCCTCAGACATGCTCCAGTCGAGTGCTGCTTTCCACTCCCTTGTCCGTGTTTCGGAGGAGTACGCGGGCGAATAATTCTCGCTTTTCGTCTGGCTTGGAGATGAATCGGTCCGAGTTTTCGAGGTCGCGTAATGGCGGGGTATAAAAATTTCCCGTACTTTTATGCCAGCCCGCCATTTCAAAAATTTCTTTACTGGTCGAGGCTGCAGCGATTCTATCTTTCCAATATTTGTCCTTCGCCTTGTGAAGTTTCCGGACGAAGTCCTGCCGTAGCGCTTCAATTTCCTCCAGGTGTTCTGAGCGGGTTATCCCTAGAGCTTGAAGCCTTCTTGTATCCCTCTTTTTGTTAGTAAATTCTTGATGTTTTCGCTTGCATTCTTCGTTCCAGTATGCACGTCCTTGTCGGAGTCCTTTGGATCATTTTGTGGAGGCTGTAAGGCTTTCGATGAGGGCGCTTGTCAGTTGTTGCGCTACGCGGTCCAGTGACTCGGCGTCGTCTGCCGTTCTCGCTGTCCCTCTTATTGGTTGTATGTTCCGTTGTAGGGTGCTGAGAAAAAGCTCTTCGTCCATCGTATCCAGCCGAAATTTGCCTAAGGTCGGCTTGGACTTGTCCAGCGCTGGGAGTGGAACCCAGGTAAGCAAGGTTTCGTGGTCCGAGGTTGTGTTAAGGAAGGTTTCGATGCTTGTAGAGACTCCTGGCAACGAGGCTGAAGCCCAGGAAAGGTCTAGGACGTTACCTGCCCTATGTGTCGGTTCACCGATTGGCGATGTAAGTACGAGATCGAAAGATTCTGCCCAGTCGACCAAGTCCTGGGCCTTTGGGGAGGTGTACGTCGTCGTTGGTTGCCAGTTCGGATGATGTAGGTTGAAGTCCCCTGCTAGTATATATCGGTTTGGCGGGGCAAGGTGGTACTGGCCTAGGATATCTTGAATGGCCTTGCCGCCTTGGGAAGCTGCTTGGGGTGCGTTGTATATGTTAATGATTGTTAGTAGGTAGTGGCGGTCACATAGGACCTGAAGGAATAGTAGGTCTGTAGATGGGGCAGATAGTGGTCGGCATTGCTCCCCTCTAAGTCCAGTCCCTTTGCGTATGTAGGTTATCACCCTCGGTTTGCTTTCAATCCAGTCATCTATTGGTGCAAAGGTCTCGTAGGCTGGGTGAGTTCGGGTGAGTCTTCTTTCCTGTGATCGGACGAAAGGCTCCTGTATCAGTATAATGTCGATATGGCCTTCGTAGGCCAGGTTAAGTGCCGTCTCGTGTGCACTCGCCTTCCTGCCTACGTTGGCTTGTATGATCTGTATCTTTTTGGGTTTCTGCTGCGTGGTTCTGTTAGGCATTTACTATGATGCAGTCGTTATTTTCGCTGTTGGCTTGGAGATGCGAGAGGCTGGATGCCGCTTTCCAGGCTCTTTCTCCTTCCGCTCGAATAGCGCGGAGCTGCGCTTGATCCCTTCTCTGGAGCGTACCATGGATCACTTTGGGTCTGGCGAGGCAGGAAGGGTCGTGAGCCGCGTGCGGGCCGTTGCAAGTTGGGCATTTGAGGGGGCAGTCACATCCGTTGAGGCCTTCCGTGCCTCCGCAAGGGGCCCGGTGCTCGTCGGTTGTGTGATTTGCGGAGCTGCACTTCATGCACCTTCTCTTCCGGGTGCATGTGCGTGAATTGTGGAAGCCACCGCAGCGGTGGCATTCAATTGATTTCTTCTCCTTGGGGAGACGTAGATTGATATATACGTTGGCTCCTAGAAGCCTAGTGCGGAGCGGTATCTGCTTTGCCGCGTCTACCTTGAACCAGGCCGTTACCGTGCCTAGTCTTTCTATCTCGTCCTTTTTGGAAAAGTAGGCCTTTTCCGGGCGCCGTTTCGTGGCAAGTCGGATTTCCTCCTCTAGCTCCCCATTTGTGATTTCCAATTCCGCGTCGGTAATCAGGCAGTGACGAGTGT